CTTTTTCCACACAAAAAACCACTTACATTTCAAACCACACAAGGCAAAGATCCAATTTTGCCGAATTTCTGGGAAGCCCATGGCCCCCTGTCCCCTTCCTTCCGCCGCCACTGAACCTTCAAGTCGGCGAAATTTCCACGAAACCCTTCCAACTTGGTATTTACCTTCTGGAATTCTTATTAGTTCTTATTACTTTTACAACTAAAAATTCAAATGAACGCTTCAGAATGCAGAGATTACTTAGTTGAGAGAGACGACTGACTTGTATAAATTCTCTACCGGAGGAGGAACAGATAGATTGTTTGAATTGGGAGAAAGCTATAAGGACGGAAAATGTGGTGGCATGTTTGTCTCTCTCTAGTGAATAAAAAAGAAGAAGAAATGTTCAAGGAGAGAGAGAGAGGACTGCCACCCAACCATCATTGCTTTCTGACGCTGCTTCTTCTCTCGAGGAGAAGAAGTTCATTTCGCCAAGGAACAAGGAACAAAAGATTTGGAGAGAGTTAAACTACTGGGGCTCGATTGTGTTTGAGGGAGCGAAAGCAAGGATGGAGAGGAAAATTAATTAGCTCATTTGAATAAGCTCCAGAGCTTATGAAGTTTGTCTTCGGATTAATTAGCATCTTTTATCAGACTTCTCTTTACATAAATTCTATTGTGTTATTTTCTCCATTTCTTATTCTACTTGCTTTCTTTCTTGGGCACAAATCTGAGTAAATCTTCGGGGTGGGACTGCTCGCTACGTGCGTGGCGACACAATGACAACAATTCGTGGTTGATAATATGTTTCCGACGGGAACTGATTTTTGATATCACGTTGTGGCAGACTTCTCGCTTGTGTAATCTCCAAGTGGAATATAATCCATTAAAGTATACCATGTTTTAATTATCAAAGACGAGAAGTTCAGGGGATGGTGGTGACACGGCATAAGTCATTACGGGGTGATTTATAAATACTTGTGTATACACGACCTGGTGGAGATTCGATAAGTTTTTTGATCAGGGCAGGCTTTTTGTTTTAGATTAAGGTGAAAGTATATAAAATGCAAATTTGGCTGGTTTAATCTGCACCCTAAGTTTTATTTATTTGGACGTGGCGAAAATAGAATATGGAAAAAAGTCAGGGACACGTGTATACATTTTTACTTCCTGAAAATATATTTAGCCCATTGTTTTGATCATTTTAACCACGTTTGTCCAATCATTATTCTTCATTTACAGTTTCAAAATAGTTTCGCACCTATCTTCCATTATAGTTTTAAGGGTATGCCGGAACGTGCAGACGATGTGGGTTGAACCACGAAACGAAAGACAATGAAGGAAACAAAAGTTTTCTCATTTTCTCGTCCTGAATTTAATTGCTCGGTTGATTTTTAGGTGTCGCGTTACAATTTTCACCACCCACTCGGCCCAGGATGTAAACCTCCCGACAAATTAGACCCGTCAAATTCAAGGACAAAACTCTGCCCTGTCTGGGGCAGAAGTTTTAACTTTGCTGAGAGAACGAAATTTCCCTCAACCAAAACCGTTTTAACCTAAGGTTCAAATAATTGAAGGAAGGAAGGTGTGCGGTGCTAGCTAATCTAACCAGAATAATATGGTACGGAAATAAATCATGTGTACATCTACGCCGCATCATTGAAATGCTATATAATGCTTTGCAGTGTTTCGGGTGCAAGTAACCAATTGCGAGAAATAACGGGAAGAAAGTTGTTTCTTGCAGGTATTTTGACCTGCAAGAAATGGCGCTTATTTCTTGCACTTTCTCCCAGTTTCTTGCACCTTGCATTTCTTGCTTTGCAGTGCAAGAAATGTAACAAATCCGCAAGAAATGTAACAAATCCGCAAGAAATGTAACAAATCCGCACGAAATGTAACAAATCTGCACGAAATGTAACAAACCTGCCAGAAACGAAACACTGCTGTTTTGATTTAACAACAAGTTGTTCTTCATGTAAAGCCTGTGAGACGATTCAATAGAGCTGATTGATTTTGGAAAATACTTTGTGTGTAATAATTAAGTCAAAATATTTGATTTTGTTAATTGATATTCAGCTACAAATCTGTATTTCCTTCCACTGTGAACCAGCTTTGTAGTGAGATTGATTAAACAAGTTGGTGGTGTTTGGTTTGCTATAAAGTGTGCAAATCGAGACGCCACGCCGCTGTTCTTCTGCACTCAAGGACAAACCATGTTCCTAATCATTCCCACAATTTCGGAAGAGTTGTTTTACGTAAGTAAATAGTAGGTGCATTTCATGTGGTTTGGTTTCGCTCTGACATCACGACGAGATTTAGTGGGTAAAGACGGAGTTTGCCACAATTTACATTATGAGTCAAGTTATTTATCTTGTGTAAATTTGATAAATTGAAATTTGATCAGGACAGAATTGGTGAGTAAATTGGGCAAAATTCGAATGAAATAACAGTCCAAAGAGTAAATAAATACATAATTTTTCCTCGTCTGTGGTGTTTCCAAACTCCACTTCATCATAGTCAAGCCTCGTGTACGATGTGGTAACAACAGCCATATTTTTTTAAACCCTGCGAGACAGCTGGACGACGCTACATACATTTTTGAATGCCATTATTCAAAAGGATTACGTATGCATTAATATTTATGAGTTATCAAGAATAAACATTTCCTTCTACGGAGGGTGGGAATACATAATCTGCGGGCTAAGGTGGATGGATGGATGAGTGATTCTTAAAAATAAACAGTATTGCAGTACTGGTGCAAAAAATTTATAAATATATAAGCACTACTAAATATCCAGACGAATCTTGCTAAAAGATAAATATGTTGCAATCAATATTTTGTAATCAAGGCGTCATTACTCATTAATAATGTGGAGTTATCGTCATCGACGCAAATAAACTGTTGCAACGCGTGTAACTAATGGGTGAGACAGTGCCATTCATGCATCAAAATGAATACCATAATGTTTTTGCATGTCAAAAATCTTTTCATATTGACACGTTTGAACGTGTCTTCGAGATTTATGAGCTTTAACCTCATCCACACGGTTGTTGAGGTGTCCCTTGGAACTTACATTCGAAATTTTAAGTCTGTTTGTCGTTGTTTTCACGAGTTATCAGACTAACAGAAGGACAGACAGACGGACATCTGTAACGATCTTATAAACGGGTTTCACCCCTTAACACATCCTAAGGCTGACGTCTATTCTGCTATGTGAGGCAATGTGATACTGCATTTTGATCAGAGACGAATATGGGTCAGTTTTTTCCTCTCCAGTTTCATCTACACCTCTGTAACTCGAATGCACACGAAGAATGCATTACTAGTGACAAGAGCAACTTTCTTCTTCTGAATTTGATAGCCTAAGTAATAACTGTAACACTTGTTGGATCTACTGCGCTGTCAACTAATCCAATTGTTTTTTGACAGCACTACTTTACTCGGCTTTTTATGTACATCTCTCTTTGTCCAGTCTCAAGTGAAGTGAAGTGAGGCTGAGTGTACGATTGTGATGATTCGGGTTTTTCTAAGATTCATACACACAGAGTTAAGCCAAGAGTTAAGGTGTCACTCAGAATGGACGAGATATGGTCCACTTGGCCTTGAGGAGACACAATTTTTTGCCAATATTTGGAATTGGAGATGAGAGAGGAATTAATGTTATTTGTCATTTTTATTTACAGTGACGCAAAATCAGTAATGATGATTTCGTGTCAAGTTCTGAATGCAAAAATTGCTTCAATGCATCTCGTAAATAATAAATTTATCGATGCAGCAAATGCAAAAAGTTTTGACAACATTTTATTTCAGTTTTACAAAAAAGTTGCCTCATAATTTGTATAAATATCATTTGATATCACTTTTTGCATTTCGTAAACTTTTGAATGAATTAAACACGTAAAAGTGATTACAACATCATCACCATCATCAAATTATTGCCCAACATTTTATTTGAATGATGCACTAATTTATAATTGCAACTTTGCGAAATCTTTATAAAAATGGTTTCGTAAGTTAAAATTTTTTTTGCCTAATGAATGAAGGAGGCGATCATCGTGAATACGTGTACGTCAGGCATATTTATTTTGGTACTTTCTCTCCGAGAAAGTCTCTCACAAAGCCTTTCACTAAACGATCAATAAGTGAAGTTGAGATAAGAAGATAGCAACAAGAGGAGCGAGGAAGGGGCGTGGGAGGAGCGAGGGAGGAGTGTGGGATGACAAAATACCACAAAATGATATTTACTCGTTCTTGTACTAAGAAAGTCAGAAGAATTTGGCAAGAAATTACAAAATACACAAAGCAAGGCCAAGGCCAAAACAGTCGACGACGACGACGACGACGACGACGAGCAGTGTCTTGGGAGTTGAACCATTCATGCGAAAAGTCAGCTTGATATATGTATGCTCACTTCATGGCGAAATGCGAAATGCACTATTTTAGTTTCCGATTGCAACAACGACTCGGTTGCAACAACTCATTGTACATCCGCTTCATTATTGTTATGCACATACTAAATGTGTAAAACTGGGAGAAATATTTAGAGAATTTTGTAATGTTCCTCGATCCACGCAATAAGAGAACAAGTTCCGGGTGAGTTACTCGGTGTTAAAGAAAGATCGAATTTGTCTACATCGCTGCACATTTAATCTCCTCTGGTGGAAGTAATCTAGCAGAAATGTATGGATAAAGGCAGATTTTTCTATTGTATGTTATGTATCTGCATATGAGAGATTCGACGAGAAATGTGATATTGTTTGTATGTATGAATATATATGCTCAATCACAAGGGCTGCGGAAGCGGTGGGGGCATCTGGGGACATTAACATTGTGGGATAGGGGAGGGAGGGGTTTATATAACATGGGCAGATGATGGGGACATGGAATAATTGTGGGGACGTTGTCCCTCTGTCCCCATGCTTCCGCGGCCACTGTTCAACAACACAAAGAAAGAGAGCAACTTAAGACGGGTATTACTGTACAACTTGTATTTATATCCTGACAAAACCAATAATTCAAATGAATGCAAACGCTATCTGACACAAATGGTGGTGTTATCTGAAAAAAATAAGTTTTACCACAAGTGGTTGGCAGCACTAATGACATAATTTTTTAACTGTCCGACCGACCGGATACAACCTCCCACTTTATAATTGATAATATAAAATTACTTATTTACTTTTCATCAACATTTTAATGAGCATTAATTTTTTTACGTGCCCCACACCAAGATTAAACGGTCACACAACGATTGGCAAGAATATTTACTATTAATAAAAATCTGGCATATTTTTGTTGCGTGTCCGTCCTGGAGATTGTAATTAACTGTCAACTCTATACACTTAATGATAATAAATACGATACAACACGTCATTTAGACTCATCCATCATTTTATTTCATTTTGTTTCGTGTGTGTGGGTGTGGGTGGGTTTTCCAGAGAGTGGTTTTAGTTTTAGTCGTGAAAATCAGATATCAATGTCACTCCTATGGAAAGGTTTTTGCAACATCCTTGTAACGGTGGCTATTCTGGTCGGCTTCATATTTACTCTCAACTCCAATCACGATTTCGCCAGTACAAAGGACGACGACGGTCAAAGATGCAGCAATAGCACGGGTACGAGTGGCAGGAAGAAATTAAAACATAGACGAGCTTCACAACACACGTTTAAAGCAACAAAGGTGATTTCAAAACCAGGGTTGGAGGAACAGGAATCGATCATTTGAAGGTTGTCCGAAATGTAAGTCAAACTCGTGGTTAAATAATAGATGGTCGACACATGCATGGTGGCGATACCTGTCATTAATTAAGGCTGAAATTGACTATATGTGTTGTAAAATAGCGAATGTAAAGTAAAATACACTCTCCACAAAGAGAGCCGGTCAGCCGTCGGATCCGAAGCTTTTGAGACAAAATGTGAATAATAATCACTTTATCGTCATCATGTTACCGATTTTAGTATTTGTCTCAGTTCTGCTTATTTCAACATTTTTATTCACTGCGTACTTAATGTTGCCTGTTATTTAAGTAAATAAAACATAATAAATAAATACCTAAAATTATTTAATTTCTAAAAAAACGAGATACAACTGATTTAACAAGTCTCAATAAAAATTCTAATAAAATTACATATGGCTTTACGCTGGAATTCTGTTCTCATTTCTACTCTCGCACTGTTTGTACGATAAGACCTTATCGTTTAGACCTAATACTTCAAGATTATTGTGACTGGCAGTTCCTGGATACAATTTCTCGCAGTGCCCACGACATCCGACTTGTTCGCAAAGGATGACACAGCCTCCCCCCGTATTCACGGATGAGATCCGATTTCTCCACAGATTGTTCACTTCCAGACAAGCTTTGAACGGTGGTAAGACTCGGGATGCACCTGTTTATCAAGTATTTAGTAAGTAGAATAAATAAATTTGTTGCGTTAAAATAGAAAAAATGTAATAATTACCACCAAAATTGATGTCTTCGTACACCTTGATTAATCCGTGGCTTGGTTGAGCAAATACGACGAGGACGCAAAAAATTGTGAATTTTGAAAGCATTTTAGACTTTGTTTAGTTACTAAAATCCGAAATGAATGAATGTATCTGGATGCAAACGAGTGACTGGTGTGTTTTTCATTTGTCCTCGTTCTTTTTAATATTTTTTTTCCAACTGCCAGTACTCTGTTACATGTTTTAAATATTTACCCTTCACCTTTTTGGAATGGACCCTGAAGTGGAATATTAGAAAGAAACTGGAATCCAGGGATCACTTAAGTAGGGTAAATAAAACACAAAATAGAAGGAATGAGCCGAGTAAAAAATACACTTCCATACTTTTAATCTAACCTTGGCCTTTCGGGCCTTTCAAAAAAGGATTATTCTGCAACATCTACCTGGTTGTGCAGGCAGGTGTGTCAAATGCATATTTCATAACTCATATTATGCCTCGACTTAACATGATTTGTATGAAAACTAGGTGCTTACTTATGTTCAGAGCTGCTCTCTTAGAAATTTGGTATTAAAATAATACCAACAGGCATTCATATATGACCCTACATATCAAATATGGTATTGATAAGTAATACCGTGTAGTAATAGCTCGGTATTAAAGTTTTACCATACCTGTAGCGAATTTTTACTGTCCGGTATAATTTTAATACCAAGTGGTAGCAACTTAATACCGAGAATTCAATAACTGTGTGACTATACCAGATTCTAACAGTGTGTACTCTACATAAACTAATTGTAACTATTCCTATTTAATTTACAATGCATTTTATTCGCATTTTGTATATTGTTTGGTCATTATAACTAAAGTAGGATATTGCAATATGTACGTATGTATGTATAGTCTAACCAATTTATTCAAACCACTTGCATACATACATCTCTTCCACGCTCTCATGCTGGAATCTATAAAAATGACAGCGATGATAATTTGACCACGGGATTAATAAATACTGGTTCAGTCAACTCATAAACCGTTGTATGAAAAAAGTTAACGAGATCACAAGCAATTCCATCTTGCTGATAAGCTTCAAGTTCATTTCGTCCTGTGGAGTGCATGATGAGATAGTGTGGAGGTAAAAGAGTGAAATTCACTTATTTGAGGAGTTCAGTTAACTACATAAGCTTTTATCGCATAAAATGAAACATATTTTTAGTGATGAGACATAAATTCCAAATCCAGCTCATGCAACATTAGTCGTCCAAATGTCTAGAGTGCCGCTGTCACTACTTGACTTATCAAAGTCACGTTAAGAAGAAGAGTCATCCGATTAAAGACGAAAAGTTCTCTAAAGTTGCACTTTACTGGCGAAATGGTGTGATTGAAAGGAGGTCGAGACAAACAACCTTCTGCACGAAATTGACTGACTAATCCTGGTAAGTTGAATTGTTTTTTAAAGAATTGTTAACAAAATTTCCAATTATTAACAAAGTTTAGAATTATTGATAAAATTTCGAATTATTACCAAAAATTCGGGTTTTGGTAATAATTTTCATGCTGTTAACATTTTTCAAAGTTCAATTTGTGCAAATATCTTATAGATCATTTTTCCAATTTCAGCAAACCTTGATAAACACATGTAAACCATGTCATCCTCCCTGGAAATCATTTGTAACTGGTTTATTCGGTTATTTTGCTGCCTTTCTACCGATTTTGAGGAAGAAAAGAGCTACTCATTCTTCACGAATCGGAATAAGAAGTGCCCATTTTTCTCAGAAAAGGCTCCGCGGGGTGTGCCCAGCAAGAACAATAATACACAGAAGAATAAGCATAAAAAGAAGAAGGAAGGGATTGATCAGTACAAGATTAGATTGGCCCAGCACAGTTTTAACTTCAGCCTCCTACACCCGCAGTATTATCCGTCGCAAACGCTTTGGTCGAGAAGGAGGCGCTGTTTTTCAGACTCATTGTCCGACCTGACGGAACGATCGGATGAAAGCTTAGTGAATTCCGTGGACTTGGAGACATCGGAGGAACACTGTACAGAAAATACTTGTAGCAACCAGTAATTTTTGGCCTGTTAGTAGATTAGAGGTGATATTCTTCGTTTTACGACCTGTACAAAATGAATAAGCTAATTATTTATTTAAATATAGAAAACTTTATGAAAGACTTTCGCATTCCTGTAAACAATAAATCGTTAAATCAATTGTTCCATATTTTATAAGAATGCTTTGTAACCTTTGACTTGCAAATGTATATCTGTATGTATGTATCTCTCATATTTATGTATATGAATTGTTATAAATGCATGCAGTGGCCGCGGAAGCGTAGGGACAGAAGGACAATGTCCCCATCATCTGCTCAAGTTATATAAACCCTTCCTTCCCCTATCATATAATGTCAATGTCCCCAGATGTCTCCACAGCTTCCGCGGCCACTTAGTGCATGCAGATAAAGCACAAAATCGAAGGTTTTTTATTAGAAAACATTTTATTGATACGTAAATAAGTTACATCAAATACAATAATTTGAAAAGAAAGTTGTAAATATAATTGTATTAAATATTTATGTATACCTAATAAATCATACCTCATGCTCTAAATTACTGATTCTTCACATTAAAAATAGCGATAAAAATGGGCACCATAATTGTCAAGAAAGCCGGCAATTTTACCATAGCATCCGCCCCCCCAGCCACACACAGGCCCCCACTCGGCCTAAAGTTATTACCGCATCTACACACGTACAAACTGTTCCCTTCTGACATGCAGTACGCATTTTCGATGCAATCAGGCTCCCCGACACAGTTGCCGCCCACCCCGGTCAAACACATGGACGAATTTTTACCTGGCGTGTAATACTTCTCTGCTATGCATCCACACTGATTAGTTGTGTTGTCACATTCGAGAAAGAATGGGGCATAACAGCCAAGGTCGCAACTTTTCCCATACGTAGATTCGCATTTACTCCCTGCTGCGACCGTGCCATCGGGACAACCGCAAACATTATTTGGAAGACAAGTCCCTACCAGACAGTTATCACCGTCGATGCAAGGCTTATCTAATCCTCCTTTGCATTTCCCATCATTTTCAGTGTATTCAGCTTCGCAAGAGCATATTTTAGTATCCTCGCTGCATACCAGGAACGAATCGGCCTTGCAATCCGTACTGACTGTGCAGGCAGCCCCCAGATTTCCGACGCATGCATCCCCCACGTGCGCATAGTTGGTGTCACATTCGCAAACTTGGGTGTCGCTGTTGCAATGCGAATAAGTAAAACAACGATCTTCCACTCCTTCCCCCGAGGTACAACTATTTCCCGGAATGATGCCACATTTGAGACTTTTGTCGTCGTACTGAAGACCCTCGTCACAATTACATTGATTATTAGGAGCGGCAGGACAGACTGGAAAATCTGGATGACAGGCGGCCGCAGTGTCGCATTCTTTTTGATAATCCTTCAAGCATTTGAGTTCAGTGGTGACTTTGAAGTCATTTTTACAGGTGCACGCCTTCGTGTCGTTGTTGCATTGCAGATTCCATTCGTCATAACAATCAGTGCCAGGTGCCAGGGTACAATTTGCTCCATGTTTCCCCTTGCAGTGGTGGTCATTCGACTCGGTATAGCTTTCCAAGCATTCGCAAAGGGAAGACGTTTCGTTGCAGTGGGAATACGTGGTGCACTTGTCGTCGGCAGGGTTGCAGGTCTGGCCAATCAGGATGAGACACTTGCCCCCATTGTGTTCTTGACCTTCGGCACATCTGCATTTTCCTGGTGGTCCTTCAGGGAGGATCTCGCATCGAGGAAAGTCAGGGTGACAGTCGGCCTCAGTTTGACAGGCTCCGTCGTAAGTATGCACGCATCTTCCGTTGTATAGATTATACCCAGTCAAGCACTTGCACGCTGAATCGGTGCATTCCATGTTGGAAGAGCATTCGGTCTCATTAAAGCAGCTTGCTGTATAAAATCAGTACGGAATTGATATCAGATTTATGATTTAATTGAGGTCAATATGAAATAAACCGTTTCAACGCATATAACAAAGGGGTGAAGGCTCGGAATATGGGGTAGGTTGATTGAAAGCTTCGTTCACATTTCGTGACCTTGGAGGTCGCCATTGAATTCTGGGTTAAATTTCCGTTCAAATTGATATATCTATGCACAATTTAATCTTTTTGACTGTTTTTGACCTTATATCATTGCATTCAAGAGTTATCTGACCAACGGACAGACAGACGGACATAACGATCTTATAAATGGCTTTCACCCCTTAATAAGTAAGGGTACCAATGTAACAATGTATTTACCTCCCACTAATCCTAAACATTTTGTTTTTGCATTGTCCCAAATGTGTGTACTATTGCATACGCATTTAGATTCCAAGCATACGAGGGAAGCTGAAGATGCACAGTCTTGACTGTTGGTACAAGGTCCTGCCTCATTCCCAAGTTTGCAATAAGGGTCGTCCTTTATGAACCCATTGTCACAATGACAAGTTCCTATTTGATCCGGTGGTGACGGGGGAGCATCGCAAATTGCATGTTCTGTACAATGCACGTGAATTTGGTGTCCTCCACTGATATGTTCGGCACACCCGCGTTCCTCCGCATTTACGAGGCACGTCTGCCTATCCTTGTTGTACCGCATAGTAGCCTTATCAAGGCAACCACATTTTGTTACCGGGTTCTCGGGGGGTGGGTCTTCGAGGGAACATTTGTAAGGTTTTGTGGCGTTACATAGCTCATCAGCATCGCAGATTTCTCCAAACTCAACGCCAGAGATGGATGTTACAAATATGAATAACAAAGCTGTTGCAAAAACCTATAAAAAATGGGTAAGTTATTTTTTACTTCAAAAATGAATGCGAGTTTATGAATAATTTATTCTTTTGAAAATTGCAACTTGAGCTGCCAAAAACGCTTCATCACAATTAACAGAACAATTATTTTTTCCATGTGTATTTTAAAATTTATTAAAATTGGAATAATGTACTTATTGCTAGTAAATATTAGCTTACAAATTTTGCGATTTTTTTCTCCATGATGAAAATCGTTTCGGGATATTGTTGAACGTATGTGTAGTGAACGATCACTGAGGTGAGGAGCGTCAATTCGCTTCATAATTATGCCATCCATCCATACTTATCAGATAAAGCAGCAAATTATCTTATCACTGCTTGGACTTGGGCGGAATTGGAAAATTATTATATTCGGATTGATGGAATAGCATAAATTCGCATTTTGCGATTCGCAATAATTATTCGACAAATAAAACAGTATGAATCATTTGTCCGATGAGGATTTATTTTATTCAGTCTGATAATTTACATTATAATGCAAAATAAAACGCTTACTCATGCTTGCAGGGTAAATAAATAAGCTTTAACGATAAAAATAAGTAAATATTTTAACTGAATCATGATCACATTCCATTAAATATAATTATTAATTGTGTAAAACTCAGAAGTAACATTGCAAAAAATCCTCCCATTCTTGCCCCACTTTCTCCGCTATTTCTAGCTTGACAATTTCCCTTCCAGTCATTCTCATGGCCTTTGACACATTCACAACTTGCAATTATTGGGCCCTTCTTAGTATCATCTCCTCCATCTTGTAATTTACATTCCGCATTTTTAACACAATTAAGCCGTCTACCTTCCCTGTCGTTTTGAAGCATGCATTTGGCACCCGAAATTGCGACGCAAGTTTGTCCCACCTCGTCCCACATTTGATTAGAAGGATCCTGGCATTTACACTCGTTCGTGGCGGCTGAGCAATTTAGAAATGTGAAAGTGTTACACGGATTATCATCAAAATCACACTTTGCATTATAATTCAGAAGGCATTTCAACTCTCCTGGCTTTCCGGGGGTATAGCCCTCCTCACAAGAACAAGATGTACGACCAGTAGTACCATTTTCGTGGGATTTAGTACATTTCATTCCCGGATAGCAGGACAAAGGGGGTGACGACAGGCTACTTGACGCGTTTACAATTACGCAAGGAAACCCTAGCCCGACCAAACAATCTCCACCCGTCCCTGGTAAAAATCCTTCCTTACATTGGCAAATTCCCACCTGACCAATATTCTCGGCGATGCAGGCAGCATTCTTAATGACGTTACACCCATTTGAGTAATATAAATGACTCAAATCTTTTGTTAATTAAAAAAAAATTACTATAAAATAGTTATATAACATATTTTCATTAGTGAAGGCAATATCATGCATGTACATATGAAAAAAATGAATTTGCATGCATCTGCGTCGCCCAAGAAAGATTGTTAAGGGACAAAGGTGTTTCTGTGGCCTGAATTTTTACCATGTTGCCGGCATGGAGGATTTGTGGAATTTGTTTTAAAAAATCGTACAAGTCTTCTTCATTTTTATGTATATCTCATAAATCCTCCATGCTGGCATCCATGCGAAATTCACATCCTAAGGGGGTGGGTTATGACAAAATATGAAAAGAATGAGTGTATATGCATTTGCGCTTGCCAAGGAATTTTGAACTTTGTTGAACTAGTTTCAGTTATTAAAATGCGTATTAATTAGTCTTTCATCAACTAATGATAAAGAGAATGCGTACATGTGGATATTTCCCCTGGTTGGCAAAGTACATAAGAAATTCATACTCTGCTGTGGTGCTTATTATGATAAATAATTTGCAAAAAAAATACTTACATATCATTTGTAATTTACAAAACTGTGCTTATGTATGTATGTATGCGAAAGTTGGTGCTTTTGCAAACATTTTCATGGTTTCATTGCACCAGACGCAGACGCCACTTGACACGATGACAATACTTGCATAAGATTGTATAAGTCTCAGATTCGTCTAATCAGTTAATTTATAACCCAATAAGAAAATATATTGCTCTACCAACTTACCAACCGTACAATTGAGTTCGTCGCTGCCATCCTAATTAATTCAAACAAGATTTATGAACTGAATGTGTTCTTTGTTTGCAAAAAGTAAAACTGCGACAATATCAATATAGAAAATAAACATTTTTACTTCGCAGTCAAAGGTATGGTCATTGTACATGCATAAATATATTTTCCAAATTATAACAAAACGTTTGACGGATTGCTTAAAATGGACGCCAGAAGTGAGTCGAAAGCAAGCAACCAGGTTTTCCGTGTTGTATCCTGTCAAACTGCTGTGCAGTATTTTTTAACAAGTGCTCCCAATCACAGCCCCACTACCACGAACACTCTGGATGTTTTTAATTGTTCCTCCACAAAATTAATTGTTTAAGCTAGAAGAAATGTCGACTCGAAAATTCACGGATAAGGATAACGACGACAATATATGGAATTTCAAGAATCTACAACAATGGGAGCAAGAAGCGGAGGTGAGAGAAATGTTTAAAAATATATGACCATTGGACAAGTATTTCAAGTGTTTGATTGCAAATAGGAGGCTGAACGAACACTAATAAATTCAAGAAAGACAGGCTACGACGATGAGGAAGATTTTAAGCCGGAGAAAAACTTCCAACTCCCAAATCAGGTTATAAGATAGATTAAACTAATTGAAACATGCATAAGAATAAGTAATATTGATTCCAGGGTGGCAAACCTAACTTTGGAGGAAGTTCAAAAGCAAATAGGATTGAATTTATGCCACATCGAACCTCCCACACCCTGTCTGGAGCTAAACGGAAGAAAGGTTCTGAGGAGAACAATGACGCAAGTTCTAAAAAATCGGCAAACTCCAAAATTAAACCAGACGTAGGTACTTTAGTAAAACCACAGGTTACTCAGCGCTTGCCGAAAGAAGAACAATCATCTATATGTATCAATCAACAAACATTGTCCCCCGACAAGAACGAACCAGATCGCTCCAGATCGAACCAGATCGCTCCAGATCGCTCCCTCAAATGTATGAAGTATGGAAGGCATGGGCTCCTGTTTTATCAGGAGGGGGATGAACTTATTGCAAGTATGTGTATAAAAGTGTCACAGATTCGACATACATGACATGCTATGTTTTATGAATTTACAGATCAAAGAATTTTTGTCCAACCACTCCGAGGAAAGGACAAGCAACTAAATGGGCATATTCTAATAAATTTTTCGAACACAAGTATTTCATGTCTCATGGCTTCGAACAGCAGAAAATCCCGCTCTAGTGCCGATCTTGACGATGATGAAAGTTCATCCGGATGCGGCGTTGGGTAAAAATAATGCATACGAATTATTCCTGCATAAACTACCGTGGATTAATATTATGCAATGCAAGATATACTTATGAAATGTTTTTGTCACTTTAGCTATTTCCTAAGAAATGGGAGCATGGATTATAATCCTAAAGAAGCCTACTACGTTGATATCTACATGACGACGAATGCAGTGGCTACATATGTTAAAATGGGTCTCAGAGGTATTTCTTGAATTTAAATACCCATAGGTTAATCTCAAATTAATATAAATCTTTTCATTTAAAAGGAATGTTGGACGCTGTTTGCGTCCACTGTCCATCTGAGGACTATATGCTGTGCCTGCCTTTTGCGAAACAACTCGTGGATATTTTAGGCCAAAACCCCAATCTTGCGAAAATTGTTCCGACTGCTGACTTTGTTCAAACCAAGCAACCGTTCTCAAAGTTCACAGTAGCTTCAATCTCTAACTACGGGTTTTGGAAACGACCCTCCGGTAATTATTAAATTGTAGTATACACATGGAAGGAAATTAGTTTCAAGTGTTACATGCTAATCGTATTACGTAGATTCAAACGAACAGATCACGGTGAACTCTACATCATTCATTTGCATGGAGAATCCAGAGTACCAGGAGCAAAAATGTAGACAAATCTTGCATAAACCATGGGGAGAAAATGGTGTAATATTTTATGAAGAAGGCGATTCCTTTGACGAAAGTAAGCTTGAGGGAAATAATTCATATGCATTAATTTAACTTACATCGAAACATGTTTTTTTATGTGCAGTACACAAGCTGTACTTCACGCCCCTCCGTGGAGAAGATAAAAAGTACAACGGTCATCTTCTGATTGGCTTCACAACCTACGAATCTGTATGCCACGGAGCATCCGCATGTTTGCACCAGTCACTTGGTCACGGCCAGGGGAAAACCAGAGGTTGCGGCATTAGGTAACAATTTCTTGGGACTATTTCCATGTTTATGTATATCATGATAAGAGTAACACAAGTCCTCATTCTCATAGTTTTACCTGATTGTATTTACGTAGATATTTTCTACAAAGTGGTAAGATGATCTACTTTGGTGATGACTCGAAGCCTCTAAACGTGTATATGACATCCAACCATGGTGCTGTGACGTTCAAAATGGGCTTAAGAGGTACACTCCCCAGGTGTACATTAATTTTATATAACCAACTAATGCTTATGAATAATTTATAGCCGCTCTAGATGCTGTGTGTATTCACTCACCATGTCGCAGATTTCTTGATATTAAGCCGTACTTCGCACCCATATTGGACGTCTTGAAAAACATCCCTGAAATCAGAGTCATCCTCCCTACTTTGGACCAACTCAACCGAAAAGTACCCTTCTCACGTTTTACCGTCGCTTCGATCGCAAACTTTGGTTTGTTTATTCGTGGATCGGAAGTGACGCCAAACACCCCATGGAATTTCCATCTTGACAAACTCAGTGACATCCTACTTGATGCTTCAAAGACAAGCCAGCAATTAATGCATATGAATAATTTTGAAGATCGACAAGTCTTACAGGCGATCAAGGAAAACAAAACAAAAGAACAAAACCTCCTCGATCAAGAAAACTGTGCCATTATAGAATGGTTGAAGACGAACTACATTGCTTCCAAAGATCATTTCGTGTATAAGAATGACGTGTATTTTCATTACAAGAATTCAACAAGAAATCAGACTACGATTAGTAAAATGGCTTTCGGTAGGAAGGTTGGTAAAACCTTTAAAGAGATACACGCGACGAGAGCAAAGGATGGAAAATCCAAGCATAAGGGAATTGAAAAAGTGGAGGTAAACCAAGCCGACTCTACTGCAATGTTGTCGGATTTGGATGGCCAATATGTCCAGCGAGATGATATGGACAAACGATCATCTCGTGCGTCACGTCAAATAACATCAACTGTTCTAACACACGATTGGATCTTGCGCAACTTTACCATGGAGGAAAACGAAGAAGTGTTAAAAAGTGATGTGTACCCGTTGTACGTTGAAAATTTCGGACATGATAAACCTTTAAGCATAAACTTCTTTAATATGGAACTTAAAACATGTTTCCCGAATATAGGAATAGTAAGACACCAATACAACGGTCCTGGATCCGCCAAACGGTATTATAAAAATTTGAAGTACGTCGGATCCCAAGTATTATAATTCTAAGTCTGTTATTATAATTCTAACTTTGTTATAAAAAAATGCATATGACTTATTAGTTTGTTTGGTTAAGCTATGAACCATTATGTAGCAATAGTTGTATACATATGAATTAGTTGTTTAATTTACCACATTTTCATTTATAAAGTACAAATGTATCTTTGTTCAATTTTTGCATAACTATATGTACCATTGAATAAGTTATAACTTTGACTGCCAGGTAAAGATGCTTATTTTCTTTATTGATATTATCGCAGTTTTACACATTCAGTTAATAAATCTTGTCAGAATTAATTAGGATGGCAGTGACGAGCTCAATTGTAGAACTCAGATCAAACATCACACAGATCATTTTTCGCATGTGTACGTGCGTGATATTCGAGTCGATTCGATGATTTCGATGATTTCGATGATTGACCCCAGCCAGCCAAGCAGTAGAAGAATCGAAACCTTCAACATTTTTAAGTACGGATGCGAATAATTATTGAATTTTATACAAAATTAAGTGGCAAGCTTGTAATTGTGAAATGGTGTGAATGCACGACTTGGTGCTATTTTTGCTTTCACCACCGTTTTGGCATTCTTTCCCCACTTCGCTAACGCATGTCGCCATCTCCTCGTCGTATCTCATCCCCTCGCCGCATTTACAAGTGAAATTAGTTGTATCGCAGTGCAACCACTGGGCTACGTTGCAATAAAATTGGGGCGGATTTAAGGTTGAAGTTTCGGGGGCATGGGAAGCAGCATGTGGTGATGAGGACTGCCATGTGGTGATGATTGACATTCGAGTAGTGGACATATCATCATGATCAGAATTTGTTTTTTGGTCAGGAACTATTTCTGATGAAGTGGTTAGTTGTGTAGGATTGATGTTGTTATCATGCGTTATGGATGAATCAGTCGTTGACTTATCAGTATTTTGTGAATTAGTCGTCGCCGGTGCCAGCGGAGTTGTTGTTGACTTTGCAGATAAGCTTGTTTCTGGGCTCGAATCGCTCGAATCTGACTCAGATGTTGATGATATCGTTGAACTTGGGCTGAAAAAAGTCGTCGTTTCCATTACTCGAGTGGTGGATACAGAATCCTGTTCTGCCCTGTTTGTGTTTGTAGTAATGCTTGGCAATGTAGTGGATAAAGTTTCGGGGACGAATGTTGATAAAGAATTTGGAGACGTTGACATTTGCACCTGAGTTGTTCCCATAATTGATTCGGTGGTGGTGATGCTAGCCAAGTCTGGCATTGGTGAGGTTGTTGTTTCAGGGTCATCTTGCATGTGTGAGGTCGTAGGTATCGTTGTCGTTATTTGAGACGCTGAACTAAATTGATCAGTACCCATGGATTGAGTAGTGGAACTTAGCACTGCCTCGTTGCTCGTGTAGCTAGAACTTTCTCCGGATGCTGTCACCCCCGCTTGAGAAACAGTTTGTGCCGTTGTCTCCATCATTTTTGGCGATGTGACAAGTTCCATGGGCGTCGTATTAATGATTTGAGACGTCGTCCCATCTTGTCCCATCCATGTGGATGATGATATGCCATCAGTCATAAGCTGCTGCATGCAAAAATTAGGCAATTTTCTAATTTTGTGCATATATTCATGTAAATAAATAGGTAATAAAAAGACTCACTTGAGAACTAAATTCTCTCGAAATACTCGTCGTCGTCTCAGTTTGACTCATCATCACAGTTGTCAAAGTCTCCTGTTGTGGTTGAGTGTCACTCCCAGTCTCATCAGCGTTGCGATTAGTTTCCTCCGTTGACTTTTGGTTTTGAGTCAAAGAAATTAATTTAAAAGTGTCACTCACTGTCGAATCAGTGGACGACGTAGTAGGCGTGACATCAGGAGGCAAAGTTGTGAAAGTGGCTGCATCACCGTTAGTGGTCAATTCTTCTGAAATTGGATCTGCAAGTGACATTTGAACAAATGGGGAAGAATTTTGAGGCGAAGGTGTATAATCTTGAGAAGAATTTGTGGTTAAATCTTCCATTTTTGCAGCATTACTGGCGAACCTTGCTTCAAAATTTTCTCCATTATACAACGATCTCGATAAACTTGGGTGCATTGGTCTTTGTTCAAAATTATCATCAAAATCTGATTGCGACGACCCAGCCCTTGTCTCATCATCAGTCAAGTAATTGGGTTCATCATATGAATCCCTTTGTTTCAATGGGCTTATATCAGCTGCTTGTTCCAGCTGTTCCTCTGCGAAATACTTGATATTTACATTTCCAACTTTCTCATCCGTCACGTGGTTATCATCACGATTAGATTGCAACTTGTTGAACAAGTTTTGTAACTTTGCATGATTATCAGAGTGGACTTGAACTTTCAGGATGGGACTTTGCCTCTGTTGTATTTTTACTGCTCTCAATTTGCGTTGTGGTGTTGTGCAACGCTCACCAAATCCCACCGTCTCATCTGCAGATGATACATTTGAGAGAAAAATGAGCGGAGAAAGTAGGGAAATTATGTGAATAATGCCACGAGCCGATGTGATTGGGAACATTCCGGCTAAATGTTTAAATAATTATGTAACAGCGACAATATTTGCACGCAAGTTTTTTGAAGAAATTAATTGCATACCTTTCGTGGAATCGTGCCACCAAAGTCGTGATATTAAGAATCCAATTCGGTCAGGCTTGCCACACAATGTCCTTGATTATTTGACATCAAAAACACTTGCAGAGAGAATTTCTTAGAAACTGGAGGAACTGTTTGACGCTAAGGATTAATTCCAGGTCAAAAGCATAGTGTGAAAGTTACATGTTCAACTTCAGAGAGAAAACTCATCTAATAAAGTAATTTTCCCAATGCTGGGTTTTATTACTTGCAGTTGACAGTCTAGCCTATTCAGAACTTGCACTAAAACTAAGGAGAATTAACCGATAACCGTTTAATGGTTTGGTACAAAAGTGTGAATCAATACCTCTTCATTATTCAATGCAAATAAAGTCCTCTTAAGACACTTTATTGATAAGCCTGATACTGAGCGACGCCTGCATTGCTGCCAATCCATTGCACTTTGTTGACGTTTTCCAATATCGAACGCTTACACGATTCTTGTGGTGACACAGAAATTAATCTGGAGCAGTTATGCATTTCTCAAGACAAACAAGGGCGTAGGAATGGTAGAAAATTTCTGTGCCGAAATCATTCAGCAAATGCCGAAGGATCTACTTTAAAAGTTTTCTTTTTTTAATTTTGACGTGATGCAAAGTTTGCATGCACAATTGTGTTACACAAGTTGTGTACAGCGGTTAGGTACGAGTACGAGTACGTGGGCAATAACCGGGTTCAAGTGAACGTCCCATTTTCTGCATGCAGATCAGGGTTCGCTACCCCGGGTTTTTGTGGGTTGGGGTTTTTGGGGTTTTTGTGGGTTTTTGGGGTATCAAATCTCCGGAAAAACCCTAATGCTTAATGGGGTTTTTGTGGGTTTTTCCGGGGTTTTTGTAAGATTTTGGGACAGATTGAAACAAAATCCCTTAAACTACAACTTAAATCAATGCTAATTAAATTGACGGATTCATCATAAAATTTTGAGAATTTTCATGTGCGACTTGAATTTCCAAGTTTTATTGCATATTTCCAAGTTTGCATGCGAAATATGAATTTTCGATTTAACAGTCCAACTCAATGATAACGCCTAAAATTGCATGTCAAAATCGTATATTAAATTACTTTTTATCTAATATATAATTTAAAGAATTTTGGTTCAACCTGCCCCAAAATCTACAAAAACCCACAAAAACCCAAAAACCCACAAAAACCCCAAAAACCCCGGAAAAACCCGCGGGGTTGGGTTTTTCTAGAAAAACCCCGGGGTTTTCCGAACCCTGATGCAGATTAGAAAAATGAAATATCAGACCGAGGAAATTTGGATAGTATGTAAATATGCATGTGGAAAGCGTGGAGCCAATTATTAGCTCAAATAAATTGACAACGTGGGGAAAGTATGTACATTCATACAGCACCGGAGAAAGTTATACATTCATACGTACGTAGACTGTCATCAGTTTTGCTGGACAATATGAATATTTTATTGTAAATGGTGCATGTATGTCTGGATGGAGGAATCGTCTTTATTTATTTCCAAAATTAAACTATTGGGTTGCTTGACCTTTCATTTTCAACGGTATGAATTTATTAGTGCAAAGACCTGACGGAGAAATTTTGATATCGATTTATGAAATCTTTGTCACCAGGAAATATTTATTTATTTGTTTACTTACACCCGCATGGTCAAATAATTTCGGTTGAAATATGCATGCATTGATGCCGAAAAATTTTCGATGAGAGCTTTTCCTAAATTGGACAAAGTATAGAAAATATGCAATAATACGTAATTATAGTCGTCTCAATTTGTCGTAAATGAATGTGTACTATCGACAATATTTTGTAGGTTGTGGTGGCCATATAATAATATGCATGTACATATACGGGTGAAATAATAATGTATCTATCTGTCTTGGTATGTATGTACATAGGTTCGTGTTCAAACTTGCTAAGTGGGCCAACATGCGATAATGAAATTACTGAAATTTCATACTTCCAATTGCTTTAAAATGAGATAGACGCCGCAGTGTGTGTTGAGTATTCTATTGAAATATATTTTAGCTTGAAATAAGTTTAATAATATAACATGACTAAAGTGACACCCTTTCACAGTGTCCTATTTTTGATATTAATATTTTACACCGAGTTTCCACCTTCCTTGGGATTGGCGGACCATGCAGCGTATTTCATACGAAATGCACAAGACGATTTGGTACATGCATAATTTTGCTGGTTATTCATTGGCATTCTTGTAATAATTACGATGTTTCAGTGTATCACAGTTGGACCAATACTTAGCAGCGAAAAGGTGGAACTTTTTAAACGAGGTCTCACAATTTCGTCAAATTGTACAAATAGTCATGACCAGCAGTGGGTTATCACGGGAATAAGTGCGTTATCATATGCGTCTGAAATAATCCTCACTTTGTGCATGTATGAAATTTTCTCAGGCGATTCGTTCGGTGTTAAAAGGAAATATAAGCTGAGATCATTCTACTCTCAGCTTTTGGATAGGGACTTGAATGCCCAGCTTCGTGGAGAGTTTATCATTTATTTCCCAACTCATGTCCAGTTCTTCTCAGTTGTTAAAAACATGACGCAGTATTATGCCATTTATGACACTGGGGATAAAAAGTGCTTGCAAAGCGATGGGTAAAATTGTCAAATTGTACTAACAATGGGGGTCTCTCAGCGTATGCTCTCAGATTTTGGTCAAACTAGTGTCAATCGATCACAAATTTGATTAATATGAAATTTGCAAAATACACGATCTCCCAATACGCTTTAGCAGAGATATTTGCATCTGATGAGGAGAAAACGCGCAGTAAATTTAGAAAGTGTAAAATTTGTCAACGTGAGGACCCGTTTTCTCCTCTCTAGATGCAAATATCTCTGCCAAACGTGTCCATTGGGAGATCGTGTCTTTAGCTAATTTCATATTAATTAAATTTGTGATCGATTGAGACTTATTTGATCAAAATCTGAGAGCATATGCTGGGACACCTCCATTGTCAGTTGCATTACAACACATTTTCAGAATTACAAATTAAACTAATTTAATTTTTTAACAACAGCGACAACCACGTTTTACACGCAGCAGATTGCAATTTTCAAACCAATCCGTCTCAACGCTGGAGTTTTATTTTAGTCAATCAAGCCCACGCTGCAGGTTCAATTTGCAGCTCTTTTTGGTCCTGTAATCAATAAGAAGACGATTTTGTTTTCAGTGATTTATTACTAAACATGTCAACTTGTTGACAGCTCATCTCACAGATCGTGGTGTCTGTGAGTGAGAAAATTATAACTTTAATGGTTCGGTTCATCAGTTAATAATGCAGTTTGTGGATGCTCAGAATGTGCTTATCTTCCCTTTTCCTGTGGAAATGACGTCAATGTGTTAATGAGCTTTAGCTAATAAGTTGCCCTGCTCATTTCTTAATCAATACGGCCTTGTTGTTACATGTGCGACATTGATGTGATATGCATAAGTAAAATTTATCGATTTCTTAATGCGAGTTGTCTAATTTATGTATCTGCAGGATTCGAATGGAAAGCTAAATGCCAGAAATTTCCTATTTCGCTACATAAATGTGAATCCATACGAATTTGATAACTGGTAAAACCAAAATGGTATCAATATCCGACTTGCGACTAAATAAGCTCTTGTCCTCTAAATGTCCGATATTACCCAGTCCTGCCATTGAATCAAACGCTAAAAGAGACATTAAACGCACATTATTATCTAAAATCCACGTGTTGTGATAAATGGGGACTCGATTAATACTGTTAACACCGTTCACACTTGAGACTTGATGTCACATCCTGTTGGAATATGAATAAAAATGATAATCACTTTAATGCATACATTCTGAGTGTGATATCTACCTGCATTGTATTTATCAATAATCCCGATAAGGCACAAATAAATAAAATTATAAATTGGAAAATTATTAAAAACTATGTAAACGCTTATCTCATACATATTTACATATGCACAATGTAATTAAACATGTAAAGAATTTCTAAAAAAAAGTGGATATGGACGACTTGATTTATTGTCACCTTATGCAATCCGTGATAATTTGTGGAGCAGGAGTGACCTGACCTTTCGGGATTGACGCACTTTGAATGAATGATTCCTACACTTTTAATTTTTTTCTTAAGTGTTATGAAGGAATTCTAATTGATAAGGACTTGCATAATGTTTGTGTCTGCAACTGTGTGTATTTGTTTTATGTATTTGTAGAGCCGAGTAAACCGAATATATGAAGATTTCACTTAAAGTGTGACATTCATTTCAAGATTTAATTCATACATTACAAACTTTCCAAGTCTCTGTATTTCGCGTCTTTTTAAAAATGTTGGTCGAATTTTTAACTTGGTTAGCATATTTTTCAACAAGTCTTTTAATCGTGGTAATTAGCGCGAGTATAATCTACGCCCGATGGCATTACGGCTCATTGGAAAATTCCATTGGAATGCCGGCTGTTATCAAACCCTGGTTTATTGGAGGAAGTGACCCATTTTTCTATAAAAGTGTGTGCTGTGAAGAAGATATTAAACGCGTGCAGAAACATGGTCGTGTTTTTGGGGTAAGTTTTATTTTTTGAAAATATAATTATAAATTTTGAAATATTTTTTATTAATTACTAATCCAAACACAGATGTACGAGGGAAGAAGCCCGCAAGTATTTGTTGCTGATCCCGACTTAATTCGATCAATATTCATCAAGGATTTTGACCATTTTTATGACAAACGGATTCTGGATTATGGTCACCCTCTGATTTCAGAGATGATGGATGTCCTACCTTGTATGTCATACTCTCCTCTAAAATTATATCCACTGCATGATATGACACGCGTGAAGATGACATACATACACATGAATCTGTTTTATATTTTTGTATGTATTACTGGATTTTGTTGTTGTGGTTGGAATTTCAGACGACAAATGGAAAGTGGTACGGACTTATCTGTCTCCGCAGTTAACAACGGGCAAAATAAAAGCGATGAGTTATCAAATGCTGGAAGCGATTAATAACTGGGTCGATAAACTCAAGGCCAAAATGGATGAGGAAGATTACACCTTTACGCCCAAGCAGTAATAATAAACATACATATTATTTGTTACTATTCAGTTCTTATTGTGACAATTATTTTTTTCACTTGTTGTTTATTCGCTCAAATTATTTAACTTTTGTTATTATCGCAGCGCATTTACCACGCTGACGACTGATGTCATAGCTCGATGCGCGTTCGGTACCACGATCAACACTTTTGACGATCCAGACAATATTTTTGTAAAAAATGTTAAAAAATTGTCCTTTGATGATGGTGATGCTAATATTTTGTTCACGGGGACTTGTAAGAATGATATATGTACCATAATTATTGGCTGATTCTTAGATATAAGTCGACACTTATCATTTTTAATTTCAGTTACATTTCCATTTATCGCATCATTAGAGCCATTCGTTTCTTCCGAAGTTATGCAATTTTTTGACGACCTTCTCAAAGGGATATTGAAGCAGAGGAGGGACAGTGGTCGCGAAAGAATTAATGATTTCGTCGATGCTATGAATGACATGATAGAAAAATGTTCCACAGATCCGGAATATATTCAATTGAACATTAAGGAATCTACTATCATGGGCCAAGCGATGATTTTCCTCTTGGCAGGATTCGAAACTACGTCGACGACTCTGTCCTTGATGGCGTTTCATCTCGCCAAATTTCCAGAAGTGCAGGCCAAACTTATCAAAGAAGTGGATGAGTATTTGGAACGCCACGATGGAAAAATTGAGCACGAGACGGTACGTGAATTGGTGTTCGTCAATGCGGTAATGAACGAAACTTTGAGGATGCATCCCCCACTGATTCGAATTGAAAGGGTTTGTCAGAAGGACTGGATTTGTGAAAAAACTGGGCTGCATATTAAAGAGGGTGTAACCGTTCAAGGTAAAACTGCATACATATTCTAGAAATTGTTTCCTGAATCAGAGGTCAACGACGACCAATTTTGCGGTGGCGTCAGGCCCAATTTTTCGACGGCGTTGGCGGCATGGCGTTCCATAGGGGGCCGTTCTTAAATTACGTAACGTTAAAAATTGATTTTCTCGACCCCCCCCCCTCCCCCCTTTAACATGGCGTACATAGGCACGATATCATTGGGGCCTAAACCCCCTCCCCCTTCAAGCGTTACGTAATTTAAGAACAGCCCCTAGGAAATAATATTTGTCGGCGGCGTTGACCTATGTCCAGAATCACACTTTATCCTGTTCTTTATTTTGCAGTTCCCTGTTTTGCTGTCCATTATGACGAAAAATATTACTCAGAGCCATACAAATTTAAGCCGGACAGATTTCTCCCAGAAAACAAGGATAAGTTAAATCCTTATGCTTTTCTCGCATTCGGACAAGGGCCTCACAACTGCATCGGAACTCGGTTTGCCAAAGAAGAAATACAGCTCACGATGGCTTCAATATTTAAGCATTTCCAATTTGAAGAGTGTCCTGGAGCAGAGTTAAAGATTAAACCAGGACGCTTGTTTATCAACAATTATGGATCTTTCTCTGTGAATCTTGTAAAACGAAATATGTAAATAAGGTGAACAAAAATAGAAATGGTTGTTTATACAAGGTAACCTTTATCGAGGGATTTTTTGGACATCTTTAAACTTAATCTCACAATTTATGCAATAAATAAGTGTAGCACCATATTTTAAGTTAATTGAGTAAGTCTGAAGAGAGTTATCGGGCATAGGAGCCCTGGCCCAACAAGTAACCGGACCCAAACACTGGGTTATAAATTAATTTAAAGAAATTATAAATCATACTGATTATCTCACTTGATGAAATCTCAAATGAACTTAATTATCAACTCAACAATCATCCATGCAGAATAAATGAAAGTTGTAAAATATTCCTGCTCGAAATATTCACAAAAAGAGTAGTGAACTGGTTCTGGCTATTTAGATATTTATTTAATTTTCCTGAGATCAACTTGTGCAATTTTTTTTAATTCAAAGAGAATCTTTGGATGATTGAAAGACTGCAAATATACAAAAGGTAAAGAAAGTAACCTGACATGTATATCACTAAAAACGAAGCGATCACAATAAGTAGCTGACGCTTCTTGGTAAAATGTGAAATGTTACAAGATTAGTTATCAATGACGTTTGGAAGGTATAATAAAATTCAAATTGAAATAAAGTTATCTAGTTTAACACATTAAATATAGTTATATTTAAATGACGTCACCCAAATTAAGACTGAACATGGTTTTCTATCGTGTAGGTAAGTATATTATGTAACAATTGGAAATGCAATGGATGCATGAAGTACATATGTAGATGAAATTGTGTTAGTTAAATTTATTAGAAATGTTGCATGCGTCAGAAAAATTATAATAAATGCATGATAAATAGTTAGGTTAGGTTAGTAAAGACATGTAAAATATATAACACAATTTTTATAAAGAAAGTACAAATTTCACAATTTATTTAGACGGTTTACACCATCTCCAGGGATAAGCATCTTTTCACTTTCACTCCTGCGTCACGTTTTAAATACAATTTACTTTCATTTAAATGGACAATGAAGGAATATTCTATTAATTTATTTTCAATTTATCTTCATAAAGCACAATTTAGCTACTTGATCACATTGAATATGAATCCGTACAGTAATGTGTATGACCTTGTGCATATACATACATACATATGTATTTAATTTATGTATGTACATACAAAACATATCCAGTAACATCACTTATTTAGAAAATTGCAGTAAGCAGTATCATGCAAAAACAACCAGAGGATTTTGGGCTCATGCAGCATTATACACAAAAAATGACGCTTGAGATTTTCAAGGTGACACCGAACTGAGGATGAGTGGCTTGTGCTGACCAAATGCTAATATGCAAGTAATCTTCTAAATGGTATATGTACATAATATGAAAAAATGTGCAGCGAGGATAGAGGATAACAATAGGATAAAGTGTAAGGGGAAGGTCACTTTTTTTAGTACTTCGAAGGGTCTAAATTAGACCTTTTTTCAACGTTTCGACCTCTGGGGTCTTCTTGACGAGGGATTAATTTCACATGTTGTTGATCCGTGAGATTCACTCTCGAAGGACCTAATTTGGACCTTTCGAAGTACTACAAAAATGAGCCCTTCTCCTTCAACTTTATCTGAATGGGTCAACTGGCAGATTTTTTCTTTCGCTGATTTGATTTGAGTTGCATGTTTGCTGGTACATAAATAAAGAACAACCTCCCAATCCAATTCAACAGAACGTGAACACTGGACACTGGTTTTAAGTGCATATAGAGGCTGACCAAATGCTGCATAATAAGTAATCTTCTGAATGGGTCGACTGGCAGATTTTTTCTTCGCTAATTTGATTGGAGTTACAGAGTTTGCTGGTATATAAATACAGATCAAACGATACTCGACTTCAATCTAATTCAACAGATCGTGAACACTGGTTGTGCATATTGCTATCATCCATCATGATTTTGGAATTGTTAACCTGGGCAGGATACCTGTTTGTTACCCTTTTGGTGGGGGTGGTCACAACAGCGATTATTTATACTCGGTGGAATTATGGAGTTTTGGAGAGCACAAAAGGCCTTCCAGCAGTGATACAGCCATATTTTGTGGGAGGAAGTGATCCCTTCTTTTACAAAAGTATTTGTTGTGAGGATGACATGAGACGTGCCAAGATGTACGGTCCTATTTATGGGGTAAGCTATTATCCATCCATCCGAGCTATTTTTGATAAAAAACAGCCACTTCACAAACATATACTTATTATTTGCAGATGTACGAAGGCAGGTAAAGGTTCATACATATGTAAAATCAGTGGCCGCGGAAGTGTGAGGACGGAGGGACAATGCCCCCATGGTTATTTCATGTCCCCATCATCTGCCCATGTTATACAAACCCCTCCCTCCCCTATCCTACAATGTTAATGTCCCCAGATGTCCCCACGACTTCCGAGGCCACTGTGTACAAATGGTTTGCGTTTGTGACCAATATAACCTCTAATACATTATTTTTTGTAGGGCTCCACATATCTACATCACCGACCCAGAACTTATTCGATTGATTTTCATAAAAGACTTTGACCATTTCCAAAACAAGCGAATTTTTGAAACTGGACACGAATTAATCAACGATATGATGGACATTCTGCCATGTGTGTTGCTTATCTCTAAATACGTATATATTTTGTTATCTCAGAGTTGCGTAACTTGTTTAATTATAACTTGGTGTACACCCTTCAGATGATAAATGGAAGGTCGTTCGAAACTATTTTTCCCCTCAACTCACAACTGGAAAGATTAAGAGTATGAGTTATCAAATGCATGAGACAATTGATGATTGGATGAAGAAGATGATTAAGAAGGCGGATGGCACGCGTTATACGGCTGACCTCAGAACGTATGTGTTCAAATAAACTTAGTTCAAAATATGAGAAATTATGGTTTAAGTTATAAATATTTATTGTTTAGCGATTTCACGGCGCTGACTGTCGATGTGATAGCGCGATGTGCTTTTGGGACAAAGATCAACGTTTTAGATGACCCAAACGATCCTTTTTTCAACTATGTGAGAAAAATGTCATTTGATGATGTAGAGCCCAACTGGATGTTTAGTGCGATCCGTAAGTGGTCAAAATGAAATGCTTTTCCTGTTCACATGTTTTTACGCATTTATTTTTTTATACGTAGAAATGTTCCCATTTTTGGCAACCCTTCAGCCATTTTTCCCCAAAGAAGTTATGGACTTTTTTGGCGATTTATTGAAAAACATCCTCTCCACCCGAAGACAAAGCAAACAGCGTGCAAACGACTTTGTCGACGTGATGAATGACATGATTGATAAGTGCAAAACCGATCCAGAGTACAAACGGTTGGGCATAGACGAAAATACTGCGATGTGCCAGGCCATGATATTTTTGCTAGCCGGCTTCCAAACCACTGCAGAAACTTTGACCTTAATGGCGTTCAGACTCTCGCAGCACCCAGAAATTCAGGACAGGCTTATTCAAGAAGTTGATGATTTTTATAAGCGACACAACGGTAAAATAGAGCATGACCACCTCAGTGAATTGGTCTATTTGACCGCCTGCATGAACGAGACGCTCAGAATGAACCCGGCATTGATCCGAATTGAACGCGTCTGTCAGAAGGATTGGACACATGCACCAAGCGGTTTGACTGTGAAGAAGGATACTGCAATTCAAGGTGATAATTGCAAGAAATAAGTGCAAGAAAGTGGTTTCTTGTAGCTATTTTGACCTGCAAGAAATGCAAGGCGCTAAGAAACTATGCCCTGCCGCTATACGGCGCGTGGCTGGAGAGCGCATATTTCTTGCACCTTGCGTTTCTTAATTACTTTGAAATTTAACAAACCCGTAAGCAGCGAAGCACTAATAGTGAGGCTTGCCCCCCACTTGGCCTACATTGTCCGCAAAGATTAATATTCTGGATATTTTCACTTTTTTCCAGTGTCTGCCTTTGCTGTACATTTCGACGAGAAAAACTTTCCCGAACCGTACGAATGGAAACCGGAGCGATTTCTTCCAGAAAACAAGGAAAGCATGAACCAATACGCGTTCCTTTCTTTCGGCCAAGGTCCCCACAACTGCATCGGGATGAGGTTTGCCAAGGAAGAAATTCAAATGACGATGGCATCCATATTGAAGAGTTTCCGATTTGAGGACACGGAAGGAGCAAAATTGAAGATGAAACCTGGCCGTGTATTTTTAAATAATTATGAGCCCTTCAACTTGTGCATGGTTCCACGAAAGTAAATATTTAGTATATGTAACTTGTTAATAAATTTTTAATTCTATAAAAAAATGAACTAATTCAAGCGTCTGAAGGTGGTGGTGGTGCAGCTGGAGGGGCGGCAGTGCCACCACTTTCTGGTTGTGCATCAGGGCACGCAATCTCCTTGTACGACTGAACATGATCTTCCATTTCATCCTTGTTCCCAACAAGATTTGCATTGTTGATACAGAATCCAAAATTTTTCGAAATTTCTTTGAATCCTCCTTTCGACTCGTACCACTCCCAGTAAGCCTCGATACCTTTGGTCCACCCTTTCTGTGTATCATTTGATGATGATTCTGCCCCCGAGTCTACTGTGCTGGTCGACGTGTCGGGTTTTGGATTCTCTGAGGCCTCCCTGAAATTATGTGCAAATAACAACAGCATTCAAAATTATTACATTGGCATATTCAAAATGTGGTTACATATATTCACTCACTGTCCAACATAAGGTCGATCTAAGCGTTTAGTAAATGGAGACATTTTGGTGCCACCGATCACACAAGCGTCCAAACTTCTCATAGTTTGTTGAATGTCTTTCGTGTTTAGGACATTATTCCAAAATATGTCTTGCTTTAAAGTTACGGGAACTTGCCTTGAAAAAAAAGGTTTCAAATTGGCATTTAAGACGCGTTGCATTTTACTATTAGTAATTTAGCGAGTTAATTACTCACCAATGCTTGAGAACCATAGCAGTGAACAAGCCCTCCAACGCCATTTCATAAGTGTGTAAATCCATAATATTGTCCACAAAGGTTTCGAAGCAGTAGCCATGAACAAACTCGACAGCATTCCATCCTGCTTCTACGAACGGGTTATGTCTCCGCCATCGAGCTGAGTAACCAGTCAATCGGTACTTCCAGTACTCTTCCGATCTGAAGTAATATATTCCATCTACTTTTGGATATCCTGATAGAATACAAAAAAGAACAAGCTACATATACTTTGCATATCAGATATTATTTACAAACACGTATGCATTTGCATCATTTCGTAATATTAGATATTACACAATACAATGCGTGCAATTATTTAGTCTGATGTGTGTGTACGCAATCCCCAAATTATGTCATAATCGTATTACCATCACAAACCGTGCCATTCAGGTAAAATCCCAAATTACGCTTTTGTAGGCATCGATTGAGTGCAATGTTCAGAGTTTTGTACTCATTGGTGGTAACATCTTGAATAACTGACTCATTTTTAGAAGCCATGTAAATAAATGCTTTGAGCACTTGTCGGTAAAATTCTTCATCCACAAATGGAGTACACCCCGCCACGGTAATTCGCATTGATTTCGCTGAAAATTTAAAATCTGTTAAATCTAGGAATAAAATTTTAATTAGTAAGTCAACAAATCAAAGTTACCTAAAAGTTTCAAAACTCTGAGATGCTCTCCGTCATCGACATCATTCGTTAACGGATCTCGTTTCCGCTTTCTTTTACTTTTTCCAAGTTCGCTAAGAATTTGGTCCAACTCCTCGTCGCCATCCTCTTCTTCGTCATCGTCCAGTAAGGCCAAGAAAATTGCCTTGTTTAATTATAGAGCTTGTACTTGTGAAACGTTGCTAATACTGCTGGGATTGGTGCCGTCATCGATGAACGGTTCGTCTTCGACGGCAGCAGGGTCAACCCATTCTCCGAGACAGGATGACAGACAAATATCTTCAGGGTCAACTATGACATACATCAAGTGTGTAAAAAATAGGGGAACATTATCCAGTAAAAATTTAAATTGCTTTCGTGCAGAAATTTGGCCTAATTTTCTACAGAAAAACTTTATGCAGAGCGATTTGTGCAGAAAACTATGCAGAATATGAATGTATTTATAGTTCTGCAGAATATATAAAACCCAGAGATTTTCTGCAGAATTGTGTAAACAAAATTATGCAGAATACAATATGAATTTAGCGTTTGTCCATTATTGTAGAATTTTACGCAGTGATTTCTATTAGAATTTGTAATTTTATTTAATATCTAGTCCTAAGTAATTCTTACATTTGCCTCCTGTATCCGACTCCAAAGGGTCGTCGTTGACATCAAACATGACTTGTTGGAGGTTCTAAGAAATGTACTTTTACTCCAATATCAAAATATTTAATATCCACTTCTATTGTGAATTTGTATATTTGTACCTCCCCAAATTTACTCAAGTCGTCTTCATTATTACTGAGAACGTCAATTTCATACGTTGTACCAGCATCACACACGTCCCCAACAAATTTTGCGCTGTGAAAATTGCACAGGGTTTAATTTCATGATTCTTAATTTTAATACCAGAATTAATTGCTCTCACCCTGCAGTAGACACGTTCTTTGTTCGTGCAAAATATTTGCAGGTAAGGTTCAATTTTTCTTTTGCAAAAAAACCTCCAGGACAATCCAATTCTGTGAATATGTAATTATTGCAAGTGTATCTTTCCATATCATTTTGTTTACTGGTTATAATGCAGGAATCTTTATACATAATCAACTTACCACTCATTCGATGTGGTCCCTTGTAACAAAATCTGAACTCTGCATGTGTTGCGACAATGGATAAAAATACACATAATAAAATATCCAATTTATTTTTATTTTTCATTTTTTGTACAAATCAAAAAACACTATTTTAGAATTTTAATCACAAATACTATTCATTCAGAGCAGAGGGAATCAAGCTTGAATGCTAATTATTGTTATGACCCAGAGAAAAAATAAATAATAATTTACCGTCATTTCACTTTCTAATTTATATACAATGACAATCCTGAATGTCATAAATACTTGCATCTTTTTAACACATAATGTAATATGTGCCATTTTTCAACTTTCAACATCAACCATGCCAAAAATACCATGAATCCAGTTTATGCAACACATCCATATAAATAGACCCGTGTCATTGTCTACCTCAGAAATTGTTCAATATTACATAGTCACTAACCGAAAGAGCAAACATAAATGGTCTTTGTACACCTGGACGACACGATGGAATGATAATATTTTGCATGTGTACATATGCCATACATATTCGCCACCCGGGTCAATAGCTTTAGTTTCACTTCATCAACGACAACACTGTCCATCCTTGATATTGTCTTGTGCAGAATAGTAAATGACTTCCTGCATTTCAAGTCCAACAAACTCAACTCACCTACGACGACTACGACCAGGTGGAAATAAGCGTAGTTAAGTTCCCATCTAATAAAAGAAATGAAGCAGGAAGTACGCTTGTGTATAAGTAAATCGGGTATTTCTCCCTCCTGGCCGCATTTGATACCCGGATGTATCCAAGGTATGGACATTGCCAAGTCTGCGTAATATGTACCACCTGCAGCCTGCCAACCAACTCATTTTTAGTGAAATCGATCAGTCTTATTATTTACCCGTTGCTATTCAGCTTTTACTTCATTTCATGTCATGTCAGTACCACTACCACGCTGCGACTCCAGCAACAACCGAACTGATCGTGCCATTCTCCGATTTCTGATTTGCCTACGAAAAACTTTCATTCTTCTCTGCAAAGTCATTTCCTCGCATAAATCCTGTCCCACAAAAATCATCCTTTGGTCAAATTCGTGACACATTGTTCTCTTCCAAGTTGGCACAAAGAGAGAGAGAGTAGCGTAGCGTAGGATGTTGTGTTTGTGCTCTGCTCACAGTTATAAAAAGAAAGTTGGGAATAGATTGTCAGTTTAGTTAGATATTTGCTTTCACTTAAACCTTGGGAATAAATCTTGAATCACGTCGGATCACGGCATCGTAGGTTCATATTTATAAGGTCATGTGAGTGAAGGACGTGTGTATATATGTATTTCGGATACATAATTGAATAGTTTTGGTATAAGTATATTTATACATTGTGCCAAGAAGATAGTTCAATTTTGTCCTCAATTGTGTTCACACGAGGATCAAGTTTGTATTAAGGTTTAGATAGTAGACTAGACACGGGATATAGTGAAACCCTTGGCGTAAACTTGTATGGAAATTGTGCATTTCACCAAAATGTTCTGTGTTGGATATATGTAAATACGCACAAAAATATCAGCCCGTAATTAGCCTCTAACCTGCGAGTATACCTAATTGGAGCGGTTCCACTCCTCTCCATTGTACTTTCTTAAGGTCAAACTTGTCAAACAGTGTGAAATCTTGTCAAACTCGAGTCCTTTCAAGACTGGATCGGATACTCTGTAATTTTGCAAATGAGTCTCAATTTGGACAATTTTGAGACTGATTACTCACGAGATACGCCGTACATCCTGACCAGTCCGAGGTCTCTGAAAGCCTGTGCTGTTCTCGGTGTTCAAGTAAGAATATAAGACCGTGCATACTACGTTTTCTTCTGCAGATTTGCATCATGCGGAACTAAAGTTTTCTCGTTTCGTGTTTAGCCAATTGAACTAGTTTACCGAAGTTTGGAAGAGTATGAAGAAGCTTTGTGTGATCTTCCTTTATCAGAAATCTACAGGATTTACGAGGAAAATGAGACTAAAAGACAAGGTAATTACACACATCCGCTACTACTTTGCATAATAATGTGCTTCCGACACATGTAATTTTCTACGTATGCAAATCAAATTATTTCTAGATTATTCTTACATAATTACTCCGTATCTTAATTTCAGAGTTGTTACTGAAGTGTCGAGAACAACGAGAACTTATAAGACACGGCTACACCATGGCAGTTTCTCAAGTGTTTGAAGAATCTTCTTCCACGACAGACGATCCTCCACGACACGAACGACCAAATTCTCAACAGCAACAGCGGAATAATAAAGATAAGCAGCAGCTTATCCGGTCCAGTGTTCGGAGCAACATTCGTTCCGCCGGTGTTCTAAAGAATAATAAAAATGTGAACAATAACCGCTCATCTTCTCCCGTCGCGCGGAGATATGCTTCCGCCCCATCCAGAAACAAGCAGACGGGGTCCCAACCAAATCTTTATGGTGTTAATTTTAAGAGAAATAACTTGAAGTCCAGTCTGACCCCGTTGTCTCCAAGAGCACAAAGCAGGAGCAGCAGTGGGAGGAGGCTCGTGTTTCATCAAACGTCCGATACCGAGTCCGCCACGGATGAGCATGGAGGTCACACTTTGCTAATTGACAATCCGTACTATGCCTCGAGTAGAAGTGTGCCCGATCTTACGTCAAAATCCAATCTGGACTTTAGGAAGATTGCTTCAAGCCCGAGAAGTCATTGTCCGTGCAATTGGGAAATTACGGATCGCAACGTGCTTGCAGGGTATTTAAAGCAGTAAGTTTTGGAGAATTAAAATTTCGGAAATTTCATTGGATTTTTGCAGTGGTAATTTTTAAATTTTGTGTGTTTTATGTATGGATCAGGTACAGTGACATTCTAGATTCTCCCGACTTGTCGTTTGAAGACAGAAAAATTATGGAATGTCTCATATTGAAGAAAGGAAAGGAAATGGAGTGGGAGAAAAAATCTCAAGAGATGAGAAAATTACTGGAGAAAGAACGCGTGCAGAGATGGACCGTAAGTTATATATATTACTTATTTTGTATTTATGCTTACATACGGGTTTTTGTTTTAAAAGAAATGCTTATGCATTTCAGGAGAATCAACTACTGATGCAAAATTGGCAAGACAAATTGGCCGAAAAGAGGCATTATGAGAACTTGGAAAACACCAAGCGATACTTGGACATACAAGACAAATCTCTGCAAAGTCGCAGCAACTTGATGCTCTATATAGAAGAAAGGGATCGAAAAGTGCAGAGATATTTGGAGGAGATGAACTATAAAAAGGTATGAAAATTTAATTGTTTATGATTTTTGAGAGAAATGCAGCAGGTTGTTTTTTTTACATATCAATGTAGAAGAAAAGTTTGCTAGAAAAGCAGAAGCGTGAGGCTTTGAGACAATTGGAAGTGGGGAAAGCAATCGAGAAACTGGTGGAGGAAGATAGGACACACCGACAAATTCTTAAGGACAAACTACAACGGCAGATGGAAGAGGCTGATACCCGGAAAAGACTGAGAGAAAGAGACTATTTCCGGGTAAATTGTTCATTTCGTTGTATTCGAAATAATTCCATGAAGGAAAACATATTTAAAAAATAATTTGTTAAATGAAACTTGACCAAATTGATATGCACACATAGCACGTGTCAGAAATGAACCGAATGGAGGACATAAAACGCACCCTAAAACTGGAACAACTGGAACAAAAGACTCGCGAATCTGTTGAAGAGCTAAAAATTCAAATCGAAGAAAAAGAACATCGAGCTCGTATGAATTACTTGAATCGCATCCGCCTCCGAGACCAAGCTCTCTCCGAAGGGTCCGGGAACAAACAAAAAGCCATGGAAAAAGTCCAATCCATTCATTCCGACTTGCTCAAAGGTCTGGAAGAATGGCACAAAAAAGTATTGGAGCTCCATATGGAGGCACAAAAACGGGCGGAAATTAAATATAATCAGGAAATCCACCGGAGGCGGATTCGTGTCGCAAGTGATCGCATTTTGCGAGAGGAACGCAGCTCGGAAATGCTACGGCGCGTGCAAGAGTTGGAGGAGCAGAGGAGAGGTCTTTTGAAGGCCACGATTCAATCGAAAGAGTGCAAAACTGCGAGGGTGAAGCAGGACAAGGACAGAAAAGTTCAGATTTCGAGGATAAGAGCGCATCATGCGGCAGAATTGAGGAACAAGCTTAAAGAGAAACTGGCTCCGGATACTTTTGCGAAAAAAGCTGCACGGGCAGAAATGGAACTCCGGATTATGAAGAGGATTCATAATCCCCCCTCAGGATTTAGTGTCAGGTTTAATCCGAAACTATTAATTAACAAACGGTGCTCCTCGTGTTATGCGAGCAGTAGTGGTGGCGGTAGTAATAAGAGGACTCATCATGATAATCATCATTCTCATTCAAGGCATTGTGCTCATAGTATTAGTGGTGGAGGTGGAGGTGGCAGTGCAAAATTAGCATCCGGGTTTGGTGGTCCCATAAAATGTTTTCATTAAAAATTAAGCTTCAAACTACATGCTGTGTATGTTATACCATTTAGTTCAGAATGCATTTATTTATTTATGTTCAATAAACTCATGGATTTTACTCGCGAGAAATATTTTATTACTGTTTGATGACTGCAAGCAAATTCCTAATTTCTTTACCGTTTCTCACTTTACTTCATCAAGGTTGTTTCCAGATGGATAATTGAAACGCGACTGAAATGCGATAAATACATGACGGATTTTAGAATACTGTAATTATCAGATGTCAACAGAGAGGAATGGGTTAATTGGCACTGAAGATTGTTGCATGTGATACATGGAATGCGGTGTCAAAGAGTAAACATGATCGCTTTATCCAATATCCTTGACATTTGTGGATGTGGTTCTAATCATTGAAATCAATCTGTTTTGATGATATTTTCCCAGTCTTCCTCAATAACTTTTCACGGAAGCTGTAGTTAAATAAATAGATACGTTGTTTCAGAATTTCATACATTGGACAAAGTAAACATGTGCGTTACGTTTGGTTGGAAATTGGGAAACCTATAAATCATGAAACTACGTTGCATTCGGTACAATTGGCATGAGACGTATGTACATATTTATTACATACATTATTTATGATGGGGTGTATTCAATAATTACAGGACGTTTTACCAATTCAGGCAAATTGTTTGCCTTTTAATCACATTGTGGACGTAAATGTACATCTTTACAGCTACACAACTACTAATCAATTGAGGCTTCGTTTGTAGTTTTGCTTGATTGTCTAGGTTTGTCTGGGTATATCCAATGTGGCCTAATTTTAAAATATCAAATGTTAGTAGCTGGCTCAATACTAATCTATAATTTCGTACATGTGTGTACAACCTGTATATTTTGCAATAACTGATCAGCCGATGTATTTGAAGGTGCAACAAGACCTGAATCGTGTATATGAATCATTAATTTTAAACCATTAAAATAAATATGTCTAAACTAACACTTACATTGAGGACACATCCAATTCCCAGCAATACAATATACCACCCACAATACCAGATAATCCAACCGCGTTCTACCTCGTAGCAACCAGTTGGCCAAACTGTGTCAGACGTACACAGACTAATTTCCTTATAGGATAGAAAATTCAAATAAATTAAAAATCTGAAAAAAACGTGGCCGTGAATTACATTTTCTGAATTCTCTTCTTGTTGGCAACACGAAGACGGGTTAAATGATTGCAGTACAGGCCACCAGTCATTATTGTTTAGCAATTTCCAATCCTGCGGACCATGCACCCCACAACAGCGTCTCTGCGTAAAATAATTTGTCAAATGATAAGTGATGATGACTTCGACTATTTGTAGTTTGTTTGAATAAATATCTCAAATTATTGGCACACCTTTCTCTGAGTGCTATGAAACTCTTGTGTCATCATATCTTCTTTAATTGATTTATTTAAATTTGCCATCATAATCTCCTCAAGACTTGATAACTTGAGATACATTTCCGTCCCGGTGGCAGCAGACATGGCCACGTAATGAAGCAACATCACCACGCAAGACGCCAAGTACTGAACAAATTGACGCGAGAATTACTGAGAATTGTATCTCGTACTCACATTTTACTTCTGTATGCAAAAAACACTTACGATTCGACGTACAATTTTTGACCCCATCTTATCCACTCTGAAATGCGTTATGAGAATATGTCCTAGTGAAAGAATGCATGAGATCATAATCGATGCTGGAAGAAAGGACATCATTTCTAGCGAACTGAACAAAGGGAAGTCTTGGATTACCCTTTGTCCTACCGACAGGTATGTGAACATCAGAATCTGGAGAAAATTTATAATCGCTGTTTATCCCAAAAATAATTTTTAACATAATTAACTTTGATTTATCATATGTATGTACTGATGATGCAAATAATAAAATCCAAAACAGGACGAGGAAATGTCTGATATTTGTGGCAACAATTTTACGATTCTGTGCTGAAAGATGTACTATCTGAACGGGAGGTAGTACGGGATAGTCGTACGAGTCTGATCTTTCAGAGATGTCCAATTTCGAATAAGCTGTCGTGGTGCCAAAAGTTGATGAAGAAACGGAAACGGATGGATAAGTTGAAGTCGAGGCAGACGTTTCGATTGAGGGGGTAGGTTCTTTATTTGGGACTGGCAATGGGGTCGGGTTTCTGGCATTTTCACTGGTAGGAAGGTTCGAGTCCCCTCTTGATTTGGTTAATTGAGAGGCGATCGTTACTTTTTCCGTCATATTTCTCCAATTGGTGGTGGATAATGAGTTTTAAAAAAAAAATAAATTAGGAATTTTTGTAGACTACTATTTATAAATATGTAGACTTTGCATGAATTTTACCTATTTTGCGAATTTCTCAAGTCTCGTTTAGTGGCTGCTATCGTAGCAACTAAATAGGTACAAAAATTCGTCCATGTGCAAAAATCTGTATAAAATTAAAATCTCCCCTGTTGATCTACAGGGTGCAAATTCTATGCCAAATTAATAGCACCAATAATGGATGCTAAAGAAAAATGTACCCAGCAAAAAAGGGGACATGCGTTTTTATTAAATGCCGAATTAGTACCACTTCTAAAACAATCCAACATGTTATATAGACGATTGTTGAGCATCTCACATTGATAGATACAAAGGTGGTAGTAAATTTAATTTAATTGTTACATCGCAAATTATAAAACAACCAGCTACACTCCTTGCTCGCCAATAATTAAGAGCTTCTTTGTGACGCTCTCTTCAGTATAGATTCATCTGATATTAAAATTAACATGCAAGATTTTAATATACAAGACGCTTGACCGTTTAAAGTGCTAAGTAAGTGCGTGTTAAGATCTTGATCTGTGACTTGATAGCCAACTTTCATCGTGTTTGATTTTTCAATTAGAAGATCTCATTGTATTGTATTGCAGAAACCTAAAGGGTTGATTCAGCTAGGCAGATTTAACAGTTAAATATTTAAATCCAATTATGGTTCAGTGTTCCAGATTTATTTCAAAATTGTTATCGTTTTTGGCCAACTGTGTTTTGTGGATTGTGCTCGTTTGTGTTTATACAGTTCCACTATTAATTGGGTTTTGTATTCGGTGTACAATTAATTATGCTGTACAAAGAAGAGAGTCTTCATTGACTCCGTTAAGTCCAAATGATATCTTACTTATCAGAGAAGCACCAGACAAGCAGCCCATTGCAAATGGTGGACTAATTATCAAAGTGGATGGAAAATTAGATTTTGTGAGCATTAGGGAACAGTTTTTCAAACTATTTCTTCAAACGGTAATAAGTAATGAAACATTATTAGCTCACCCTGCGTAGCACGGGAGCTATTGAATTCCTCTTGTCCGTCTGTCCGTCTGTGTTTTCACGAGTTTTTTGCATCAATTGATGCTAATTAAAAATCCCCTTGTCCATTATTGATTAACTTACTTGCACCTTTGGTATCGAACCATCGTTGACGCAGATGGTGCAAGTTAATTCAGCAAATAGATCGAGATAGGACTATTATTTTGGAATAAGTAGCACCATTAGTACCGAGCAATTGGTTACTAAAATTGATGCGTAACAATTGAACCATCTATTTCCCCCCAAAAATCAAGTCAGAATTTTGTTCTATTTGTTCCATTTTTCTGCACCATTGAAGCTAAAATATATAAATTTTATATAAATAATTGGGGAAGGGTGCCCTACGCACCAATGATGCAGAATGTTGGGAGAAAGAACCATACCATTTTTTCAAAGTTTTCAAAACTATGAATACCGTTGGTCGCTAATGTTGCACTAGTGGTGCAAACTAATTCCGGATTTTTGTAATATATTTTCCGTTTATATTGCACCATTGGTGCAAGAATCTATGAGTTATAATCTATTCTGTCGGCTTATTCAGCACCTTTGGTGCAAAGTTATATCAAATCATTATGGCAGGGTGAGCTACGTATAACGTTACTACGGTTTATTAAAATTGTATCCTAGTATAATTGTATTATTTTTCACATAAAATATTTAGGGAAATCTGGATCGATATGAAAATTTGTATTGTGACATCGTCAAGCGGTGTGGATATCTCTACAAACGGAGGATTGTTGAGGATTTTACATTGCCGAGGTGGGAGGACCACTTCATTTACAAGGAGGAGAATCTCACAGATATAAAGAAAGAATTCTCTGCCTGGTTTCAAGAAAAATATGTCGAAGGTAAACCTCTCTGGCAAATGTTGGTCGCAGTTTCACCCACCAGTGACGAGTCTTGGGTGGGTTTCAAAGGTCACCACGCCCTTATGGATGGCTACTCTTTCGTACATATTTTGGACACAATGTGCAACAATCAACCAATGAAACTGGGTGCTAAAGAGGAAAACTTCTCCAGGATTGAAACAGTGAGGCAGATTGAGACTATGCTAGATGTTCAGAAATAATACATACTTTTTACATAATTTCAATTAGATCCAACTCGTATTTTCTCTTCCCCTCGTGGCCATAAAGTATCTCCTTCGTCACTTCTGGTTCAAGGACGGATTTCCAACTGACCTCCCCAAATTGACCGAGGAGGCCGTGTTACCTATCGCTCTTGCCTCAGTGGACCTTCAACCTCTTAAAATGATTCGGAGAAAACTGAACCTAAAGTTCCCATCGATCGTGTACTCTCTCCAAGTGGGGGCACTCAGCAGAGCATTGGCTGACATTGACATGAAGGAGACGCTGCTCAGCACATCATTTCCCGTCCCAAACCATCCAAGGAATAAATTAACAAATCACTGGAGTGGAGGAACCGTGAAGATTCCGTTTAGGGAAAATAGCGCTTTGAAAAGAGTATGGATTTCCACAGAGGCCGCGGAAGGGTGAGGACAGAGGGACAATGTCCCCACGGTTATTCGATGTCCCATCATCTGTCCGTGTTATATAAGCCCCTCCCTTCCCTATCCTACAATGCTAATGTCCCCACAGCTTCCGCGGTCACTGGCTTTCCACACATCAAACTGAACTACAAATTTATTTACCTTTACAGGTCTTAGCGTCAAACGACTCTTTTAATAAAATGACGGGGCAGCAAGGACCTTATTTAGTATGGAAATATGTGGCCTGGCTGCCCTGGTTATTTCCAGCATTCCTCAACTATTCCATGTCATTCTCCAACTTGAGCCTATTCAGGTCTCGTTTTAAATTAGAGTGGTGTGGTTCACAGGACTTTAATGATGTGGTTTTTGGACCATCTAAACAGGTACCGGGCGAGCATGTCTTGCATGCTGCAGTCCGAGGTCGAGTATACTTTGATGGGTTGCAAGGTCATAAATGTGTTTCATGCCCCAGTAATGAAGGACTCCTTTCCTCAAGCAGGTAATATACGCCGAATGGATGTCATCCAATTAACTTTACGTCATTTTCAGTCGTGCATAATATTTTGTGGTTGACAGTAATTTTGGGATGCTCATCTACTCACAGCACAAAATGTGATTTCAGTCTTTTCGGTCATCCTGCTCTATTTCACGATCAAGATGAGATGGACCGTTTGATGGGTCACTTGAAAAGTGAGCTTGAACAACTTTTGCGTGAATGTGACTTGGATGAAATTAATTTAAATTGGAAGCAGGAGTAAATGTACGGGCATAATTATATACATGGTATTGACGTAATAATTTGGGTGATATGTGTGTAAAATACGTACAAATAAACAGATTTTCCATATGTATATGGCTTTCAAAGCGTGCAAATTCAATACAAAATCATACAAAGTCTGGCCTGATAAAGGATTATATTCAATCAATTTCAATCATATCTTTTTCTCCGTGATAGTGATTTCCTATCTGCTTCATTGTATACAAATATCGATAAATTTGATTGAATGAGGCTACATCACGATTCACTTCAAAATTCGTATTCGGTATAGCGAAACCCTACATTTGCAAAAAATCCTTCTGAAAAAATGAATACCAAATATTTCGCAATCGTTTTGCTTTTCGCGATAATCGCTGCGGCTGTCGTATGGGCATCCAAAGTTGAGCTAGAGATTCAGCAAGACAATCCGGAAGAAGTAACGGAGAAAGTTTATTTCGACGTGACGATCGGAGGTGAAGATGTGGGGAGGATTGTGATTGGACTATTTGGAAAAACTGTGCCGTACACGGTGGCGAATTTTGCGGCCATTTGCAAACAAGGGATTCAAGGGATGAGTTACAATGGGACAAAATTTCATCGGGTTATTCGATCATTCATGATTCAAGGTATGTGCATAAATAATATGGTATTTATTACATCGTTAAACTATTAAGGACATTTGTTAATCGAATAATAAATATTCGATAGGCGGAGACATAGTAAATCATGACGGGACCGGAGGAATTAGGTAAATATCCTAACGATGAGTTCTTTTAGTTACACACAGAGAATTGTGCGGTCATTTTTACTGACTTGACTGGCATCATATAAATTTATTCTGACTCCTAACTGTCATTTTTAGCATCTATGGACCTCGATTTAATGACGAGAATTTCATTGTACAGCATTCCGGTCCTTCATATTTAAGGTGATACATACAAGTTGCATATGCATATTAATTAATACGCTATTTTTAACGCTTTACATGATATTTACCTTTGACTCCTTAGCATGGCTAACTCGGGACCAAGTAAGTCATTAAATCATAATAATTACCGATCATAATAGTACCGATTTCCTTTCATTACATCGTGCATATCGTGTTAAAGATACGAATGGCTGCCAATTCTTCATCACAACGGTGCCCACCCCATGGTTGAACGGAGCACATGTAGCTTTTGGCAAGGTAACGTTCTAGTCTGGTAGACTGATAAATTATTCATCCCCCATCAAACCTGAACGTTTTTGGTTTCAATTTTAGGTTATTGAGGGTTATGAGTTTGTGACCGCAGTTGAAACCAATCCCACCGATGCTGGAGACCGACCAATCTTACCTGCACTGATCAAAGAATGCGGAGGTTTACCATTGTAATGCTCTAATGTATGAAGAAACTCTAAATCTTTAAGCTGGAAATTCTTTGAAAATCATTTATTTGACACAAATTTACAAAATAATCAACAATAACAAAAACAACTTCGTTTAGAAAGCTTATTTACATCCTTATTTGTCATCCACATCTTGACATATACCTTCAATTTGACCATTTATTACGACACAAGTACCAGAACAGCAACCAGTTAAGCCAGGATTACAGGCAAACCCATCAGGAAGACACTGCAAGAAAAAAATGCCAGAAATATTTATGTATGAATAATTAGTCACTTATTTATCATAAATTTGGGGAGATTACAAATTACAAAGTTATTCACCCATGGATAATCTGATTATTAATCTGTAATCTGCAGAAAACCTATGTAATCTAATCTGAAGAAATTCTGATTACTGTAAATTAAATTAAGTATGCAATGCAATCTATACTTCTATTACTTTATCTGCTGTTATCAGCTCAGGTATGCTACTTATGCGAGAAAAAAGTACGACAATATTTGAGACAGAAATTTTACCTCTCCGAAAACCTGACAGTTGCCCAAGTCAGGTAAAGTTAATAGGCAAATGGTGAGCACAATGATTGTAAAGAGCAGTTTTTTCGACATGGTTTTTAAAGCACTTATGTATAGATTTCCACGACCTATATCCAAAAAATGAAGGTGGTTAGGACTAACTGAACGGGACAACCATAACCTATTTATACCCTTAAAAATCAAGTAATGTTAAGCACATATGCAATTATTTAGATGAGCAAGTTCTAAGTAAAAGCCATAAAAATCAGCATGAAACCGTCATATGTCATACATACATCTGACCATGGCCAACACAAAAACTATTACGAACTGCTAATTAAGTTTAATGGGTGGCCAACCGAAAGTCAGAAAGTGTATTCTATTTCATTTTATGCAAGTAAATACAATTAGCATTTACAAAACAACCTCTACTTTCACATTAAGGTTTATGTTTATTACACATTTCAATTTAGAAAACCAGTGCGTGCGTCACTTTTCGCATTTTCCTGCACTTTATTCGTTTAACTACATGCTTATCAAGTATAAACAAGGTCCCTAAAAAGGGGAAATCTTAGTGAGGGAGTGCAATCACAACTAATAAATAAAATTAGATTGGAGAATTTTTGCATCACCGCTCTCGGTTCCATTCTTACTGGATGCAGTATAAATTTTTCTTTGCATACGCATGAATTCTTAGTTTTATTGAATAAATTGAGGAAGGAATACATTTTTACTGTGTAGTGAACGAGAAGTGGGTTAAATTAACTGAGGTAGATATGTAAGATTTAATGACCAAATAATTATGAGCTACGTATTTGTTTAAAAAAATATACAAATTTCAACTTCATATATTAATTTGGCTACTCTATGCAAAATCATCGAACCTTTCGAGGGAGCAAGTGTTCTATTTAAATTAATTCTTCCAGTAAAAATGGTACCGAGAGCGGTGATGCAAAAATTCTCCAATCTAATTTTATTTATTAGTTGTGATTGCACTCCCTCACTAAGATTTCCCCTTTTTAGGGACCTTGTTTATTTATAACTTTTAATTGGGTAATTAGATTGTCCATTGGATGACTGCATTGCACTACCCCTTTTCAGTAGTTTGATGCGGAATAATTTTATTAAATGCTGGGTGTTTAAAATTGAATAAATCCGTTATTTCTTAACCGATTTATATCATTTTGGTCAAAATGTCCGGCCTAGATTACTAAACACCAAAAGACCTGATCTGGAGGTGCAATACCAACAACAACAATTTCACGCAATTTACCAAGCATGTTACAGAAGCGATTAGTTGTGCTGTTTACAGTTTTGAATGTAATTTGTTTTCAATTTATTAGTCTTGCGTCGTTGTCAATGGCAATGATTCGTAGCACGAGCAGGAATTTCTGAACTTCAAATTGGAATAACTAAGCCAATTCTTAACGGATTTTGATATATTCATACTTAAAATTTTCGGGATAAACTGCCCTACAATTCGTGGGTATCAAACTGTTGATAACGTTTGCTAGTAACTAGCAATAATTACAAATGTGTTTCTAAGGCTACATTTTTGCCCATAATTCCGGTCAAGATCACGTAATCGCTTAGTCGGATCAGATCCCATTTCTATATTATGTAACAATAATCGGTGCAAAATTTGATCAAAATCGGTTGAGAAATGACTGAGATATCGCAGATGGTCACTTTTTTGGGGTGGGTCAAATGCATACTTAGTAATTTTTTTCGTTGTTAGGTATTTGCCTCACTAAGAAAAATAATGGTATTTCATTTAAGAAACTTGGTCAACATATAAGACGACCCCGACCCCAACTACTTAGGAAGGATTAGGTCCCTGTCTTGTTGAGTAGGAAAATTTATAGATCGTCGAATAATAAAGAATGAATGAGTTTAAGTCGTCTGACATGTCAATTTCCAGCCTTTCATGGACATGACACTGACACCCAATTCAATTGAAGAAGCTATTTACTTCTCCAATTCTGTTAACCTATTTTTTACAATCGTCACCAACTCAACTCTGATGCGTAGCCTGGCTTATTCCCCGTGTCTGTAAAGTCCCCATGAGCCAAAAATCACCATAGGGGAGCAGCTAAGTAGACGCTTGTTGACAGGACACACACGTCAGCTTCCTGACATGCTCAAGGGCTTCTTCTTCTTTTCAGAATCGACGCATAATAATAATGTAATGAGGTCTTCTCCAGGGTGGCCAAATACGGAAATTAAATGGTTGCATAAAATAAAAGAAGCCGTACCATCATAAGCACCACGTTCTTAGAAATTTGTAGCCTCCGAGTCTCATGGTTAGTTGGTGGATATGCCAAGTGATGTGGCGATACGAACATATCTGCACGAAAAGCAGGAGCGATGCAGTTGTTGCGTCTGTGTCTTGTCACGACCCGATTCGGAGGATCTGCTTTTTCCCAAGTGGGGAATCTGCTTCCAAGGAGAAAGAAGGAATTAGGATTCTAGTTAGGAAATCATTGTCTCCTTCCGTCCTCGTCAGTGCTGTGTTTTCCTTCGCCCAGAGAACGCCTCCTTTCTTTATCCAACAAATCTCACTTCAACCCCCGTTATCAACGGTCAACTGTTGCTTCCGATAATACATACATGCAAATCTCCCAGAAACCAATATAATTGTGTCAAAAATATCATTAAGATATAAAGTGACATTAATATTTACAATTGCGATTTTAATATTTAGTCAACCATGAGAAACCAAATAATGTGGTGCAGACATCCAACCGGAGATAATGACAACACTGTGAATAGTGATACCACACATTGTTTAGAGGGAAATATTGGATAGAAAACGTAGCAAATATTTGATATCACTGCTCAATTATTACATACGTGAATTAATTGCAGTGCAGTGCCATTGTGGTGCACAGAATTTAAGAAAAAACACTACCAATAATGTCAAATCCGGATTATGTGGAACCGCAGGCCTGTAAGTGAACGCTTATTGTGTTCTTAAGATGTAGGTAAATATGTGGGCCAAGATTAATGGAACGTAAGACTAAATAGGTGATTTCCTGTTGAAATGTGATCTGGATGAGGTTTAACGTCAAATATTATGCATATTAGAGTCATAACCAAATTCATACCAGCTTAACGACACCCTCTGGGAATTATTACATGCAGGGCAGTCTCATATTCCCTGATTTTCATCGAACGCAACAGCCTGCCGAAAATTTGACGCTTAATAAGGATACAGCCATTCTAATCTCATGAAACTCTACTTAATTAGTATTTACAGATTACAACTAATTCTTCAATTTTGACTCGATATAAAACGTATCCCTCTGTAAGCCAGGCATTAGCGTCAGCCAGTCAGGCCTCGTTGATTAATCGATATACGTATAAAACCCTTTAATCACCTTCTTTGAGATCTATTTGTGTAACCTTCTTTGACGCGAAATGTCCATTATCTGTCTAGAAGCTATAGACAGCCCATTGTTTTTTGTTTTGAAACCCATTAAATGTATTACTGACTGGTGAAAGCATCCATGACCAGCTCCTATACAATTCCTCCTCGTAGTTATCCAGATGTCCAAACTCTTCGTATATCATGTCATAATATAATGCCCTCTTATGTATACCATATTTACAACCCCTTGGGCACTGCACTTCTTAAAACCAGACTGTTGTACTTATAATGGAAAAGCTAATAAAACGGCAAGTTTCTCAGAATTTCCAATGAGAAAAGTTTTTAATCAAAAACCACTTTCAACTTTCACCCAACATGTCTGTAGCGATGTTAAATGCGCAAATTTATCAGGACAGTTGGCAAGATTATTAATTAAATGACGAATTTGCAAGTAGTGACAAGTAAAAATGCTTTTATAGATGAACAGCATTCCAAAAATGAGACAGGATCGGATGGAAAAGATGGCGACTTTACGTGGGATGACGCGACTTGGATTCTCACGTACTTATTTGCATATTGCCATTTATTAGAAAAATATTTAGACTGAAACTGTAACAAACTTATTCTTCTTTTAATTCTAGATCTTCTTTTATTATTTTCACGATGCAGACAGGTTTGTTTGTTGAATTTCATGCAGTATATTTGTATTTAATATTAAGTTAAACCTGCATAAATGTTTACATTACTGCTCTACAGGTTTCGGTCTTTTGGAATCTGGCTGCGTTTCCCTCAAGAATGAAGTTAATATTATGATGAAAAATGTCGTGGACATAGTTTTTGGAGGTACAATATTGTCTTGCGTAATCTTACATGCCATGATTTTAAAACCATTGACGTTTGTACCAAAATTTAGGCCTGACCTACTGGCTCTTTGGATTTGGTCTCACTTATGGTAAGTAAAAAGTGGTTTTTTAAATTGCTTTTTTATGAAACTTTACTTTTTTCCTGGTTTAATATAGGAAAAACTTACTCCAACTACTTTTTCGCGTTTGGATACTTTGCAGTGGATGAAGGTATGTAAATAAATAGAGCAAAAGTTCAATTTTTACATGCATATGATGAATTATCCATATTTTGGAGTATCCATATACATTTCGCATGCATGTCTACGGCATATTCTCGTGTTTCCGTTGAATAATATTTATTTGAGGGCTAACGCCATGAGAGCTTTGGTCTGGTCTGGTCTGACTGGGATTGTTTATGGTGAAAGTACTGTGCCATTTCGTCGTGTCAATGCAGCCATAAAATTCCCAATTATCGTCACCACCAGCGTGAAAATAATGTGTGTGTGCTATTCAGAGTTTACGGTGATTTTATGACAACACTTGTTTGTTACGTCACAGATTTGGACGAGATGGGCGAACTCTTCTCCAAGTATGGGCAGATTCAATAATAAACATGCAGAAAATCATATATATATAAAATGAAAATCTTTATATGTTCATAATGATTGCGTTTCAATATTCAGATTTCTCTTTCAACTCTCATTTGCCACGACAGCGACGACTATTGTCAGGTACATATTATCCTTGTAATCATAATGTAGTCATAATGTTTGATCACTTGATTTACATAAATTTTAAACGTTACCCACAGCGGGGCGATGGCCGAAAGGTATGGCACAAGAGTCCTTATACTATAAATATGTACATTTATGTCGCCTAAATCAATAATGGCAAAGTGACTGGCAGTTACAATAACAAGATGACCTTTCATCATCATGGCCCAATTCTCAAGTATTTATTCCGTGTACTTGCAATTTATTACAGATGCAACTTCCGAGCGTACTGTTTATTCTCGCTTTTGAATACGATAGGTAATTTCTTACTTGCTTTAAAGCTATTTTAGGTTTAAAGATTGATTGCTTCTCTTTTATTACTGAAAGTGTATTGTGTCCCGGCTGGTTGGGTTTGGGGAGATCACGGGTTCGAAAACAATTTGGTTTTTTCCATGTACTTATTTTCCATATCCGGCCGACTTTCATGTGTTTATTTAATTCCTAGATTCCTGAATCATTTGGGAGCAATTGATATCGGTGGATCTGGACCGGTTCACCTTGTCGGGGGAGCATCAGGTTTGCACAATTTTTATTAATTATATTTGCACGCATTATTATTCAGTGTTTATGACGGATGTACGTACAATAATATTTACCCAAGATCACGATACACACGTTCACGTGCTTATCAGTAGCACATGACCTTATAGATAAATACATATGGGTGGACCAAGCAAATATTGACACCGGCTGTCTGTGCCTATTAGTGGGGAGAAAGTTAATTTGCAAAGTGAGGCAAGATGAGATTTCTCCTTCCGAATTAGCTCTAATGGGAAAAGTTTGCAAAATCCTGATGGTTATGCATAGCAGGCAATTATCTGCACATCTATCCTTCATGAAATCACGAGAGTGATGAAAAAATGCAGTTAGATCCAATTCGGAGTATAAGATTTGTTATTGAGATACGCAGTTAGAGATTTTGCGGAGAAAGTGCCACGTCCTTGAAAGTTGTGTTCATCGGTGGAAGGATTTTCTCCACTTGAAAACCCAGAGGACCAATTGTGATTGATTTCACACGTACTTTACTTGGCTGGCACATGCCTTTCTTCTTATCGACACCTGTTGTGTGCAGACCATCTCTTTTTTCCTCACTTTCTCTCTCTCACTTTCACCCAAATATTTATAAGGACAAAGCAAAATAAGAGTGTCACGTCCAGATATTCTAGAACTACGTGAGACTACTGGTAGCAAATAAAAGTAATTTTGTTATGGTCGGAGCGTGACAATTGTCTGAAATGAGTGATAAGAGGGCTTTTAAGGTGAACAAAGTATGTACACGAATATATACTTTCTTCCTTCGTATTCATAATGGAAGTTTGAATTGCTTCTTGCCAGACATACAGACAGACGTGCCTGGCGTAAGGTTTCCGTCCATGCAATGATTAATCACTTCATGGTCTGACACTTGCACCCAATTGAATGAGTAAATGTCTGACAAAAGTTGTGAATAAAATTGAATAATTAATTGTTCGTAAGAGCCACGATATCAAGTATGGGTGCATTTGGTGAAAAAAAAACTTTGTAAAAAATGAAAATGAGACGTAGTAAATGAAAAGTCAAAAGTGCGACGTTAGCCACGGTCATTAACGTCATATTAATTAATTAGTGTATTGTTTAATTGAATCTTTGAGTAAGTTTTGTACAAAAAAAAGTTCACAAGTTCTAAAAAGTTCAAAAGTCGGAATATGTATCTCAGATCGTACACAATTCTAGGAAATTTACGTGTTAGTAAGACGAATTGAATTAGATGACAAGTAAAATCTACAAAAAGTCATTGGTGTATGTATTTATGTATGATAACAAGGTGTAAGGTTACCGTGTACATACATAAAATCACAGATTATGTAAAAGAGTGTCGAGCATGTGTGCCTCATTTTATGACACTTTACTTACCAGATTCTGGTTAATAAATAGAACTTCTGGCTATCAATGGTGGCGTTATTATGTAAAATTATCATATTTGTATTTTTGTTCACAGCTTTTGTAGCAGCATGGATGCTGGGGCCTCGTTTAGGACGGTGAGTTAAAAAAATGACTTGAAAATTATCTGGCTCTTCAGCACCTTAATTTCTGCCATCTTTCACTTTCTAGATATGATAATGGTCGGGATCCTTTGCCGATGGTTTTAAAAAAATACATTAATTTCATGAATTATTATGCTTGCTATTCAACAAGGGACCTTCAGTGACGAATGTGGTGAAATTTTTTCAGGGGTCGCCCACCAATGCTTTGCTGGGTTTATTCATGCTCTGGTGGGGCTGGCTGGCATTCTCATCTGGCAGGTATGTAAGATAACTTTGTCCCTCGCGATGTTGATCTTGTGCCACATGACTTACAATATGATTGGCATGTTCCATTTATCGATAAAACCGAAAGTCTCATCTTCACGCTATCAAATTAGTTCTGGACCATTAATTTCCATCCACAGATTCATTTGTAGCTAACCCTTTGGTCGATCTCCAAGTGAGAGATGTGCAGTTGTTGTTAAATATGTATGCACGTCACGCTCGTATTTAATGACACGTCGTTTACGAAATGAGTGCATTGACAGAAACTTGTGGCATTAGTAGAAAGCATCTGTGAGATATGGCACTTTTGGAGGATTTGGTGGACAGACACCTACACAAATATTGGAATGGTGCTAAATTAGGTGCATTATATGTACAAAACAACTCTACCGTCTTGTCAGTCCTGAGACAAAGAAAGTTTCGGAAAGAATGGCACTTCTGCTGCGGAGAAGAAAGTTGACTAACGATAAGCTGAGAAATGGGGCTGTTTACGGCAATGGTGGTGTCAACTGACGGGAACGGTTGTTGCAATTCCGTGCGTCATCTGACACACCATTTGTTGCTCGTGGCGTGGGGAAGAAAGTCACACCACGTCTTTCTCCAGGATGGCTTCTCCACGTCCGTTATTTGACGCGTGTGGTGGTGGTGCTGGTGCAAATGAAATGTGCTAAATGGATGCTGAATAAATGGGGCAGATGACTTGTTGCTGGTAAACAAAGTGGTTTTGTTTGTATCCTTCCGTCGTCACATGATTTACATAATATGCTGATGACATTCCGCTAGTAATTTATTCAGGGAAATTGTTAACGATACAAATGTATGTATTGTATATGCACACCGGAAGTGGGGATGTAATGAAGGGTGCATGCTTATTTTCAACAATGACGTCACTGTCTGCTGTCTCGGTCGTAAACCTAATTTTGATCATTTTTTGCAGCGTTTTCGGGGTTAGTGGTCACAAATGGAAATTCTCAGGTATACCAACGTCACATGTTGCAATTCCAAATTAATTAACTTGATGACATGCAAGTACCAAACTCGCTGATTAAACATAATTGCAGCTCGAGCCGCCGTGGCCACGATAAATGCAAGCTTTGGCGGTGGAATGGTCGGCCTGGTTTACTCATATGTTCGGACTAAGGGAAAATTTGACATTCTCGACCTCATCTCGTCTGTCCTTGGGTCACTGGTTTCTGTTACAGGTAGCATAAAAAACTACACGTGTACGAAGACTGCATGCACTTATGTATCTGCATATTATCAGTCGAAATGAACTTTCTCTTCCCATAAATAAAATAAAGGAGGATGTGCATTGTATAAGCCATGGGAATCCATCGTTATTGGAGCAATTGGCGCCGCCCTGGCTTGTTTTGGCATTCCATTTTTTGACTGGTTGGGCGTTGATGACCCTGTCGGTGCATCTGCAGTACATGGTAAGTTATCCATAAAAACGATAAGATTTTCCCATTTCCGGACATACAGACGTGAATAACTCGAGTATTACGGACTTATGTGGTTGGACATGTGGATTGGCTTTATGACATTCCTGTCTTTTACTACTTTTCATTTCAACCTCATCTCTGTTCAAGGTCTTGCCGCATTTTGGGGGGTTTTAGCCATCGGACTGTTTGCTGAGGGTAAAATAAAGCGAACAATTTCTACAAACAATTTCTAATAACCTTGAGCAAAAAAAGAATTCTTGTCGCATTTCAGGAGAAAAGCTGCTGATGCCTCCAAACAAGATAACCCCTGGCCTATTAAAAGGTTTTTCGAAAGCAATCCAAGAAAAACTTCATCCTGTCACGATTAAATCGTGACAGGATGAGGTTTTTCCGGGATTGCTTTCTCTCTTTCGAGGTGGAAGCATTGTGCTAAGCTAAGCTGCTTATCAAGGGGATTGGATAAATTAGGTAAATATTTACAGGAGGAGGAGGTTACCTGCTTGGGGTGCAGCTCTTGGCAGCAGTCAGCTACGTCTTGTGGTCAAGCGTGGTGACATATATTTTGCTATACGTAAGCACTTATGTATAAAATCAATGCTTGTTTCGGAAGTAGCCCATAAAAAGGAAGTATGTATGTTGGCATACATACATGCATGCATGGAATGGACAAACTGCTACCTACTTGCACAAAGAATAATAGTAATAATACGTACAACATGTGCGCACCACTATATTTATGACAGATCACCAACAAAATCATTAAACTGCGAATGGAGCCACATGAAGAGTTACTGGGCGCAGATCTTGTAGAACATGGGATCAGGAAATCTGGCGTTGGCGTATCTCGTGCAATTTCTGCACTTGGATCACATCCTGACTTTGACATTGAGGCGGCTGGCCAAGCCATCGGCACTAATCCAGGTAAATACATATATGCACAAGTAACTAGATATGTATATATTAGGTGTGTGCAGCTGCAGCCTATTAAGCTTATGTGAGATGGATAATATACGATCTTGCAACTAATAACCCTCATTCCTTTATGTAACAAGGTCATGAAATGGCACTTGCAAAGTATATCCGTGACCGAGAAAGGAGCAAGAGAAAGAACAATGGACATGTACCTGAAAACAACCACAACAATACGATCTCGTGGATGGGTTGAATTTTGAGGTGATTATTGAGGACGCCAATTCATCGCCATTTTTATTCGTAACTTTTCTTTTGAAAAATACTTAATGCATTAAAGTTACACTTTCCTAGTAACAAAATTTTGGTGAAAGTAAGTACTTTCTTGGCAAGAAGAACATCAAAATGATTTTACCCAGTCTTAATTCCTACCAGTAATTAATCATTGTCATCCAACCGAAATATAGTCAATCAGTAATCCAATATTGCATTTTGTGTACCAACTTCACTCCAAGAAGTTGTAAAGTTAGGTGTAAGATGAACCAGCTCATGATTTTTGACAATGACAAAATTCACAAATTATTCTCTGTACTAGGAAAGTAGATATATAGAGCGTTCGTTAAGTGGTAATTCGAGTATAAGTTGTAAAAGGTTGCTGTAATATATCTCCCCTTAATTGTGGTTGACGGTTTAATGGTAAAACACTTTACTTTATGGAGCCATATACTGCAAACATACATACATACTTACAATATAACCACTGTGTATGTATGTATGTTCTGTACATATAATATTAGTGCTAAGTATTATCCTCTCTTGCTTCTCATCCTTTATTTTGTGGATATCAATTTAATGCTCGAGAAGGAGAAAGTGGAGTAAGGTTGGGATTAATCATGGCTGTTTGATTACAACAAAATCGGCGCATTACTAAAGTTTTTAGGACTTTTCGTGTATCAGAAATTACCATTATCAACACATTATTATTGCATGCAAAGAAAGAAGAATCAGGGTTTTCCCTCGTGTAAAATAAGTACTTATCCTTAGATCGATATGGATGCATTTCGTAATTTTATGCGGTGAGAGTAATGATGGATGCTCAATTGGGATAAGTGTTGCGATATCTAAGCATCTTGCAGTTTTTTTTTGGCAAATTATAGTCTATCAAGTTTCATGCATGCACTTTTCTTATATTTTCTTAGCTCAATATACATAGTTATGTTGTACATATGTCGTGTATTTAGTATGTAGTTATGAGATTCTCTAATTCTTTAACAATTTCTAGTCAGTTATTTAATCGCCAGCTTTTATTGGAATCAACAATCGCACAGAAGTTGCATGATTTTAGCATAAAATGTAACACGTATTTATTTATATTTGAATCAATGTCGGGAATATTTAAGATTTAGCCTGTTTAAACCAGTGTACCTGTATTATCGTGTACCTATACATGTCACAAATAGTGATTTACTTAAAATATTCATGAAATCAAGCATAAAAATAAAACAAAATTTTAATGTGAAATGTGGCGAGGAAAATTGAGAACCTTGTAAACTTGCATAAATATTTTCACCAAACCACAACAATTGCCATATGGCAAATTATCACCTCTTTGGATAAGAATTAAAAAATATTTCTCATTCAAAAAATTTCATCCAGACATGAATTTGATTTAAGAAACTAGTATAGCTCGGAGCATGGCGCAGTATTACGTACATACTTTTGGTTACGTTTTTAATCCCAAAGATACATTTCGGAAACGTACTTTAAACAATTAAAAGCAGAAGCTCATTAGAAATTTTAAGTCGCTTATCTAGCCGAGATAACCAGCTCCTCCTGAGCACATTTAATCTCTTCATTTCAAGTTTTGTCACATGCAGAAAGCAAACTTTGTGACTGAAATGATAAACCAAAATTTCCTATCACAATCCAAACTTATGTATGAAACGGATGCTGCACTTATATATAACGCGCTCCTATTAATAAACTCGTCGAAGATAATGCATAAATGCATAATAATGTGCGAAAGTCAAGTATCTCTTGTATGACATTTCCTCCCACAATGAATTCAACTAAATATTAAGTATGAATGGAATTGTATGTAGCTACATCCGCTGGTCTCTTGACTCTCATCGCAATTTCATGGAATCATTTCCACTCTACATTTTCTCCTCTCTGATAAATAACATGATGTAGTAGAAACGATAGGATAAAATCATGCTGATTGCACTTTCCTGTCAAAATGAGACCACTTGCCATGTTCCCCCACTTCTCAAACAATAGCGTAGACTGACGTAGACTAATTATTATACAAATTAGTTGAACATTTAACAGCCATCACCATTATGTATGTAACTTGCTTTAATGTCGTCCTCTCCTCTCTGCTCAATTGCCCACTCCCCCATTAAACAAAGTGCAACTTTAATTTGCATATGCAGTTATGTATGTATAGAGCTATTATTATGTATAAATGCGTTTCTAAATTTACCCATGCAGCAGCAAACTTTCTATTTTAACCTCAACCTCTACACGAAAAGTGGTCCAAAAATCACTTGGTTTTCGTCTACAGATTTTTCTGGAAAACGGCAAAAAAAACATCCTAGACATTTATTTAGTTTGCATGCAAGAAAGTAATAAGCTTTCGTGCATGGGCAGAAATATGTAGTTCTCATGGATGGGAAACTCTGGCACCATTAAAATATATAGTTTACAATAAAAAAGGTTGTTGAGTACGGGCAGTCCGGAAACAAATATATGTTTGTCCATAATAAAACCTTCCTCATGCAATGTCATCTTCATATCTATTCAGCACTATATGTATCATTTCACGATATGTTACGTTTCTGTATTGATTAAACAGTCAAGTCAAGAAACGCAAAATCCCAACCCCCATAAAATATTTGGCACAGAAGAACAAGTCCCGTATTCCGTATGCTACATTCCATTCCATTTCACTGACTGTAGCAAACAATGCATATTGTTGGCTACATTCGCAATGTGTACATACATACGACAAAACCCTAGCATATGGAACAGATTGGAAAATCTGTCAAACTTTACGTACTATTATTTAATTACAAACTAACTATAACCAATCAGTATTGGCAGACTAACCCAACATTTAAATATCTAAGAGGGGGTGATGTACGGGTAACTCAATTGAAGTGCAGTGTAAACAAAATAATTGTGCCTCTTTAAATTTGGACAATAATATAATAACACAAAATTGTAACATGAGAGAGTTCAACACTTTAATGCTATCTAGACACGAAACGTACTTTACAAAACTTGATACATCATTAATATTTCATCATAATAAGTAAGCATCCCCCTTTTAAATGGTTTGTTTGTAATAATAAGAAGAATCAGGAAAGTTTTCTTTATTCTTTCCTCGTACTTGCCAAGAAAGAAGAAATTGATGAAATAAAATATTCATGCATTATTATATTCAGTGAGAGTTCGTAAATAAAGTGAGTGAGTTAGTGAGTTATCCTCCTTCTGCCCTTCACCTCGAGATGGTTTCTTATAGATAAGCGTTTCTTTCAAGTGTTATGCATGCATCGTCGGTTCGTCGCCGACTTGTTAAAACAAGTTTAGTGGAGTGGATGGATTATTAAAAGTGAACGGATCAATACCCCACAAAAGTCTGTCATCATATACAAACATACACATAAAACAAGAAACGTTTAAACCAACAACGCTATATAAATTATACAATACAATAACGCAAACTCACCAAGTTCTCAAATAGAAAACATTCATTCGTGTCGTACTATTTCCAATTGGAGGTGACGAATAATTTTCTGTCGTGTTGTTCACACAATACATACATCATCCACGTCTGGATAAAATTATACTAATTTTTTTCCCTTTTAACCACGTACCTATTACCTTCTGGGCCAACTTTAATAATAATCTGGCTGGTCCATGTTTATGGATTAGTTTCAGTCAGGCAGGCATCCATAATACGAAATCATTCTTCTAAATCTATTTGCGCAGAACTTTATCATCTAACCGTGTTACTTTAGTTCAATAGCATTATTATTATTATAGCATCGTCATATCCACACAACAAATCCGATTGCATTACAATAATAATTACAACTCGATGCTGCGAGCTGCGACTACAAAATAGGTTTATTACATTTACATACGTGGCTGTTCCTGCCTATTACAAAAGGCGTTAGGACATGGTTTTGACGAATTCATATTTTAATTGCGGGATGGTTTTTAGTTGTAGAGATTTCTAACATTTTTTATGTGAAAGCCCGTGTCTCAAACTATAGGTAAACATGTCTGGCTTCCGGTTTTGTGTACTCTGCGAAATGAGGGAAGGTCAAATATAGAGAGGTGTCCTTTTTTAGTTTTCCAAACCAGTGTTCTTATAAAATGGCGTTGAACAAAAGATTTTTTTCTTAGGTCCTGATGCAAAAATCGTCTTTGCGAGTATTATCAAGAGACTTAGCATACTTTTCACTATATAAAACCATTTTTGTCTCATGCTTATCTTTTAAGTCACTTTTGTAGTCTAGCTTCATACTTGTCCTAATGGAATGCTCTCGTTAACGCAACTCCTCGACTTTTAAGGCCCCCACATTTTAGGACTTTGATTCTAAAAATCCCTAACGTTGTTTTTATCCAAGGTACATATAGTATATTGCACTGTAAATATTTTTGATTAAATTTTGATAAGTGGTTACACCCCACGAAATGAGTTTTCATCAAACCCAATAAAATTTTTGGAAAAGTTTCCGTCGTCATCAAGGTTGAACTTCAAAAATAATTTAACTAACCAAAACTTGGTAATTTTATTATTTTGTCACTTGTACCTTGTAGGCAAAATAGTTCTGTAGCAGGGGACACAAAAACGTTATTAAAATTTATTTTCAACAAAATTTGACCATTAATTTTCCAAATTAGTTTACGAGTTTTTTATGATTCCCCGTCAGCTGATTAGCTTGGGTCCTTCTCCAAGACTGTTTACTCAAAATCTTAACTATTTTGTTTAATATTACTCAGGACACTTCCAGCTTTACCCTCAATCTTCATTTGACCCAGTGGGTCTGCATTCAAGGTCAGCAGGTCAATTTTCCCGTGCACGGTCCGATTTATCACTTTTCATGGAAAAATTTCATTGACAATGGAAGGCCAACGTTATGTAATTCATTGTGGATTCTTTTATTATTACATGCAATGATTATCTAGGGTGATAATATTAAGAATAATTCACCTCTGACCTCTTAGGTTATTATGCTATACGAGTACTTAAGTTTGGAAAGTGTTTTTACGGCACCCTCCAACTCTGAGGACACTGGAGGTGTCATTTTTGAAGCTATCACCTTAAAATTTTGGAAATACCTTTTTGAGAGTATTATCTTGCAGTCTACCAAAAATCACTTCAAAATTCTACTCCCTGCCAGAGATATTCACCCGCGAATTCGTCAAAACCATCACCTAACGCCTTTTGTAAATAAAGCCGCACAATGCAACTTGAGGAATAAAATAACAATAATAAAAGTGACATAACTTAGCATCCCAAGTCGTACTTATAACCAACCAACCTTCCATCTCCCCTCCGAATAAAATTTTATTTAACTATCAAATCTATCAGCAGCAGAAGAACATTAACTATTTGACTTACAAATAGGTAGCAAAGAATAAGAAGCGATTACCGGCGCATGCAAAATAACCAATTCAGTCACGTATCACTTTTCTATATACACTTTTTTCTGCTTATGTATTTGGAACAAAAGGAATACATAAAATAGAGTGACTCATTTCTACAATTAGTAGAATTACCTGTCATTTGTTGACAGATACGGGTCTCATTTAAAATCTCGTTACAGAACTAGAAAGCAGGTGGTTGGTAACATAGAGAAATAAAATTAAAAACCAAAACAACCAAGAAGGAACACAACAGGGAATGAACATTCTTGTAAAAATTCAGACAAAGAATGGTTATTAGTGACACCGTTGTGGAACGCTGCCAATTTAGAATAGTCAGAACACTCACCGTCAAAAATGGACATTGCAAAACTACATGACTTGAAATTAACGGATTCAGGTCCGATTTCTCATCACCATCGGCAAAATAGGAGCTACAGCAGTGTGGGAATTAGTGGAAGCCTTGATAATGAGGGCATTTTGGTCATAAACCGCAATTTAAATTATTATAATAATCAAGACCAGGACGTGTCTCATCTTCAGCAACTGCAGCAAGATTACTGGGGAGTAGGAAGGGACGAGCAGGAGAAGAATGGCAGATCGAATCATAATATAGAGGTAATTCATTTACATATTTCAATTCGCTTTTTTAATGCATTGGGAATCATTGAATTAGCATAGATTTTTATACTGGTTTTAGAGCGATTTGGTTTAAAAATATTTAACTGACGGTAGAAAACGTATATTTATTTCAGTTTGCCAGTTCCAAATTAAACTCTCAAGAAAACTTCAGAAATCAACAGCTTCGTGGACACAACGAGAACAATGAGACAGCTTTAATTTTGACTCCTATCCTCCGAGAAACAAAGAAATCCATTGAGAATCAGCAGCAACAGTCTTTGCCTCTTGAGAACGCTGCCGAGCTTTCACTCTGCAAGGAAAAGTACTTTCTCCATGATCAACAGCACGGAGACAATGTCAATTATTATCACCAACAATACCACCAAAATGGTGGCGAGAAAGTATTGGATGGTGATGACAATAATTGCAATCATAAACTAGGCAGCCATCATAATACGTCATGGGATCGGATTTTCCAGTGTTTCAGCGTATTTAAACCGAGAAAGGTAAATATTTATGTGTAACACTGTAATGTGACGTGAGATGAGTAATAATTGAGTAATGAGATGTTTTGAATATTTTGCATTATCTCTTATTTACTGATCCTGATTAAATTTCCATACCGTTACTAAACAGATAAGATAAGATAATTAGTTTTATTTGGGTTTTGCAGATTTCGTCCGCAAATCCAAACTCCACATTATGCGCTGAACTAAAAGAAACTAAAACAGAGGTTTCGGATAAATTCCAAAATCCACAATTGCGAAAAACCATGACAGATTTGGACTTGTATCTCCAGGAATTGGCAGATGCATCCGAAATTCTGGACAGAGCGGACACAGCAAATTTGGGAAAAAACTTTCCACCCAGGTAACAAGTCTTTTGCATTTGAATTGTTATGGATTAATTTGCGCACCATTTATCATTCGATAAATACACGCATTATCCTGCAAAACCTAACCTTTCTTACTTTCCATTCCAGGGCTATCGGAAATTCATGGGAGAAGACATTCTCCACAACGACTGATGGATTTTCGTTGCATAATTTGTACAGAAAACTTGATGGATTTGATTCTCCGGTGATATTTGTTATTGAAGATATAGAAAACAGGGTGTTTGGTGCGGTACTATCGTGCGGTTTTAAAGTGTCTGAAAATTTTTATGGAAATTGTAAGAAATTACGCTATTACTATTTTATGAAAAATATGTTTTTTTCAAGACATTAGAAAGTAATGTTAATACTGTTTGCAGGTGAAACATTTTTATTTCGATGTCGCCCCGAGTTTGAAGTGTTTAAGTGGAGTGGAGACAATTTTTACTTTATCCAAGGTCAAGATAGTTTCATAAGCGTGGGATGCGACGAGTAAGAAATATACGGATACATATGTACATACCATCAAACGATACAATTAATGTTTACATGTCGTTTTACTTTCAGTGGGAGACATGGCCTGTGGCTCGATGATAATTTATTTCTAGGAAGAACAGAAAAATGCTCAACCTTCAATTCACCACCGCTAGTCCCTGAACAGGATTTCAAAATTAAGACTGTTGAATGTTGGACAGTGGGCTTGTATTAAATTATGCCGAGAACAGTATTGGTAAAAAGAAAGAACTGGTTCAGTCAAAAATAATACTTTGGTGCTGCTGTTGTACATAACTACCTAAATAAGTAAATGGAGGTGCTAAGGTATGGAACTTCAAAAGTAATAACTACCTATGATGCCAGTATTTTTATAAAGCCAAAAAAACTGCGGATATTTAAATGTCTCTCGTGTGTGGATGGACATTCCTCATAAACGAATCATGTCTCTCTTTTTATGATATTTTTTGTTGTTTTGTGATTTATCATGTCTCATCACTCTCAGTACCGTTAATTGTAATCGGAAAATAATGATACAAATTTTTATCCAGTGTGTTGTGCGAACTTTATTGCGAAACCGAAACATATAACGGGATGAAACAGTATACTACTGACCTGAATTACAATAAAAACTAAAACTAAGGAAGCTTAAGCACCAGTTATGACAAATTTAATGACTATGTAAGTATTACATGTGGTATAATGAATTGGTAACAATACGTGAACGTCAACAACATAAATACATATTATATAGAAAAACTAATTCACTTTCATACAATCCGTCACATTATACCCTTAGATTTAAAATTCAAAATAATACGTCATATAATAATATTATTACTATTACTATACTATCAATGCTAATGTTCAGGTACAAAAAATAAGAGTAATTTCATAAGAGTACAACACGCTGTTATAATAATTAAAGTGAAATATCTGACATATGCCACAACATAGCAAATGCCTTGCGCCTTTGTCTCTGTTCAGGAAATTGCACGCCAACACTTTTTTCAATCAAATTAGAAAATCCTTTTCCAATTCCAATCACAATTTGGGTATTGGCTGCCGTGTCATGAGAAGAACTGGGGGTTGGAGAAATTCCTCGTATATCACCTGGCTCATCGCCGCCACCCCCACCCCCAGTTTTCCCATCAGTAGTCGAATTACTTATATTTGAGCTGCTTGCGCTGGAATGAATTTTGTCAAAAGCCGTATGTTCCACAATGTCTTTTTGCTCGGAAAGATTTCCTACACTTCCACTAAATTTAGCAGTATTTTTAAATATCCAAAATGATCGCACATCTTGTTCAAATGGTCGGAAGAATGTTATAGGACGAAGTCGTTTTATGTCTGCTAAGAAAACAAAGCCACGATTTGTTCCAACGTATACCTCGTTAAGAGATGCCCTCAATACCGTGACCTGAAATTATTAATCGTATACACACATGAATAAAATATTTAATCTCAAACAAATAATTGATGTGTCCCATTTGTTTATAGCATTAAGTTGATGTTTTTGAGACAAAGAATATCACGTACTTGAAGTGGTTTATGATTCAATTCTTCCTCCATGGATTCTTTAACAGGTAAAAGTTTTCCTACGTCTAATCTTGAAATCATCTCTCTCCTGTTGCAATCCCAGCCGTAAACTATATATGTAGACAATGCAGATTAGTTATTTTTATAAACTTTTGCTTACAGGAATATCATTATTTACTTAATAAATATTAGTCAATTTACCTACGCTCCCAGGATAGACGTATGAAAACAAAAGTTCTTGATTGACATGACCTTCAACTAGCAATACTTCTACGGCATCCATTTTTGACTCGTAATGATTAATGATTTCTTGCGATGACACCGAACGTTCTTTAATGCTGTACACGGTCATCTGTCCAGCTTTCTCTCCAGTCCAAAGCTCCATCAACCTGTAATTTATACAAAGCTGTGAAACCCATCCACATAGATTTCGAAATATTCATGAATATATATTTATTCATCATACCCATCTTCAACAGTTCTGCAACTTAAGCAATGTATGACCGGAGTTTTTCCCAACTCAGTAAAAGGATGCGCAGTAGTTTTATCACATAAAAATAATCTCCCACTAGAAAAGGCAACTCCAACCACGGAACAAAGAAATTGTACCGATACTACAGCCCCAACATATCCGACTAGAGATTCGTAGTCAGATTCCAAATGTTTGCTGTAGTCACTGATCTTAAATACACTAATCTTTCCCATGGTATCCCCCATCCACACACAATCATCTACAGGGCACATGGCTGTGGAAAAATAAATAAAATATATATCTCCACAAATGCAGGCATCATGAAATAGCTCCAGCTCGAGTCAGTTATCTATTTGTTAATTCTTACCCGTTACTACGCCAGAAATAAATTCAAACAAATGACAACTATCCACGCTGCTGGTGGTTTTGACTTTTAAGCAATAAATCCCTCCTGTTGAACAACTCGCCCAAATCTCTCGATCTTCTACAATAGTAGTAAATAAATTATTCGCAAGCAACGGTTTTAATCTTAATGTCAAGCTGTATGTATAATTACCACCATACTGCAACCCTAAGGCAGCCACGACGTTGGTAACTGAGCCAAGCGATACGACATCGCGGATGATAGTAAATTCTGGGGCAGAAGCTATCATAACGATTTGCGTCGCCGTTGGTCGATCTTTCGATGCATGTGACCAACACACAACCATTAAATCCAGCAGATAAAGAGGATACAATTCGCAGTCCTAACAATTACATTCACTTAATGCAGTTAACAGAATTTTATTATTGCAGCAGTATAAATTATATATTGTGTCATACCCTTTGTGACAACGAGGGACGCATTCCCTCCAAGATACTTTCCTTTACGTTTTCACAGCCATCAAATGGTTGCCTTAAACTGAGAGACACATGATTTAGGTTGGAATTATGTACATTCTAAGTGCGGTGACTAAATAAATTACTTACCTGATTAACTCGTACAATAGCATACCAAAAGAGAATATGTCAACTTTTTCGGTATATTCTTCTTCGCCGTTATATCTACATAATATTTTAAATCATTGAATTAGCATACATAGATTATTCTGTTTTGTAGCGATTACTCACCTAATAATTTCTGGGGCCATGAAACCTTCCGTCCCTCCAAACCCCTTACTTCCTGTTGGAAATGACGCTCTACTGATTCCTGTTGTACATTAAAAAAAAAAAGTATTTAGAAAATATTTTTTTAAATATTAAGATGCTACTACATGTCCTTAGTTAATGCATACCATAATCGGCTACTTTTACGTCTACACTCGTAATGTCATCTAGTTTAGAAAATGGCTGAGGAAATGTCCAAACCTGTTGTTTCGGAATGAACCAAATTTTCCAAATGGAATTATACAACAATTTTCAATACATTTTGTGAATAGTTCTTAACAAACCAAAATGTTCTCTGATTTAAGATCTCGATAAATTATTCTATGACTGTGTAAGTATTCCAACGCTTTCCCAATCTAAAATTAAACAAGTTTGAATCAAGTGCATTATAAAATTTTCGCAGAATTTTCATGATGTTACCTGAATAATTGTAACTTGGGCTGTTTCCTCTTTTACTTTGTCTCCAGATCTTCTATAATCAGAGAGAACAACGTCTAGAGCTCCACCTGAAAGTCAACAAATTGTTTACATTTATATTTGTGAGGAAAGAAGGCATGTATAAAATGAACTTACGTGGAGCGCGTGGCATAAGGATAGACAACGGCGATTGACATAAACCAATGAATGGAACAACGTTTGGATGTGAGACCCAATACAGTACTCGAACTTCTCCTATAATTGAGCATTTCAAACTTTTAAAACTAATTTCTTCACGGTTAAACCTATATCTAAATAATAACTTATAATAACCTCTTGCTGCGATATAAGCTCGACAGGACGACTGTGCTGGTGCTCGAAACCATTTATTTCTTGCAAGAAAAGACAAAATCCACATGCAATGAATAATAATTATGTTAAGCGTACATACATATTTACATATACCAGACAGTACAATTTATGGGAATAGACACCCACATATATAATTATTTCACAGTGACTTGTTTGCACAATAAGTACATAATTTTCCGAATATATTTTGACCTTGGGAACCTTGCTGTGATGTTTACAATTTGTGGACAATTGAGCTGTAAAATTACTAAGTGTTCCAACGATTGGACAATCCGATATGAGTCATCGGTCATCCAAAAGCAAAATATTTTTAAATCTATCTTAATATCAAAATTCCCAAAAATTCATAAAATTCCTAAATGATTACATGTCAAAGAGTTTGATTATAAACTTTTAAATTTTTTATTTAATAAAAACTGAACAAAAATTTCATGTAATTATACAATTAAGTTGTTTATGTAAGTATGTATTTCATATATAATATACATCGCTTCTAGACGTATAATTAATATAGACAATGGAACGTATTTAATATATTAGTGTAAAAGATCAGAAAGAGGAACAGTAGTGGTCATTTGGATATGGCCCCCATTAAACGCGTCTGGTAATACCCTACTTCTGACCATATCTGCAGTCTTCTCGTCAAACAGGTCCGCATGAAGTTGCACTTGTTCCTCTAGTTGGGAAAAGAATTCTTTAAATAGTGGGATGGCTTCTAGTTCTGCTGAGTTCCCGATAGATCCAAGACGAAGTCGGTGCCAAGTTTTGGCTCTTTTAGCAAGCCTGCGACCTTTGTAAAGATGGGGAAAAGCGACGGCCTTTTCTACCTCCCATTCCATTCCTTGTTTCACCACATGCCTGTAACATTATTAGAATTTTTATCTTATACGTGTAAATAAATTATGTCAATAATTTATTATATATATATTACCGGACGACACAACCCCTATTCGCATCAATTTCTTCAGAGGTGAGTCCTTTTATAACCGTTCTCTTAATATTTCTTGCTCTGACTTTGATGTCACTCAAATTTGTGTAATTTAATGTCTTTTCTACTTGTACATCATCCTTTTCGACTGGGATGAAATATATCCGACGAAGGTCATAATCTACGTATCATAAATATATGTTAGCATAATTATTGTATATAAAATGATGATAGACGTGTAGTATAGTCAAACCTTGCTTATCTTCTTCTGTCATTGGTCTCCAAACTACTGTCTTCCTGTCGTCGCAAGCAAAAATCATCTCGCCAATCTCAGTCTGGTATGTTATAGTTTGGTTGTCAAAGGGTCGTTCTCTGGTTTTGTGGCATTTCTCATGAATAAGTTGGGTTGTTTGTAACTTAAATTTGGCCCCACACCCTTCATACATACAGACGAATGGATGGTCGTCCGAATGAACAGACATATGACGTCTGAGGTGTGTAGTGTATAAAAAACATTTTGAACAAATAGTGCACATATGTCCAGTCTTCTTGGCAGGGTTCCCTCTGCGAAATCCTCTACGAAAAATATTCAATACATAAGATTAATTTGATGTATACACGTATATTTAATCCTAAATTACCTTTCTTTGTTGTATGTACAATGTGCACATTCGCATTTCTTCAAAACGGAAGATTCTTTTACTTGTTCCTTTTTTAGTTTTTCAACCTTTTGAATTTCTGCTTCTGACGCTAGTTGAATCTTACGGGGTCCTTTCTTGTGATTTCTTCTTTTGCGAGTATTTTGTTCATTTGGCGGACTTGGTGACGAGTTGGTTGAAGTATCGTTTGATCGTGTGGAAGTTGGTGACTCATGTTTGGTTAATTTGTCTGTAACTTCTTCAAGTTGACCGATGGTACGACGGATTTTCGTTAGGATAAATTCGATTTTTAAATCCATCTGATAATTGTCTCCTTCATCAGTGTTGGGAAGATTTGTGTCTGAAAAAATATAAGTAATACATTATTATGCATGAGATTACTATCAATCTTGTACTTATTCTTATTAATATATGAATATATATACATAAATGATACTAGATAAAATTAGAAAGAATGAATTTCATCGTGATGGAACGTCCGACGGACCTTATCGGTTAGTCCGGTAATGTTACCATTCTGTTATTGTATAATTATCTATCACATGTTGAAATTTAGTTGTTTTACGTAATGAATGATTATTTTGGAATGGCCGATTCGGCTGCTCCTACATCAGCTATAATTCCAATGTGACACAAATTGACGCCTAAACTACACGTTTATCACGTAATGACAGTTTACTTGAGGTTTATCAAATAATCATTCTGGAGATATAATAATTTATAAATTCTAAAGTAGAAAAATGTCCCATATTTCGCATTTTCATAAATAATCTTAAAAAGGTAGTTAATATCAAACCTTGAGTTGGAGTTTTCTTATCTGATTCATCTATACGTATAAGTTTGACATAACAAGAGGTCATATCTTGCTTATTGAGACATTCCACATTCTTATTATCTGGTCGTTCCATGTTGGATGAAGATGATGATTGATTGATGATGAGATTTCCCTCACCTAAGATAAGATAAGATAAGAAAAAATTATTACAAAATCCTGAAATTGTTGTTCAATATATGTACTTTCTCTAAGTTGTTCACAATTATAAGAATACGATGTTTGAATTAAAGTAATAGAAAACGACCTTGTTCCGAAGATGTCGATTCGTTCTCACTAGAACTGTTACAGTCATTTTCTTCCTTCTCATCAGAGTCCTTGTAGGTCATTCGATTTGCGATTTTCACTCCTGTCAAGTGGTTGTGGACGAGGGCCTGCTTAACTGGAATAATGCAAAAATATGATGCTCAATTGATGTACGAAAAATATTATAAACGTTTATTAATTATGTATCATGAACTCACGATTATCCGACGAAATATTGATAGTATCTACTCGTCCTCGTGAAGGTCCATGGTCTCGGCGTCGTCGTTTCGTCATTACTCTCTCTTTTGTCCGGCTTCTTAGAGTTTCTGTAAATTCAGTTTGTAATTTATAAGATACTTACACGTGTATTTACTGCCGAATTACTCACCAATCGCGACATCCTGTTCTGAAGATGAAGAGAAGGCGAAGTCTTCATCCGACGATATCCCGTTCTTTTTTCTTCTTGCCATCCTATAACACTGGTTATAATAAATAACTATAAATAGGGATTATATTCTTATAAAAATTGAACTGAACAATTATGCTAAATTTATTTAATTGAAACTTACACGTTTAATAAAAATTATTAGGAGCGTGAGAAACAATACGTTTATTCTTCGAGATGCCGACACCAAATGAGGAGTAAAATGCCGTCTCTGTTGTTTAGACGCTCGCTTCTTTGCTCACTCCATTGTGCACTTTCTTGACGATTATAGAATTTTATTTATCAATTTATTTACGGGTAGTTTTAATTATTTGTTTTGTCCGGGCAACGCAAATTAATAGTCGTCAAAGTTCAGACACATTTATTATACGTTTAATTAACTGTCGGTGAAAATTTCAGTCGTAGCAGGGAGGAGAGGAACAGCGAGGAGAGTGGAAGTGGTTCCTTGTTTCGACTTGATTTGTGCGTACGGGAGCAGTCATCACAACAAAGTAAGACAAGTTTCAACCTGGCTATTTTTACACGTATAATTTACTACATTACTAAAAAATAATCTAAAATTTGCATATTTATCCTATAGATTCACTAAAAATTACGTAAAGGCTGGTGAAATACACGTCTATCTAATTAAGGTATGTATATTTATATGGGCAACATAATAGTGAAGCATATGTATAATTAATACTGCAAAATAACAAATTTTCACATGTTGTTTCTCTGCCATAATCATAATTCATCCTTCTTGCTGTTTTTACAGATACACGACTATTTCATATTATCATTTGATCATGGCCCCGAAAAGCGATAATACGTATAATAAATAATATAGTATATTTTAGAATAATTTATACAATTCATCCAAATTTATTGGTGGAGAAAACGAACGAGTAAGCAAACAAGCGTCAAGCCATCGCAGTCAATCTTTCTCATGGCACAGTCAAAACGTTCCTCTCCCTCTCATCCATTCTTCCCTTCAACTTGATTGTTCCTTAAACGTATAAAGTTTCAAGTTATGTTTAAGCAGTTGTTAATTGTTGACGTCGTAGTATTTTAATCATTAATAGTTCAGTAATGTAGTAAGTTTAATTTATAGAACAAAGTCCACTCGAAAAAATTAAAAAAAAATCATCTGACGACGATTCAGATTATTGTGCAAATAGTGAAGGAATTTCATCGTCAATGGAAGAATACGTCGCAGGTAAGAAATCAACATTCATTTATAAAATATTAAGATTATATTAATGTCTTCATCAGTGCCTAAAAAACATAGTAAACGTTTAAATAATTTATGAATTTTATTAACAGAAATTCCAAGAGGACGTTCACAGCGACGAGTCCTTCCCAAACGACAATGTCGAGACCACGGACCATCGCGATCACTACTGGAATTTGAGGAAGCATTTTCAAAGAAGCGTAAGTGTGATGTACAAATTTATACACGTTTAAAATATTTTTTGCAGATTATAATTCATAACTTCTTTTTCAAAAAAGGTGAGAAAACTATCGCCCGCAGTCAAGCCTCTTCATCATCAAACAACCACCATGTAGACGAGCAGCAGAACAATAGTTTTAATCCAGGTATGATTCAATAATCAATTAATTCATTTTCTTTAATATATTACATGTATGTTAATAATTTATGCATCACTTATTGTTAATTATATTTAAATATTTTATTGTAGAAAACGAACAAGGCAAAATCGCATCAAAAAGTTTGTCGCCAGTAATAACTGAACATGTCGCAATGATGGGTGGCGGCCAGCCTGATGAAGACTTTTTGGCTATAGGAAAGAATATGAACTCGTCCGATGATAACTCAAAGCACCGACCAGAATATTATCCAACTGATATGGATCCTTCGTCATCTTCTGATGACGAAGAACTAGTCGTGCGTAAGTAATTATGTTGATAAGATCAACCAAATTATTATAATCATTTCTTATTTGTTCATAAATTTATATATAAATAATCCTTGATTTAAATACGTATCCAAATAATTCATATACTGTAATCTCTATTATAGAGACTACAAGAGCTCGGACAAAGAAGAGAGTTCTATTCAAGCGACAACGTCGCGATCATGAACCTTCACGAGGACTGATCAAAGATAAAACCACATCTTCAGGTAGTGTTAACAAATAATATATAATAGTACACGTGTATAATTTGAAGGGTAGCATAATCATATAACTTACCAAAGTATTAATTAATTAATTAATTCCCATAGTCAACAACGACATTAATAAAAGTTCGTCTACATCAGAAGAGTCAGATGAAACATATATAGATGTTTGGTCATACTGTTTATCCAACTTTGGTAAGTATTTATGGATATTTTTTAAATTTTAGCATTAGTTTTGGATGACCGATGACGCACGTCGGATTGTCCAAACGGTGCTTTATCGCTTAATAATTATTTTACAACTCTTGTAGGACTTCAACCACAACAAATGCACAAGAAATTGATACTTGAGCGTCTCCTGTCAATATCAAACTATTTGGAATACCAATTGGACGAAAAAACCAACAGATTAAACGAGTATATGCAGATCCCGTCTACCTCTCCGGAATCATGTGACCGATCATCTACGTCTTTTCAAGGACCATCTACTTCAAATGGTCCACGTTCAATTAATACTGGGGGTCAGCTTAAGAAGAGAATATTCCTAGCGTCAAAATCACAAATTCAAAAGGTTGAAAAACTAAAAAAGGAACAAGTAAAAGAATCTTCCGTTTTCAAGGAATGCGAATGTGCACATTGTACATACAATCAAGAAAGGTTAGTCTCCAAAATTTCTAAACGTTTATCCATCATATTAATTTAACTTAACGATTTGATTTTATAGAGGAAATCGTGCCAAGAAGACTGGACATATGTGCACTATTTGTTCAAAATGTTTCTCAACCACTCAACACCTCAGACGTCATATGTCTGTTCATTCAAATGAGCGACCATTCGTCTGTATGTATGAAGGGTGTGGGGTCAAATTTAAGTCACAAGAAATCCAACTTATACATCAGAAAATACACGAAACCGGAGAACGACCCTTAAACCAACAAACTATATCATCCCAGACTGAGATTGGCGAGATGATTTTTGCTTGCGACGACATGAAGAAAGTGGTCTGTAGACCGATGACAAAACAAGATAAGCAAGGTTTGACTATATATTACACGTCTATCATCATTTTGTATACAATAATTATGCTAACATATATTTATGATACGTAGATGATGACCTTCGTCGGATATATTTCATCCCAGTTGAGCAAGATGATGTACAAGTAGAAAAGACATTAAATTACACAAATTTGAGTGACATCAAAGTCAGAGCAAGGCAAATGAAGAAAAAGGTCATAAGAGGACTCGCCTCAGAATACATTGATGCGGAAAGGGGTTGTGTCGTCCGGTAATATATATATAATAAATTATTGACATAATTTATTTACACGTATAAGATAAAAATTCTAATAATGTTACAGGCATGTGGTGAAACAAGGAATGGAATGGGAGGTAGAAAAGGCCGTCGCTTTTCCCCATCTTTACAAAGGTCGCAGGCTTGCTAAAAGAGCCAAAACTTGGCACCGACTTCGTCTTGGATCTATCGGGAACTCAGCAGAACTAGAAGCCATCCCACTATTTAAAGAATTCTTTTCCCAACTAGAGGAACAAGTGCAACTTCATGCGGACCTGTTTGACGAGAAGACTGCAGATATGGTCAGAAGTAGGGTATTACCAGACGCGTTTAATGGGGGCCATATCCAAATGACAACAACTGTTCCATTATCTGATATTTTGAACTACTGAATTTAAAATGTTTACTTGTTTATATTAATTATACGTCTAGAAGTGATTTGTAGATATTTACATGTATAATCCAATCATTTTTTGCCACTACTGTTTATATTTCACAAAGAACTTAATTATGTTAATATACTATTTAATTTACGTGTCAGGTCGACATATATCAGTGACATTATACTACTACTGGATGGATGAATGGATAATATCTAGGTAGAATACGTGACTACATATAGGCTTTATTGTATAAAATATGTCAATGTGGCTGTTTTGTGGAAATTTTAGAATAAAAGGATCAATGCTCAAGATTGTAGATTGAAAGATTTAATGCGATTTTTTAAATAAACGTTTAGGTGAATGAATAGATGGGGGCCGTTTGTTGATGGTATTGATTTCATGGATTTATTCCTTGCCATGCATAAAGTTTTAAAAATTAATTTTAAAGTTAGAATCAAACCTTGCAAGTTTATAGGCAACTTCAGCCTCGCTGTTTTCCGTTCCGGGGTCAATTGGTTGGAAGGTCTTGATTGCAACGTCCATTAGTTTAGAGTCATATTTTTGAGTCAACGTTCCACCAAAAACAAATCCGAATGCCCCACGACCTAAATGAACCCAAATGAAACATTTAGTTATATTAATCAGGTAAAATTAAGGATACTGTTATTACCAAGCAGTTTTCCTCTTTGAATGTCGGCATGCTTCAACAAATATCGAGAATTCAAATCCAGGAACAAAATATCTGGAGCAATATCCTTTAGCAGAACATCGCCATGCTTGGGACATTTCACTCCAAAAGTTTGAATCTGTGATTTGTCACTACTATCAGCATCAGCAGGTTCGGAACTTTCATCAACATTGATAGCGTCAGTTTCAAAAGATTTTTGTCCGTGAAGGATGCAATATTCGACACTCTGTAAAAAAAATTAAATTCCACTTAATAATTGAAAATAATTAAGTCCACATACATATCAATTTTCGGAATAAAACTTACCCAAGAATACATGGCTACTTGTTTGGCTGCGGTTCCTGATGATCCACGGAGAAAGTAGTTGAGACCGGAAGTTTCTCTCGTGATTCCTTCCACTCTGTTTCCTGTTTTTAGTAATATTCCGCCTGGCAGTGTTTCCTCTGGTTCCTTACTCTCTTTGACGTCAATGTTTGAATCAACTGAAGAAACTCGAGTATTGGTCGGACTATTTCCAACTCCGGAATCGCTTGACATTCTGGGACTTCTGTTTCCAATTCCAAATCCAAATATTTTAAAAACGTCAGGTCGATGAGTCCCAGGAGAAGAGTAATAGGGCCATGTTCGCTCATTATTCTCGTGATGAGATGTTGAGGCTACATTGGTATCTGTATTTGGGTCTTGACGTTCAACTCGTTCAATTGGAAAGCAGTGTGGACAAGGAATCAGTCTAGTTATCAAATATTTTCCTTCAGATGTATGGACAAATCGTGTGCCAATTGAAGGGTACCAATCCTCAAGCAATGTATCAACATGATCAACGGTTAGAGCCAATAATTTCACAATGCTTTCGACGCAGGGTTCCAACTTTATCAATCTGAATGGATTATCTGCTTTTCCACCTCGCTGCGGGGACACTTTTTCAACTGGAATTTTGACCATTATCCGGCGAGCAGGAATGTGAATTTCAAGAAGCCCAGTTTCAGATAAATCTACAGCATCCCAAACTTGTTCAGAATTTGAGTCTTCTTTGATGAAGGGAAGATTGGCGTTGGTTTCGTCACACACATCAGACTCACATAAAGCACCATCGTCTCTGCGGAGCATAAAAGTGAAGGGTTTCTCTCCAGTGACTTCTTTAATTCTCATGACTAGTAAGTCACCATATTTTAATTCCATTCCTGTCTGCCAACAACACCATTCTGCCTTTTCATCTAATACTTTAACAACTTCTGGAGTGATGTCAGAAGAATGATGGGGATTAAAATAGTTTCTAATAATTTCAACGATTCGATCGTCTGAGAGAATTCTGCTAATCAATCTGGGCCAGAATCCTGAAGGGAAAAAAGATAGCAGCAAAAACCGATTGATCGGTGGCATGTCTCCCTTTTCAATTGTGGTGAATTTTGAAGTGTCATCCAACTCATTGGCAAGATCATATCCTGATTGGGAGCGAAGTGGACTTGTTGTTGGAGATGATCCTTGAATGTTATCATTAGAAATATGACGACTCATTCGATTAGCTTTATTCTTTAGAGCCCATCCTCTAGACCTCATAGGGACTCGAACTCGTACTTCGTCTTGTCCTATTTTCATTTGTTCAAATGAGGGAAGAAGTGAAGGGATAAGAAGTCTGACATTGTCGAATGGAACTGCAAGCTATTATAATATTCGTTATTTTTTAATTAACCAAAATCACAATATCTCAATACTGTAATGCACTTTTTATTTACATATTTACTCACCTCAAACTTGCTGAGAAGTGACATAATGTAGTCTCGAGTCTCTCTAGATTGGCCTTTAAAAAGATGTAGTAAATCGTCAACTTTCATGACTCCATTTTTAGCAAAAGGATTTATTTCGCGAACTGTGACCACATGCGCCAGCATGTCACAGAGCCATTGTGGGTCAAGAAAGTATAAATCTCTCAGAGTACTATCTTCGTAGTGAAGTAAAACTCCATTTTCATGAAGAAAAGAGCATGCTTGTATTATTTCTGCGTCATCGCGGAATGTGAGTCCAAACCCTTTGTCTAGCCAGTCAGAAACTTGTATTTTAAATTCTTGTTCGTTTAATACTGGATCAAGTTTGTTCGTTTTTCGTTCAGTCGCAAGATACGCTATGATCTCCTCTAAATGAATGTATTTTGAAGGAATTTTTTGCTCCAGGAGCCTTCGACCAGTTGAGGTTTTGATATTAAATACTGCTTCGTAAATGAGGTTAGAAACTGTAAATAAAAATGAGGTTAGAAACTTACAAATTAATTGTACTATGACTGTATGATTAACTACAGAAACTAGAAGAGCAATAGATATATATTGATAGCAAAATCTTACGGTGACGAATGTTGTGACGTGTTTTACATGAGATCTCTACGGAACACAAAACTTTGGGAAGTCCACGTTTTTCAGGATCCGTAACAAATATGAAACGATCCTTAATCTTCTGTTGAAGATAGTCAAGATATCCTGGAGGAAACTTTTCGGAAACGAGATCAAAGTGGGTTCCAACAATAATGACTGGAGAATTAGGAGCCCGTGCCTGGATATTGACGAGCCATTGAACTATCTCATTCAAGCCTTTCTCTCCGTCACAAATATTCCATACGACAAGGTATAGACTTCGTCTTGACAAAAAGTAGACATGAGTAGCATAGTATTCACGCTGACCCCCAAAGTCCCACGTGCGAAATTGAACCGGCCCAAAATTGCTGCTTTTAGGTCCTTTTCGCTCTAGAACCCAGGATCCAATGTCCACACCAACGGTCGAAATTGGTTTTCCTGATTTCTGAAGTGCCATTTTGTTAGCTGCACCCATTCTTCGTGCCCAGTGGTCTTGACTCGCGTGCCTTTGACTTCCTTCTTGTCTAAGTTGGTGTAAAAGTGTCGTCTTCCCGATACCTTGTATTCCAACTACCTGCGTATGCATACAAACTCTAGTTAGGACTCCAAGCATATACTTAGATATCAATTAGTCAATTCATTCGAGTTACATTACCATCAGTTTCATTCTGGAATATGGTTTTGCATCCTCCAAAACGGATTTTAGATAGCCTTCAATTATCAAAATTAAATCAAGTTATAAGTTGAATTGAATCCCATTAATAATAAATAAATCTCATCATCCATATAATATACCGATTATATCCATTGTTTTGCATCGTTTTGATTCAATCATTGACTTTAGTGGCTCTTGCAAATTGCATCCAGTAATGTTGAGATTCCACATTCTGCTCAATAATCCCATTTCTGGTGGAAGATCATTTATATCACAGTTTCCACTCAGATTTAGAACGGATAGACTAGTCAGTTCAGCAACTTTGGGGGTAACTTCGTTCAATTTGTTATCAGAAAGGTCAATCATAGTAATGCTTGGGAACCAAAGGTTTTTGTTTGCAGACTTTTTCCCAATAGACTCAACAGCACCACTACTAGTGCTAGTAGAAGTGGTTGAAGTAGTTGTGTCGTCTAGTGCCAAACTATCTTCATTATTATTATTGTGAACCATGATATTGGTGAGCAGATTTCCACTCAGAAGTAGCGTCTTCAGGTGATCCATTCGAACATGTCGTTTATGAATGCAGCGATCTTCTGCAACGTTTACCTCGTCAACGGTGCATCCATAACAGAATAGTTTGAGGGTAGCCTTGTTGTCTGGAGAGTAGAACCATCTCTCAATTTGGTTATGTGAAAGGTCCAACTGTTTAAGGTCTGTCGGATATTCCCCAACATGACCCATAAATTTGAGATTGTTGTATGAAACATTTAATCGCTGTAAATTCGGGGCGAGACAAGCCAACACTTTTGGAATTTTGTGAAAAGAGTTGTGAGCTAGATTTAAATTCAGAAGAGGACTAGATTCAATTGCTGAAGATTTTTGTGCGAGTTCTTGATCCTTAACAATGCTAACATTTTCTCTCCATAATGCATGATGCGCGATTGTCGTGGATTGAGAATCTTGTAATGCATTGTCTGATGATGATACTGATGATGACGTAGAGTTCCGGATAAGTCGGTCCCGAGTTTTCTGAAAATCCACTACTATAAAATCGGGACTCTTTGGCTCCGGACTGGAAACGAGTGACTGGTAAGGTAGCGAGTCAAAAACCGAAAATTCCATTCCAGAAGACAGAGCAGGCAAATCGGTTAATAGGTTTAGAGATAAATTCAAGTCTTGGAGTTTTGGAGCTGACCAGACAGTTGATGGAATCGTTTGTAAACTGGAAAAAATGAGACATTTGTGAGTACTTTAAATTGTTAAAAAAGGAAAAGGTGGCACTGGCGGAGCTTCCACCTTTGGATTTAGTTTACCACGTTGGCCTACCACAAATGCTGAGTTAATTGTCTTATTAAATGATAAGGAAACTATCGCGAATATACATGAAATTGCAGAAACAGGAATTAATTTGAATGAAATGTTAACCCTGGCACGATCACCATGAAGTAGTTAAATAAATTTAAATGAACTTACTTATTATTTGACACGTTTAGGGAATTGAGGACAGGAAAATGAGTAAACAGTTCTTCTGGTAGGACTTCTAACTCATTTTCATTCAGTAAAATTTCCTCCAAACTGGGTGACACAATTGTTCCCGATGTAAGATCAATTGATTCAATCTTGTTGTGGCTTAGGGATTAAAGATTAGATTAGTAGTTTTGTTAATAAACGCCTACTCATTTAAAATTAATCTAACTTAGATTAACCTTACCTTAGATTTAAATGTTTGAGACTGCAAAGGCACCAAACAATTCGAGGCAAAGATTTTAAAACATTTGACGATAGATCCAGCCGTGTTATGGCTTGTAATCCTAAATTTTGATTTCTTGGACATAAACGGAGTCTTGGGTTGATTCGAATGGAAGCGTTGATCAACCATTGCTCACACACACGATCCAGTTTTTGATTGTGCCAGTTGATATTAACAGCACAAGTTGGAAATACCGACGAGGTAAGAGCAGAAACTTTCTTTAAATTAAGAAGGATATAGTCGTTGATGTACGATGAATTTATTTTGTTTTCCGAGTCGAGATGAGACTTTAAGGCTAATATTTTCCCAACGATAATATCATCGTGAGATATGACAGCAATTGCTTTGCAGTCGTCATCCCGTGATCCGTATTTTAGTAAAAGTTCAATCATTCCAAGCTTTAATTATCAACAAAACAAAAGTTAGACATGATATATATTTTAGACCGAATACGTAAAAATATCCATAGCTTACATCACGATGTAAACAGGCTTCTAACAAGGCTGTCGACGCTTCATCTTTCCGTTTAATGCAGCGTTGGTCAGCTGGATTCTTGCTACGATTTATCGTCCCTGTCCCGGCGGAGTTGTTAGGAGATGGCAAGATTGGTAAATTCGGGTCAGCTTTTGCATTCAGCAACATGGTTGCAATGGCGTGATTCCTCTGCTTTACGACAACGTGCAAGGGAGTTTGATAATCTTCGCAGTACGCGTTCACGTCGATGGGACATAGAAGGTTTTCTGACCTCTGTATTAAGAAAAATTAAAAAATACATCGAAATCCCAAAACTTTAAATTACACATAAATATTAGGTATGCTTACCTTCAAAGAAATTAAATTTTGATTCGTAGCTAATGATAATTTGCTAATAATTCCCTGTATGCTTTCTGAAACCCGTCGTTTGTTTGGACTAGTATTTTTAGTCAGATCTGCAAAGTTTTGTTCAGATTCACTAGGTTGGATAGTTGCGCGTCGTTTTTCCCCAAGCTTGCGGACTTCAACTCTGTGCTTCAGTAGGGTGTCAATCAACCTTTGGTTGCCCATTTGGCATGCAATGTACAGTGCGTTTTGCCCGGAAACGTCCTTCATATTAATATCAAATGGCATTTCATACTCCCAATCTCCAGAAAAATGACGCAACGTGATGAGAATGTCTTCAGGGTAATCAAACTTGAGCAGCTGCCGGTAACAAAACAAAGTTATGTGTATAATTTTAATTTTCTGTGTGACAATCAGAAATTAATTGTTGAACTTAAAGGCTGTGTGGATTATTATGCTAGAATATACTTACCAGCTCCAAAATATTAGCATGACCATTTATGCAGCATGCATGAAGAGGAAGCCATTTTTCGACGGTAGGGACTTGGACAAGATGGGGAAACTTCTATAAGAATTAAACCAGTTAATAATAATTTGTATAATTAAGTTTTGATAAATGATAAATTCTGCGATATAAACCTTAAGCAACATTGACACCATTTCCTTATGTCCATGATAACAGGAAATATACAGTGGTGAATATTTTGTAACGGGATGAATACGACCGTCAGCACCAGCATCGAGTAACATTCGTACAAGTTCTTTATTTCCAATTTCACATGCTCTGGAAATTATCAAGTAAATTGAATAGTTAAATAACCATTTAAATACATAGATAAATGTACTTACTTGAAGAGTAAACTGTTGGTTCCATTCGGTGTAAAATTCACAATTGATTCAGCCCCCACTTTTCCAACTTCCTTCAGCAACGATTTTACAGTTTCTACATCACCCACGCTAACCGAATTTCTGATACTCGAATGCAAGTTTTCTCGCGCTTCTTCCTTAGTAAGTTCAGCCTTTTTAAGATATTCGAATGTCGAGGTGTGACCACCACGCTCTGCAAGATCAATTGCAGTGTATCCTTGACCTTCGCATTTCTCTGGATTTGCTCCTGCTTGAATGAGGAGTCGAACATTCGAAAAGTACCCATGTTCTGCCGCTGTATGCAATGGGGTCTTGAAATTATCTTGGGCACCGCTTGCAATATTGGGGTCCGCTATTGTGTTATATTTAAGGCATTAATGCGGTTAGGAATGCAGTTATCATAATCAAATAGTTTGACGGAATAATTGGTTTGTACCTCCAGCTTTAAGAAGAATGTTGAGACATTTTGAGTTATCTGTGGTTGCGGCGGCATGTAGAGCTGTGCGCCCCCAAGAATCGAGCGAATTGATATGGGAAATTAGTTCTCCATTTAAGAGATCAAGCAATAGTTCCTCATTGTCCCACAAGGCTGCCTGTAGAAATTTAAATTGATGATGAAAATTATATCTTAAAAATAGTTAATGCAGAAAATATGAGGTAATTGGATTAAATACTTGATGGCAAAGATGTCCAGGAAAATCTTGCTCGTCAGGAGAACTCATCCAAGTTAATTTTAAACTCAATTGAAGTTATAATTCGGTAAATCCAGGTCCAAAATTTCTCTCGTTGTTATCATCTTCTTTCCTTCAGATGATGAATGTGGTTTAGAATCGTTCGTAATAACTAGTTTTCATACCAGACTTTGTTGGCACTGTACCAAGGAACACAATAATCGGGAAAAATCAGATTCTGTAAATTATAAATTAAATTTCACATTTATTTACAAAGATTTAATTGTAAAGATTGTATTAAATTGTGCTGATATAAAACCAACCTTAACGAGTAATAACTACTGCCTTTGCCCCCGCCCCTTAGGATCCCATTAATTTTCAAAGTTAGTTTAAAATTTAACGAATTATAAATAATGCCAAATTTGAAATTTTAAGAAAATCTCACGAAGCCAAACTTTTCAGCCAGCAGCTGTTGTTCTTTACTAACCCCACGACTCCGCCAAAAACAGAACCGGTGTTATGGTTAAAAGTTTGACGGTGAAATTTTGGTAAACAGTGAATTCTAATTTCAAAATATTATCGAAAATTTCTCAAAAACTGCAAAATAATTGTGTTATGCTCTGTATGTGACCTGATTCTTCGTGCTCCCTTTGTGTCAACGACATCCATAATTTGAAATTTATTTTATGGAGGTAAGTAATGTAAATGTAAATAATGGTTCCTAACTAATTTGAACTGAAGTGAATAACCAAAAAGCAACATGTAGCGTAAACTGATGATAAAATACTGTGCTTATGGTTTTTGGCATTACTTTTAGAACACCAGCAAAATGGAGAAAGTTCCAGGAAAAATCCAAAAGCTAGACGAGACCGTGGTCAACCGCATCGCGGCCGGAGAAGTTATACAACGTCCAGCAAATGCTCTGAAGGAACTTTTGGAAAATTCGTAAGACTCAAGATAACTATGTATAATTCATCATGTCTTCATTATTGATTCTCACCGTTAATGTTGCATAATGAAGGCTGGATGCTGGATCTAAAAATATTCAAGTTTTGGTGAAAGCAGGAGGAATGAAATTATTACAAATTCAAGACGATGGTTCAGGAATTAGAGAGGAAGACTTGTCAATTGTGTGTGAACGATTTACGACGAGCAAGCTTCAAAAATTTGAAGATTTGCAAACCATCGGAACTTATGGATTTAGAGGAGAAGCGCTTGCCAGTATATCTCACGTCGCGCATCTCAGTATTCTTACCAAGACTGAAACATCTCAATGCGCCTTCAAAGCTGAGTACACGGATGGAAAATTAAAAGATTTTCCGGAAGATGCAGGTGTTCAGAATCCTAAAAAATGTGCAGGGAAACAAGGGACAACTCTAATTGTTGAAGATTTATTTTATAATATGGAGACGAGGCGGAAGGCATTAAAGAATGCGAGTGACGAGCACAGCAAAATCTTTGATGTAATTTCTCGATACGCAATACATAATGCGCAATGTGGATTTAGTTTGAAAAAGTTTGGAGATACGAACAACGAAATTCGAACACCGGCAAATTCATCCATCTTGGACAATATCAAAATAATATATGGAGCAGCAATTGCAAGGTAATTGTATAAAGCGGTATTTATATTATGACATAATGTACAATGTTTTTTTGTTTGCTCATTTAGAGAATTAATTCAAGTTTCATGTGACGATTCTGTAACAAAGTTCAAAATGCAGGGATACGTATCCAATGTAAACTATTCGACTAAAAAGTCAATGTTCACATTATTTATCAACCATCGCTTGGTGGATTCCACAGGTATTATCAAGGATATTTAGTTTTGGAAGCAAGATTTTTATTTGGACATTTAAAGTACTAAGATGATTAATTTGAATAGGTTTACGAAAATCTGTGGAAGCAGTTTATTCCAATTATTTGCCAAAAGGAATGCATCCATTTGCCTATTTAAGTATTGAAGTGGAACCAAGAAATGTAGATGTCAACGTTCATCCTACCAAACATGAGGTACACTTTCTTCACGAGGACGCCATAATTTCCAGTATCACAGCTGCAATTGAAAATCTACTCCTTGGGGCGAATGAATCGCGTACCTTTTTAGTCCAGGTTCATACTATAAAGCTTTTGTGTAAATCTTCATGAAACTGTAAAGTACTAAATATTTAAATGGACTAAAATTATTATTGTTTGTCTGCATAGTCCTTACTACCGGGAGCAAGTGGACCAACGGGCATTTCAATGTCAGTTGGTACTGGTCGAAAATGTAAGGACCCTGATTCGGACGACTCTTTAGTTAGCTCATTCTCTGCTAAAAGTGGGCGTACTGTAATCAATCCCAAGCATATGGTGCGGACGGATCCAAAACTTCAAAAGCTGGATCGTTTTCTTAGCTCCACCCTGAATCCTGACGTATCTACTCCAACGAGTTTTCATGACACTCCTTCAAGATTGTCCATAAATGTTGATAATGAGGACACCTTGATTGACATTGACCCGGAGCCAATAAAGAAACCATGTGATAAAAAAAGTGACAGCAGGTCGTCCATCGGTGCAGCAACGGCTTCCAGTAGTACAAAATCAAGCACACCAAGGTAGGTTTACCAAGGTAGCTATCAGCTTCAGTGAGTTGGCAAAAACTATAATCTAGACTTTGAGATTACTAATAATATTTATGATAAATTTATTTAGACGCGACATCCGTCTTAAAAGCGTGAGTAATATGCGTGAGAAAATCAGACTGGATTGCCACGAAGCATTAATGAATGTGTTTAAAAATCACACCTTCGTCGGTTGTGTTGACAGAACATTAAGTTTATTCCAACATGAAACTTGTTTGTATCTCTGTAATACCGTGAGATTGAGGTAATTCCTTCATATAGCAAATACCACAGATTGATATTGATTTTGAATAAACCGTTACAACGCATGTAACCAAGGGGTGAAAGGAGTGTCATACGTCAATGTGAATATCAAATTGTTCGAAAATTTGTTAAGATTGACACTTCTGACGTGTTTTCGACTTTTGTGTCTTATTTGTGTCAAATTTAACAGTTGATAACCCTTATGTGACCTTTATATGACCTCTGAGGTCAAAATGGAGGTCACCATTGAATTCGGGGTTAAATTTCAGTTGAAATTGAAATAGATATGTCCTATGACCTTTACATGACCTCTGAGGTCAAAATGGAGGTCACCATTGAATTTGACATTGAAAAATAGTTAAAAATGACGTGTCACATGTCAAAAACTGACACGTGACACTTTTAAGTCACTTTTCGTCACCGTGACGACGTCATCGTCACAGGTGACGTCTAATCGCAAAATGACCTGAATTTTCGAATTCCTCGTTGAAAATTAGTTAGAAATGATGTGTCACATGCCAAAACTGACACGTGACACTTTTTCGTCACTTTTCGTCACTGTGACGACGTCATCGTCACAGGTGACGTCCAATCGCAAAATGACCTGAATTTTCGAATTCCTCGTTGAAAATTAGTTAAAAATCATGTGTCACATGCCAAAACTGACACGTGACACTTTTTCGTCACTGTGACGACGTCATCGTCACAGGTGACGTCCAATCGCAAAATGACATGAATTTTCGAATTCCTCATTGAAAATTAGTTAAAAATCATGTGTCACATGCCAAAACTGACACGTGACACTTTTTCGTCACTTTTCGTCACTGGGACGACGTCATCGTCACAGGTGACGATGTCACAGTGACCATCTTCGAACTCGTCCTGTCCATTGACGTTAGGAGTTTACGTTCAAAATTTCAAGTGTCTATGTCTTTTCGTTCAAAAGTTATCGGAGCTACGGACAGACAGACGGACGGACGGACAGACGGACGGACATAACGATCTTATAAAGGGCTTTCACCCCTTAATAATGATCGATTGATCGATTTGATACGTTTTGATCGATTTTGAATAATATTTGTATCTAATTGTACACTTTGTTGCAGCTCGGAGTTGTTTTATCAGAAGTTAATTTTCCAGTTTGGAAATTTTGAGAAAATCAATATTGATGTAAGTAAATTTCACATAATGTATACTTGCCAATACTCTGCAGAAATATTTATTTCTTTTGTTATAAATATAATATCTAGGATAAGATAGAGCTGAAGGAATTAATAGATCTGGCAATTGAATGTGATGACGGGCTAACTTGTGATGAACAAAAGGAAACAGTGGTTGAAAATGCTTGTCAACTGCTCATGGATAAAAGAAAAATGTTGCAGGACTATTTTTCTTTAATTTTCGATTCAGAAGGACGACTAATTAGCATTCCAATGCTACTCGGTACGTGCGACAAAATTTTTTCAGAAAATATGTAACACGTCCTCCATCATAATGTCTTGTCTTTCTGTTCCAGACAATTACTTTCCGAGTATGGAGGGCCTTGCAAAGTACATGATGAACTTGGCAAGAAAAGTAGACTGGTCGAACGAACAAAGATGCTTCGAGACGTTTTGTGATGTAACCTCTCAGTTTTATGCAATTCAACCTGGGGATGATAACGCCAATGCAGAAATGACTTGGGTACGTCGGTATGATGTATTTACATAATTGCTATCTTACTTGTATAATTTTACTTTCATTATAGAATGGACATAGTTGGAAATGGACTATTGAGCACGTTATTTTTCCTGAACTACAAAAGAACTTTCTTCCACCCAAAATATTTGCTGAAGATTCTTGTATTGTGCAACTAACTACTCTACCCGAGTTGTACAAGGTTTTCGAGCGTTGTTAATTATGAGTGGATTATGAGTTACTCATTTTAAGTGCCTAAACAGGAAAACTAGAATACTCAACTATAAAAAAGGTTCAAATCGAAAAAATGTTGTCTCGGATAAACTATGTGTAAACTTTAATGATTTAAAGATGAATAAATTAACGCCACTTAAATGCTATATAAAAGTTCACAATTTATTCAGTAATTTCCAATTTTGAAAGAAATTAAAAATCGAATTCTTGTTAGACATTAGACAACGTGACATGTGCAAGATTCACAACATAATAGTTGCCGCACTATAGATTTCCCCGTATGTCAATTTGTGCTTGGATTTACGGTTACCCAGTGCCATTTTTGTACTACAAATAAACAAATGTAATTCAATGTATTACACAGAAGTTATAAATTTCCATTGAACAGATTTTTTTATGTGTTCTTACCAAATGGATCCACGTGGGCTGGTTCGCCAGGTTCAGGATTACCGTTAATTATAGCTTCCGCTTCTTGAGTTGTCATTGTTGGTGACACGTTTGAGCTAGTTCCAGTTCTGTATGAAAAATATAGTTATTTAAAGGAAATCTAATATTTACATACTTATTATTACTTACAAAGACAGTTCAGTTTCATTCGGAACTTCTTTGGAAATCAAATCTTTCCAAAACTTATGAGTCTCCTCAACACAATGCAATGCAAATTCCGCATTCTTCGGTTCACCGTTGAAAGCAAATTGATTTTCTGGCTTGCCTGAAATTTATAACAATGATAGGAATTTGAAAAAAATGCTCATAGCTTCCACTAATTTAGAAACAATTTGCTCAGTAGAAATAACCTTACCATCAGGAATTTTGTAGATCCTAAACCATTCCACAGTTGACCGCAAGTATCCTGGCATCAACTTTTCAATATCATGAACATCTGCAAAAACCAGTAATTAATACAGTTTTATATGGAACAGATAGCATTTGTCATTTATCAATGGTACCAAGTTTATTCATTCACTAACCATTGAGCTTGTCAGCCATGGGGTCAGTGACATCAATTGCCATAAGTTTCCAATCAGTTTCACCTGTGTCGAAGTAAACATAAATAAATAAGTATTAAATATAATTGCCCTAAAAAAGAAAATTATATATTACATGTGTACATATTTAACTATACCTTCATCGATGAGAGCGAAGCAACCCAAGATCTTAACTTGAATTACGGCACCGCGTGGGTGAATCTATTGCAGAAATTTAAATTATTGCATCTGTAAATACGCTATTATTCCACAAATTCTTCCTACCCTGCCACCAATTTCACAGACATCAATAGGGTCGTTGTCTCCTTTACATCCCGTAGACTTATCAATATTGGAAGGGTTCTCCCACGTCTACAAGTTACAATTAAATATGAAATTAAATTCATACTCCATTTCTCTACCTAATCAAAATCGATAATACTAATTAATCGGGCAGACTCACTTGTGGCAAAGCTCCATAATTCCAAATGTACCCATGGTGGGGAAAGCAATTGGCAACATATCGCAGGGCTCCTTTCTTGACATCTTGTTTGATAGGACACAGGGGTTCCTTTGTCGCTATCTAATATACATGTACATACTCATTTATTATCAAGTTTGTGCATACTTGAAGGCTTGGGTGGTTTAATTAAATCAGCCATTAAATTACCTCCATCTTGGCATTGGTCCATCTAGGAACCTCCACCACCATGTTAAAAACATTGACGTCCGGCGTCACTCGAAGAGGAATGTCATGGAATGGCGAAATTGGAGTGCCAGCCTGGTCAACTGCAAAACAAAACGAATTGTAAAATATTTAATCACTTTGCTTGAGACAAAGTACATCATCACAGGGCAAACTCTGACTTTCTCCCTTTCACTTCACCATTTACCGGCAACATATTGTCAATTGTGGCCTAATTTGATTATCGACCGTGCTATTCGTTTGGTCACACAGTATTGATTTCTACTTCATTTTTTATATCCTTTTCCTCATTTTATCTTTTCCCAATAATTTCTATACGTCAATTCAACATAACCTTTTGATTTGACGTTCTTTCTTCAATCACCTCGTTCGAAAATTCTTTTTTAAACAAAAGAAAATAACTTACGGAAGTACAGACGATAATCGGGAGCATCCAGACTCCCTTTTTGAACAACACTATACGCAGATGTCATTTTGAACCTTTTGTTGGGAGGTGGAATAAGACCGTGGCCACTGCCGTTTCCGTTAGTAGACGAAGCCGTAACTGATTTTAAGAGTGGAGAACAATATTGTCCCGATGTTCGTGTTTTGGAGAAAGTGATGAAAGCAAGGGCGGAAGCGGATGTGGAAAACTGCTGTTGCTGTCTTCTCGGCAAAGCTGTCGAAGTCACTGACGAGAGGCGAAAAAGGGACCGCAGTAGCGAAGGTGATGGGCTGAAAATAAATGGCATGATGGCACAACGATTGAGAAATACCACCGCACACCGACCGGCCTGTATTCAATGTCAAGCAACTTTCACATGCTTACTTTGCGTATGGTGATGATGCAAAGCAAAAGTGGAGCAGATTTTACATTGCAATTTGCATTGTGAGATAGTTAGAGTGGAAATGCAAGTCTTTCATGTAGTGGAATTTTCCAGAGAATATTATTATTATGCCGTTTTCCTCATTAGTTTGTGTTTACAAGTATTTATTGAACAGGAAATGATGTATGAAATAATTGTTTATCAAACAATTTTTACGTAGAAAATTGACCAGATTTAATGGAAGTACATGATGGCACGATTTCATTATTGGCATAAAATTAATGTGCCGAATTGGAATTGTCCAAAAATATGAATCAAATTACAATTTTATGTCCTATTTATTATTATTTGGCCTACATTTATTATTTACTACGACATATTTTCCCTTTCCAGATTGAGTGAATGTGGTGCAATTGGACGATTGTGCAATGTCAACATTGCGTATCAATAAATCAAACTTGAACTTGAAACTAATATCATGAGAAGACTTTGTCCGACAATGGACTGCTTCTGCATACATGCGTTATCTTAATGTGACACTGGATTTCATTGAGTTTTTTATTATCTTTTGTGACGTGAGATTTACGTATAAACTCACTACTAATGTTTAAATCACTGTTATTATCATTTTTCACAAAATAGTGTCGTCAGTATTAAAAATATATTCTTTAATAATGACTCAAAGACACAAAAAGCATGCAAATTAATTTTATATGAATGTCATTCATGTGACTAATTTTACCTAAAGTTCAGTCCTATATAATATAGAAACATGTACATATGCAGATCCTTTTTACTTCTGGAACGTGACTAATAAAAATATTCAAAGTTTATGATGCTATTTATTGAACGTACGTACATACTACCATACGGGACCAGGACCTTAAACCCCCAAGAATGTCCCATGTTACACAGATAGTACGATTTTAAGATTGGTATTACATATAGCCACCCACTCCATTGTTTGCATCCATCCCATCAAAAAGATTATGCAATAGACAAAATCTATTAGGTAACTCCTTACATGACTGACTATATCGGTCCGTCATAAGTATTCTTGAGGGCTTTGTAACCAAAGACGTGGTTTTATTTAGATATACGCGAGCCAAGGCTTCGTCATCATCATCGTCTTGATTATGCGTGACTGAAACTTGCTTGTCTTTTTATTTAGCAACATGACTCGAGATTTTAATTCATTGACAGATTATAAATTGCTAAACGAGAGGTTGTCTAGCATGGTGGTGGTACCCACACGACGCGATAAATATATCGCACGTCTAACAGCAAATGGTTTAAATAGTCTTAAATAAAGTCCTTGTATTCCCATCATGATGTCAAGTTTTTGATTTAAAAATATTTTATCTTTTCCCAATAATTTCTATACGTCAATTCAACATAACCTTTTGATTTGACGTTCTTTCTTCAATCACCTCGTTCGAAACTTTTAAAGACAAATCTTAACAGGAAGTTGCTAATATTTTTAGCAATCAATTTTTTGCACCTCCTCCTCTTCTTAAAAGTGTTTGTGAACATGGAATCTTTATTTGAGTTAGATTTTCAGCAGTTTTGTATGACGTTTGCAACGAGGAGGATGGCATTGTCGCCATCAGTAAAAAATTAATTGGATTAAATTGGTCTGAAAAGTTGTCCTTCTTGCTGATACATAAAATTGCAGGGATATTTTAGTGGCAAAAAATTAGATGGAGAAAAACAGTCTCGTTTAAATTGCATATCATATCATAATCCTCCGAATTAAGTGAGCTATTTATTTATTCCATAAGAATTTGCGAGTGTGCGTGCAACTAAATCAGTAGTGTATATATTTCAGTGAAGATAATCCATATACATAAATATGTGTAAAATATATGTAAAATTAAGGAAATCCTCATTCATGTTTCTGACCACAAATTAGAGAATTAGTAATACATATTGCTGCTGAATTGTTCTAACGCACACTCATGGGAATATCCCAAAATATGCAGCTTATTTAGGGAAATGTCAATACGTTATACGTCAATATTTGTAATTTCTACTAATATTACTACATGATTCGATAGTATTGATTACCCTGTTAAACAATGTACATGTGACTAAAACGGTACAATAAGGCCAGTTATAGTGTTCCATGACGTGAATATTCATTAAAAACGCACAAAACTTACACATCATAATGATGCTGCTACAACGAGGAACATTTTTTGGGATGAGATTGTTCACTATTCTTCAGTTTTTGATGTAAGTTTTGCATAATAACATGTCAATATGGATTTTGTGTTAATGCGTTATTTTATGTATATCTAGAGTTACGCAAACTGCATCAGTCACCCTCCCGGATAACTATGACCCCAACATTCGCCCAAATAATGGTGGGGTTGCGGACGTAATTAGCGTCTCTGTGGGCAGCATTACGATTCAAGAAGTGGACGAATCTTTGCAAAAGATCTCAGTGGAATGTATCCTCCACACATTTTGGGATGATAAGCGATTATCCAACTTGGTCGAGAGGACGTCAGTGTATGCCGAAAAACTTCCAAACGTTTGGACCCCCACATTGTCAATCGTGAACAGTGCAGAAATGCCAATCCGGAGTAACAAGGCGTTGTCCTTGAAATCTGATGGAACTGTAGATTACGCGGAACGGTAAGAAAAAATTGGTAGAAAAAATGTATCAAGAAATGTTTTTATGATTTTGTAATATTTTCTATTTAGAGTGTCTGCAAAGATAAGCTGTCAAATGTCCATGATGAGATACCCGTTTGGGAAACAACATTGCAAACTGGAACTAGTTTCATGTAAGTGTGTAACAAAAACTTGTAATTTTTCTGAAGAAATTCGTTAAACTATTTATGAAATAATTCCATAGATGGATACTCATCAATTCACCTAATTTTGCTCTGGAATGGGATAATTCCTCTGCAGAATATTAAAACATTTGACCCCAAATACTCCATATCTCATGTGGAACAAACTTCCGAACGACATAAAACTCCTGCTGGAGAATTTTCACACATTATTGTCGAAATTTCTTTAAATCGTTCTCCCTTCCGTTTAATTTTGCAAGCCTTGTTACCAACATTCTTCTTTGCAGCTCTGTCCTATTTTATCACATTTTGCATGGGAAGAAGTTGTACGAGTCGTCATAATAATAATAATAATCAGGAAAAATGTGCCAAGACAAGTTTAGAGGAAGAAGGACCCGAATCCGAAGTTAAAGAAGATGAGAAATTACAAATCTCACAAAATTCCTTCTCATTCGCATCCTACATCGGACTCGATTTCATTAAACTCGTTGTGAACGTGTTTATCCTTTTAATTGTAATAATACTGCAACAAATCAACGCTGTGACTATTCCGACGCTTACTGCGCTGGACGTTTGGGTGGGGTTCATGTGCGTCACCGTTTTTGTGTGCTTCGTGGTCACATTGCAATTTTGTGTCAAAAAGTGGCAATATTTTCTGCGAGAAATGGTGAGTAGAATTTTATTGACTGAGAGTTTTTCATATGCTTTACATATATTGTTTTGTTTTACAGCCTATAAGCCAAACTGATAAGGATACGTCCGCTTTGGTGCAGAAAATTATCAACATTTTGCGAATCTCGATTCCTGTTTTATTCATCGTATTTTTAATTGCCTTTCTTGGGTTTTGTTTATCATAATAAAAAACGATTTTATTATCTGATGTTTTCAAAGTATGGCCATATTCTGTTTTGTATTAGGTATGTGTTCACATTGGATGTGACCTTTGTTTCGTGAGTTAAAAATCTGTTTTAATTTGATATAATACAATTACATATAAGTAAATGTGCAATGTGTAACATGGTTTTGAGCTTTGTATGGTAAGGTGTCACTTTGGGTACATAGAATCTAATCGTAAGAATAATGTGTGTTCACATACCATAAACGAAACGAATTTTTCTCTATAATTTTGCATGTACAGTGTTCACCAGAGTACGAATTATACAATAAACACTCGAATAGATTGATTCTGTGAATTACACATACATATGTACATACATATGTACATATGTACAATACAATCATTAGCTCATAATAATACCGAGATTTTTGTCCGACAACAAACTGAATTTGATGATTAAGTTATTACATGCACGCAAGCATTTTTCAATAAATGCGACAAATTCGCTCAAATCTTCCGTAATAAACGCAGCTTGAAACATGCCAAAACAAATTGCACCAATTTCTTCGTATTATCTAAGAACTAAAGCAATTATTCTTTAGTCATGTCCCCGGTCTCGATCTGGTCACATTGCTCGTGTTACTGGAGAATATTCTTACTCTTGATTTCTAAGCAAAGTATTTCCAAATTCTAAAATGTGGAGAGTTTTAGCATTTCAATTAATCACGTAATTCTCATAAAATATTTCAATCATTTTCACTACCACGTTATGAATATTGTACATATTTTTACAGTTTTGGAAGTTTTGCTGCCGGACAAAATTTTGCTAATCTGAGCTATCGTGAAGTAGAACAAAAGATATTGGAAAGTCTCTTAAAACCTCCCTACGATAGCCGAATTCGGCCCATGGATTCAACGAGGTCCAACGATTCTACAGGTCCGTTATAATTTTGCATTCCAGAGAAATTAATTGAGAACAGTTTCTGTACCCTGTGAAGGAACGCTGGTGACGATCAACATGTTTATAAGAAGTTTCGATTTTATTGACGATGTCAACATGGTAAAAATGTCAATTTATTTTCCATTGCTTCAACGATTTAAGTTTAAATTTGAAATTCAGCAATACGGGATTCAACTAACATTTCGTCAACAATGGAATGACAATCGGTTGCGTTTTACAAATTTTAATCCTCCTGCGAAACTAAAATATCTCACGTTATCAAGAGCATCTCCTATTTGGACGCCCGACATATTTTTCTCCAATGAGTAAGCAAACACCTAAAAAAGGATATCGCTTATTTTTAACAATTTATTCAATTACAGAAAAACATCACATTTTCACGATATGCTAGTTCCGAACACTTTTGTAAGAGTATTTCCTAACGGAGACGTCTTGTACAGTGCGAGGTAATTTTTTGTCTACATACAAATATTTACTAGATTTTAACAATATTTTTTTACAGATTGTCAATGACGCTGTCGTGTCCCATGCAACTGAAAGCATTCCCTTTTGATTTTCAAACGTGCTACTTGAGAATGGCTAGCTGTACGTGGCTATACATCATTGTAGTACAAATTGTGTAATAACAGTTAAAATTATATTTAATGATTTGATTGGAAGATGGATATACAACGGAGGACTTGGTGTTTCGGTGGCAGGATAACCCACTCCAACTCACACCACACCTTGAACTGCCGAGATTCTCGTTGGAAAAATTTACCACGGAATATTGCGATAGTACAACAACAACAGGTAAAATTTTTAATTAAACGCACTGGAGAAAGTATGTATGTCATTATAATTCAAAATCTTATCCGACAGGAACATACAGGTATGCGATAAGAGCCGTGATAAGAGAGTAAAGATATGTCAGGCAAAATTGCTTTAAAATATGGGTGCCTTTTTCTGTAGCTGTATCGTCATGAAATTTGGTATGAGACGAGATTCGAGTTATTACAACTCTCAAATTTTTATGCCATGCGCCATGTTGGTCGTTATCGGCTGGATGTCATTCTGGATAAACCGGTACGAACCTACGGCACGGCTTGTCGTACTGATCGCAACCTTACTCGTGATGGCGACACTTATCGGAGGATTTAACGTGACCGTGCCAAAAGTTAGTTACACCAAAGCGAGCGATGTGTGGACAGTTTCCTGCTTCCTTTTCATATTTCTGGCACTTTTCCAATACATTATCGTCCATTATTTGACATCCTGTGAAACACGAAAACCTGACGACAAAGATAAAGTGGGTGGTGAGCATCAAAGTTTGGTTGGTGGCGATTCGGCATCCCCACAAGCACAGAATAATGACGTAGAGTTATCGAATTTGGATAACAAGTCGGTAAGAAACAGGAGAGATCCGGATGTGGACAAACTCTTCAAATTTTATGAGTACTGGACTTGGTCCTGGTTTAAGAAACAGCCCATCGGACACCAGGTAGATTTAGGCTTTAGGTTTGCCTATCCCTTAGCCTTCTTCATTTTCAATCTTTCCTACTGGCCACAATATTATGCTGAAGCGACTGTAAAATAGAAAATAGTCGCAATTATGTACGTCTGGTAACAAATAACATAATTGAGCATGTCGTGTGTTTGAACCAGTTTCGTTCGTGTAAGTAATGACTTGTAAATGATGATTGTTGTATCGTAATTCATGATTGATGATGATTATGTAATTTTATAGTGAAATGACGTGTTCAGTAATTTTCGGCATGAGCTGGATAAAGTTTAGCATTGTGCTTTTACATATGTATTATTATTGCCATTATGTTCTGCTCAAACGAGAGATCTAATATAGTATAGAATGGGACGCTGTGTTTGGTAAATATTTGAGCAAATTTCATGTAAATTAATGCACTTAAGAAAATGCAATAAAATATTAAACGAATGAAAAAGTGAAAAGCATTTGTCACCGCATATAACATGACCAATATCTAAATCACGGCATATTATTGATGAGATGACAAAGGAGAGAAAGTCGGACCCGAACCCCCACAAAACTTTGTTTGCCACTACTTCCACCAAGGTGACGGACAATGTATGTACATATTTACGTACTAGGTGAATGTTTTGATTTGATACATGTGCACAAGTATTTTTTCGTAATAAAATTGCAAGTTGTGAACAAAATGAATTTCCCTTTCAGTTTTGTTTCATTTCTACGCCGTATATTAATTTTAGTGCTTTGAGAATATTTATCATGAATTTTAAGTTAATCGCAAACTTCCTTATCGCCAATGGTGAAAGTCAGCACGGGATTTGACGGGATATTTTCAAGGTAATGGTATCGAATCTTATATATAAGCTATTGCATTTTAATTTAAACGACTTCATATTGCAAGAGAGAAGAATCTACAATTTTTGTTTATGTACGTAAGTGTAAAATTAAAATTTTGTAATGTCGTCGCTTGAACCTGACAATAACAAAGTCAAGACAACGCTTCGTCTTTTCACCAATTTTACCTGATATGAGTGAAATTTTTTTTACACGTTTCCTCCCAGTAAACACAGCCACATTTGTTGATTGTATAATTTGTAAAACGTGGAACATCATACAATCTATGATGGAATAAGGGTCTGATATATGTAGGACCACTCGTCGCATTAATGTAAACTTTACATAATTACATTCATATTCCCATGATCCATACCGATTTTTCATTACAGAAGAGATTTATTCAACTTTACCTCATCAAGAAGATGACAGAAAGACGGAGAGGCAGAACCAAGTCGTCCCCAAAGGGTGGAAAAACTATACAAAATCCTGTCATCCTTGAGCAAAGTTCCGGGGCCACGTCGTTCCGCCAAATGAACAGCGTACACCTTCCACCCTTAACATCATCCCCCAACGGCACACACAACAATAACCATTCTCACCGCCCTTCTTCATCCTCAATTAGTAAAACCGATCTGAGGAAGGAATACAAGCGCTACTGCAAACTATACTCGAGCGAACCACTCGACATTGTGGCTGGCCCCTTAGAAAAAGCGAGTTATCGAATGGACGCTGTCGAACTTGATCTCAAAGGCCGAGGTCTCCGAGGTGTTGACTGCATCGCGCTGGGAAAAATCCTTGCCATCAATACGACCATTCACCACCTCAATTTAAGCGATTGCCTCCTCTTACCGCAAGGATTTCAAGCCTTGTTGGACGGACTGGGGAAGAATTCTTACCTCAAAGTGCTCGAACTTCGGGGAAATAATATCCAGTCGTCAATGGTTGAAAATTTGAGCACCTTCCTAAAAACTAACCACACCCTGAAACAACTCCTCCTCGAGTGGAACTGCTTGGGCTGTTTACGTCCCCTCTTTCAGAATTTTTGTGACGCTCTTGCCCTCAATAAAGGTTTGGAACGCTTAGATTTGAGGAATAATCAGATCCTGGATGAGTCAGGAACTGACATTGCCAACGCCCTTAAACAGAATGAGACGCTGCAGAGTCTAGACTTGCGATGGAATTCGTTGGGTATTCAGGGAGCTAAAGCGTTATGGGATGCGGTCCAACGGAACCAGAAACTTCGTAGTATGGAACTTTGTGGTAATTTTGTCCCGGAAGAAATAGTGCGACATATTCAGTCCACTTTGAATCAGAGGAATGAAAAGGAAACAATAATTCAAGACTTTTCCAAGAGGACGAGCATGCTAACAAACCAACTGCAAAGGACGGAGGACAATTATAAGTCTGAAATAAAAAATATGCTCACCGTTTTTGACGATGAGGAAGCAGAACTCAAAACTGTGATTCGTCAAGGTCAAGTAGAAATGACGCATTTGAGTCAAGAGTTGATTGACGAGAAAAATTCAAAGAAAGTCATGGCCCAAGAAATTAATAAGTTAAGGGACGAACTTACTAGTGCTTCTGAAAGGGAAAAAACTCTCCGAGAATCACTGGAAATCAAAAGCACTGAAATGCTCATGCTGGAACAGGCCGTAAAGCTTCAGGCGGAAGAACTTGGGTCACGATTTGAAGGGAAAATATCCAAAGTGACGAAAGATCTGGGTTCAATTCAAGGAGAAAATGACAAATTAAGTCTCGACCTTAAAGATTCTCTTGCCACGATTAAAGAAAAAGATGCCGAACTTTCAATACTACAAAATCGGATCGAATCTCTCAAAGCAGGTAGTAAACGAGCTGAAGTCCTCTTTGAAGAAAGAATTCGCAAAGAGAAGGAAAATTGGCTCAACTGGAAGGAAGAAGTAGAATCACATGAGCATCAAGAAACCCAACGGTTACAAAATCAACTCCAAGACATCCAAAAAGGGATGCAAGCTCACGTCCAAACCCTCGAGAACAAAAGGGCAGAAGCAGACGAAGAAGTAAATCGTTTGAAAATGTTATTGTTCACGGACAAGACTGAAGCAGAAGAAAACCTGAGTCGATTAAGATCTTCCCTGAATGAAGAACATTCTAAAACCACGGAGAGCTTGCTAAATCAGATTGATACCCTTAAAAAATCAGTTGAAACGCACGAGGTCGAAGGCAAACGGTTGGACGCCTTAGTTCGTAAGTTGGAGAGCGACATGGGTTCCCTCACGAGGCAAAATGAACACTTAAAGCAACACAATACAAGTTTGGAAGAGGAAGTCGCCGAGGTTCGAGACAAGATGACAGCAACCCTACAAAAAGCGAGGAACGAAGCGAAAGAGTATGCAGAACTGGCGAGTAAAGAGGAAACCACGAATAAATCGTTACGCGGACAAGTGCTCGAGATGCAGGAACAAATCGCCGTTCTGACCATGCGACTTAACCGATCCGAAAAGGAGAGAGCGAGTGAGGCGGAATTTTGGGGACATCAGCTCGGAAGACGGGACGAGGAGTTGAAACGTTTGAAAGAGGATGACATGAAACGGGCCGCTTTATTGCACGAAGCTTTCACGTCTTATATGCGATGCACTTCCGCCGCGACAGGACTGCCCATCCCGCTAAGGAGTTATTTTGATAAGAGCAACGAGGACAAAAATGTGCAATCCAGTAATCCTGCTAATATTAGTATTATGGGAGATGGTGATGGAGGAAAGGGTGACAATATTAATTAGTCGTGCATATTTTACCAATAAAAACTTGAAATACGGAGAAATTATTAATTTTGAACTTAATTTATTAAATACTTAGAAAAATAGTAAATACCAAGATTCCTAAACTTTTTAGCTCGTTTCCGTGGAGTGAATGTATTAGGATTATGTAATAATTAGATTATGTAAGGATGGGCCATCTTTTAAAAATTATTAAAAATTTTCGAGTTGGGGACAGGCACGCATTTTTTGGCGTTGTCACCCGTTGTTGGGTGAGTGAGAAATTATTTTAAAAATTATTTTTGCTACATTTTCTGGGGACTGCTTTTAATTTTTAACTCGATTGCATATTACATATGTGATATTGATGACCATTTTTGTCCCCGATACTTTTATATATTTGTACACGTATTTATATGCATATTTTTATAAAGAGCACAACCAGGTAGATAATTCGAGTTCCGGAGAAAAAATTTTCATTTGTCTAAAACTTGACAAAATTTTCATTATTAAATTATCACTCCCACGATAACGGTGGACCTGGAGGACGAAGAGGAGGAGGATAATTTAGTTCTGGAAGATTTTGTAATTGATGAGGTAGCAGCTGCTGGTGCAGATTCAGAAACCACTCCTGCTGATACCGAAGATGAGTTGTTAACGGTATAAGTTTTTAAAATCATGAGGATGTCAATTTTTGTCAAGTTTTTTTAAAGATAAATAAACATTTCTTTATCTGGAACACGAATTATCCTCCTGGTTGTGGTCGCTATCTTCATAAAAATATGTATACAAATAAGTGTAGAAATATACAAAATTATCGGGGGCAGAAGTGGTCATCAATATCACATAATATGCATTCGAGTTAGAAATGAAAAAGTCCACCGAAAAATAATTTCTCACTCACCCAACGACGGGTGACAACGCCAAAAAATGCGTGCCTGTCCCCAACTCGAAAATTTTTAATAATTTTTAAAAGATGGCCCATCCTTGGACAACCTCATTACAAAATCCTAATACATTCACTCCACGGAAACGAGCTAAAAAGTTTAGGAATCTTGAGTAAATACTTTTTGTACACCGCATATTTTTTATGACATTTTATTTCATTTGTGGTAAAATTTAAAATCCATCTCTGCCTCGTCGTCTTCTATCGGGTTGTTAAATTTGTCCGCAGCACTCGGACTGGAGAATGTGATGGCGGACGAGAACTTATTTCTTCGCCCTTTAGGATTTAAAATTCGTTCATTGGGTCCACCACCACTACTAATTTCTTCATTATTGTTCCTGGATTGTTGTAGTAATTCTTGAGATAATGGACCAGGCTTGTTTTCTTCTGCGTCGGAAATAAGGGGATCCTTTTCCTGTAGATCGGCCGACTCTTGGGACGAAATTACGACTTTGGGGACGTTCATTTTCTGCACTTGTTCTCTGAATTTCGATTTTTCAGGGAGGGTAATACCGTTGGCGTCTAAATATTTAGCAATTCCTATTTGGAAAAGTTGGGGATGGTTTTGGTACAACCAACTCATGAATTTATCCGCTTCCTTCTCCTGATTTGGAGTGCAGAGAATGCAAGAACTCAAAAAGTAGGAGGCCATCCGCGGCCTCATCCATCGGCCGACTGAACGGATAAGAGTTTTATTAAATATTTATTAATTAGTGGAACTATTTATAATTAAGTATAATATTTTACTGACCTGGGTCACAAGGTCCGTCGTACAACAAACAATTTATGTGCATGTTGAAGAGATAATCGTCACTAATATACTTTTCCAGTGAGAGTTGGTCCAACTCGGGCTGATATCTTGGCGTATTGAGGGCCCCATTAGCGAGTGAGATGCTTGTTAAAAATACGACTGCACCAGCGTACATTATGCTGGCAGATTTTATTCTTTCCATAATTGTAATGATACAGTTCCGATCGCAAAAAATATTTAAATAGTGAAATACACAATTAACTACAAGGTTAATAAGAAGCTGCATGCAATCCCTTTTCAACGGAGAAGGTATGAAGATACTGAATTCTAGTGATCAGAGTTACTTAACTTTGGCCAAGAAGATCCCGAGATTGCAAAACAATAGGGGACAAGAACCTGTCCATCCCACATGCAATTTTAGCATATTAAAAATTTAGCTGGTAAGCAGTTTGAGATATTGCTAACTAACTGTTTTTATTTAACTGGTGATGATAAAACTGCCCCCGGGTGGATGTTGTTATTTGGACGCAATGCAGAGAGATTCCGTTGGAATCACGTCCTAGTAGATGTGTTGTTTATTATTATGGTCACACGTATATTCTGACAGGTTTAATTGTTACCGTTGATCAGGAAGTCAGTCATGTACATATGCAGAGATACACATGAAGGGTTGATCTTGTATCTCGTTTATGATTTATGATGAGCTTAATTACTAGGAAATTAGGTATTACACACACCCCACATTCATTTATTTTTCGATATATATGCGATATATTTATTTATTTCTGTAATAGCGTATGTGGATAAATTATTGAACATTTAATCATTCCTGATTTGATATGCACCGATTTTCAAGATATGAATGTCACCTTTTCTACTGCATCTAGACTGTCTACGTGTAAATACTCTAATAAGTTACTAGTGTGATATTACATAATTTTCCTGCGATTCTCATCGAAACTTCGTCCCTGATACATGTTTATTTATTTTCATCGTGCATTGCACAGCAAGCAAGATTTAATTTCTTTTTCATTCGATCACATACATACACATTCATAAATAGGTAAATCTTTCTTTTTCGACTAGAGATATCTTTGTTTGTTTGTTGTTTGTCACATCAAATTTTTACGTTTAGGTACAAGTTGACTAGAGATTGAGTGAGATCTTGTTCTTGTTCAAGCACCAGCACTACTGAACAATATGCGTATAAGTATTTGTTTGTTACCATCACATTCAATTATTACAGCTCTGCAGTCACACGTCATTCACATTTATCCGTTACTACTCTTACTACATAATTCAACATGTTTACGTGCTATATTGGGTGGAATTGTTTTATCTAGTTTGCATGTGCATACCATTATTTCACATCTACAAAGAACTACGAATTGCGCAATACTTTCCTTCGTTGTGACACCATCATTCCAAAACCTTCTTCATCAGCTCCAAACTTTGCTGGAGGCTTTGGCCGAATTTTAGGGTTGAGGTGTACGAACAGGTGCGAAAGGATGCCAAGCAGAAAATGATTGATGAATTCTGCGGATTATAGGATGCACCTGTAAATTAAAAAATATAATTACAACTATTAAACTATTAAATAACTAATAGTGAATTATATTAATAATTAGCACACGTAGGTTAACACGTAGGTTATCTTTAACTCACCATACCCGTCCTGCACGACAGCCCCGTATCCCATGAACTGGTCTTGTTTCGTTGGTAGCTAGAAAAAAATATACGTAAAGTCACGTTATCCGTAACAATCAGGACTGCAAAATCAGAGGTCGACGCCGCCAATTATTCGTTGGCGTCGACCCCTGATTACAATATGTAAATTATTCCTTCCACCTGACTCGTTGAGAGAGAAAAGTGGTTAGCAATCTGGAATGTTTCGTCATCAAACAGCTTCGGAATGTCCTTTCCCATGTCGATGGATTGTTGCCGGAGCCCCATGAGATGGACGTCGATCCCTTCACCCAGAATGTTTTCAACCATCACGGTCGTCTGCTTTTCAACGGCGTGATGAAATTTTCGCATTTTTTCCATCGAATCATCAGTGCATCCTGGTTGCATGGATTTGACCCAGTCAAGTGCTTCCATTGTGGTTGAACGGATGCAGTCTACGCGACCAAGTTTATATCGTCGGGTTGATCCGCTTTCATAAGTGGCTACCATTTTCCCGTGAAGGCTGAATGAAAAAAATGCAAGAATTAATCAGTATTTGTTCATATTTGACCATTATCTAAATACCATACGCAATGTATAATGTATGCATCTCACTTGAAGTAAGCCAACTGTAATGCCAATTGAAGATACACGTCTGGGCTGACTTTGCACTTTTTGATAAAGTCCTTTCCATAGTTTTCGAATCGATACACCATCAAATCCAAGCTGTCGATCAATCTAAAATTGATTTAAAATTTTATATTTATTATCACCACCTCATTTCATTATATTTTACTACTGCGTCCATAATTATTTATTTTCATGTACCCATCAATTTCCGTGCAAGCCTCCCTCACCGCAGATTTTGTATCGGGAGGCGTTGTCCACTCCAGTTTTATTGGTGCAGGTATATCGATAGGTTTGTTTTCAGAATCCACAACATCGCCGTTTGCATTATGTTTCTCTGAGGTGCCTATATTCCCATAAAATTCGTCGACAAGATTCAAAACTCCGATACCTTCGGCTGAAGAGTGTTCGTAGCAAAGGCCTACATAAAAAAATTTAATTTAATTCATATTAATTTTCCAATTAGTATTCTGTACAAGTCTTCTATTTATCAACTCACCTACCACACCGTCCGACGAAATGACAAACTGTAATTTATTCAAAATACATAAAATTGGTTGCAGTTTTTTTTCAGCAATTATAAAATAATAGATAATAAAAACCTGTAAAGTTTTGTCGAACCAACGATTCCCCGTGTTGAAGCTGCTCCCACCTCCGTGCAGCATTTGATGCATCATGTTCGTCTCATCTCGATCATTGGTCCAGTGTCTCCCAACATTTCGCTTCTTTTGGTTGTACGGACTGTTAAAGTGCTGTCCGGGCAGAGGGTCATCTAAACACACGATAAAGTAACACGTCTCAATTTCCTCGATGGACTGTTTGTTGACATCATCTCCGAGAAGTTTGATCCGTTCGTCGGCCCACACTGGTCGCTTCTGACTTGTCAGTATCCCAATCGGTGTCTCATTATTGCATGTTTCAGAGAGCACAATTTTCTTCAATTGGCCATAAATTTCGGGTGTTGTGAGCCTCCGTTCTGCCGTTTTTATGGGGCAGGTGAAGAACTATGTATAACATTCAAACGTGTTAAATACTTATGAAAATACTTTTGAAAACCTCTTAGAAGAAAGAACTGACATGTTTCTTGTAGGCCACGATGATATGATCGGGAGAAAGTTGAGACGTGTCTCTTCGAAAATCACGGGGGATGCTGGGAACTCGGTATGATGTAAAGAGTCGATAATGCTGTGCCATGCATAACGGTTGACCAGGCTCTCTTGATGCAGCTTTCTCCACGGGTAGTTCTCGCCTGAAAATAGGATATTACATATATTATTGAAGAAAATCACAGATTCCTGTTGGTGCACATGCATTATTATGAGCAAGTCAGAGTCTGGGATTGAAAAAAGTTGTGGCTGATGAAAGTGAAATATTAGAAGAAAGTGAGTTTCGAATCTTTGTGGAGAGAGTGCGCTTTCTCCACGATTTGGGAGAGTCGCAATTTTCTTGTGGAACGCGTATAATTTTCATGTGCCCTGTATTTCACATTACTAAATGCACACATACATTTTGTGTATCTTCATATAAGGTATCTTAAATATTGTTTGCTGTTAAGCCCTTTTATCCAAAGGCATGCAAAGTAATTCATTTCCAGGAAATCTGTTCCAGACTTGTAAAGAAATCTGGTAAAAGTCATAGTCATAAATGCGTAATGAACTTGAATGAAAGTATTTTTTAACAAGATCCAATTCGTGAAAGCAGATACTTTTCCGAGAAAAGGAAACGAAAGCAAGTCGCTTGAGACTGGCCAGGAGAATGAACAAATTGAAAAGACCTTTAACAAGACAATTGAACTGGGAGTCGTTGAGAAACGAAAGAGGATTTTCAAGTGCAAAAAAGTAACAATGAGAAGTGGGAACAATACCAGCTCAACGTTTGACATTTAAATTCCGGATAACTTTACGGCGAGGGGATGAAATGAAATACGAGGAAGGAACTCACGGCTGAATTGAAAGGTTACAATGTTCTATTCAAAGTTGAAGGAAATGTAAACAAGATCGGATGCGACTTAATCTGACATAAGAGGATTATGTATGTACATATGTACGAGTACATAACCGTCGTAGTGGAGATGGTGCAAGAACATATGCTATGTTTTATGCTATTCGGACGTTACGGAGTTTTAATGTTTTGAGCCAATTTAAAATAAAGCAGACACATTGACGTCATTATAAAATAGAAGAAAGGATTGTTTTTCACTTCTTAAAATTATTTTGCAAGTCCACGTGTCCTTTTTTTACTAACATTGTTTCTCAGAAGCTTCTAATTTCCGGACCTGCTTTCTCTTCCCTGCTGCGTTGTTTGTGTAAGAATTACGCTTAAAATCAACATTTGAGATACAGCTCAAAACAAAACTGTTTGAAATCCGATATTCCTGGAATTGTTGTGCCTGCCTTGTAGGGAGTTTATGCAACCAGTCTAAATTTACATAAAGCAAGGAGGATACCCGGTGAGATGGTACATAGACAAAATTTCTACCCAACTGGATATGTACATACACTGTTTCTCGTTAGGATTATTAACACTTTCCACGAGGCAGGCAGACAGATTTGAATTTTAATAAGCCCTTTCTGTCAACCAATATGACACATACCGATCCAAAATGTCCTTAAAATCCAACATGTAGGTCACCAACTTGGCGGCGAAGAGGAGCTGATCATCCACACTTGGAAAGTGCTGAGGGGGCCACACCCCACCTGGGTTGCTGTTAATTGGCAGAGATAACGGATTGTTCATGTACATGTCGTTCAGCCACCACTCGTACGCCTGTCAATTAGCAATTAATTCTCTGAGACAAGTTAAATTATATAAGCTTCACAGAATCATCACATTTTCGTGGTACAGACGAAACTTCTACGAACCATTTCTTACCCAGTTTTGCATCTTCATTTGTCTCTCGGTCAATTCATTTTGTAATTCGGGTCCTTCATTTTCTGCCAATTCGTGTGTCAATTTTTCCGCTCGTTCATACTGCACGGGAGTCAGGATTGGCTGAATGGCTTCCAAGTAGCGTTGTAGCGTTTTGTCCAAGTCGGGAACGGGGAGTTTGGGTAAATCGGGTTGCTGTAAAGTACAATTTTTCGGATGTAATCTACAGTTTTGAAACTGCATGCATAACTTTCCTGGAAATTA